AATGATTGGATTTGATTGGTCCAAACCATTGCAAAGTTCACATGAAATGTTTTGCTAAAACCTTCAATTGTTCTGCCGTTTGATGTGAGTTACTGTTATGAATGAGAGAATCACAAATGATCACTAAAAGTCACAACACTTAAATCCGATACTAAATTGAATTCAAAGATGTGCGTTTTTCAAGATGTTCTTGTTGCATTAAAAATTATATATTATTTGCATATCTTCTAGGCTTCTGTGAAGCACATGGATCAGGAATGCCCCAAGTTTAAGGAACCTGAACTGAATTTTGTTCATTCACATATCGTACAATTTGACATATTTACATAACATGGGAATATTTGTTCCCTGATGTTTTTTGCTGATATCAGTGATCCAGTGCACGCAACTTGAACTTTGTTTAGGTAGAATCTAATCCAAGTTAAAAATTCAGATTGACTTTCTATAATGTGATTGTACCAATTTAGGTCTATGCATACCTCGATTTGCTTAATATAATGTCATTATAACTCAATATTTTGGAGAAAATTTGAACTCCTTATGTACATTCATACCCCTCCCCCTGCCCTCTTTGCACTGTGACCAGTAATAATGTTCAGTCATATAAAGCTCTTCAATATATAGAGTAGATAGGTTTGGATTTAATATGGTAACACTGCGACATCTGGCATATTGTACTGTCTTTCTCGCTGGCTTCCTGCTTCCCTGGAATTGTGCACTTATGGATCTGATATGGCCGTTTATAGAGTGGTTTATATTTTGGTTCCCAACTAAGTTACAAAGAGGCTGCATTGTGCTGTCCAAATCTGAAATGTTACTTATATTTTGCATTAACCTCAAGATCTGCATATGTTACTTGAACCACATTCATTGGAATTGCCAGTTGGCATAGCAGAAAATGATCAGTCAAGTTGCAAATAATTGCGCGACTCTTTGAAACTCAGTTCCTGAAATTCAATGTTGACTCATTTGACCAAATTCATCAAACATTTACTACTTCAAATACAAAATTGGAAATTGAACAGTGAGAGTAATCCTTATACAAATAATCTTAAAAAAGGTGTAAATGGGATGCTTTATCCCAAATGAGATAACCATCAAATAAATCTGTTATGAGGTATTGCAGCTTTTGCCCTAATTGCAAATCAGAACTAAAGTTTATGGAAAAATTTATCTCCGAGCGACATTGATCTTGTATGGAAATATTTGTAGAGAAATGTTTTTGTCTCTTTCACTTTGCCACTTTTTCTCTGTCTTGGCCAACAATCCCGCAGATTAATCTCATCACTACACGTCAGCCAAATCACTTACTCAACTGGCTCCACCACTCCTTGTCTCAAGGTCAATCACTTGTAATCATAAGACCGATGGCAAAGCTACAAGGAAGACAAATAGAGAGAGACTACTGGTCTCCGCAGAATTGGTGGTGATATGCAAATAGGATTATATGGACGATTTATATTTTAAAAAAATACATTCGTACTCTGAGCAATGTTCGTACATGTGGAGTCCTGTAGCTCAGTGGTTGGATTCCCAGCAGGATGAAACTTTGGGTACGTTTCCTTGCTCCACACGTCTGATAATAATCCCTCAAAAAAACAATAATAAATTGGTCACTTCAATCCATGACTGTTTGTGGGACACTGATGTGCGCAATTGGCTGCCATTTTTTGCCCACAAAATATGCAGTCAATTCACCTTACAGTCTATTCTGTGAAGCGCTTTGAGACGTCTAGAAGATGTGAAAAGCGTTATATCAAATGCAAGGTCTTTTTATTATTACTTTTTATTATTTATTTTATTTCTTATTTATATGCTCAATCTCGAGTATCATATTGTAAATGGGTGAAAATAACTATATTCTATGTGTTTTTAAAACTTATTCCATTGTATTATCACAGACTATTTCATTTCCATTTGGTTGGTTTGGTAATAGGAGGATCCACTGCAGTGATTTGATGCAATCCCACCAGCTAGTAAAGGGACAGATATGGTCAGAGAGTTGGGAGAGAAAAACAAACTGTTTAATGAATAATCCTCAGAGCTGCCCTTTCCCCTTGACCTGTGTGGGCTGTGCAGAAGAACGTTTGATGAGACTGGAGTGCAGTAACTCTGTACAATGTCAATGCTAAACTGATTAATGTAGAAGGACTGCAGTAAGCTTCAGTTACTTGCTGTCACCCGGACCACCCAACATTTTACAAAAGCAGTGGAATTAAACTACAGTTAAAAACATCGAGTTAGACTTGTGAGTATTACTTAAAATGTATTAATTTGGATATTTAATTTGTTTTTTTTAGGAAGGCTCAAACTAGGCTCAAAGTATTGTCAGGTATAATTCCAGAATATCAATAAAGACCAAATTTTGCATGCTACAAGCTGTTTACTACCAACAGACCAATGATTACTTATCACTAGAACAAGCAGCAGAAAGTATAACCATACTGCTCAATAACTTGGCTTTGTGCATGTTCCATACATAGAGTCTATATATCGAGTGCATTGCACATACATTATTCAGTTTAGCGTTGACATTGTATATCTATTTTTAACAGATCTATGTTTGAGTACTATTCCCTGTTTATGTACGGTAATTTTAAGTCTGTCCAATATCTTTAGTCAAAATGTTAATGTCAGTATTTAAGTCTGCATATGGGATAGAAGTGAAGCCCGATTGAACACCAGTCAGTATAAGTCAGGAATTTGTTGATTTTTGTACAGTTTCAAACTGTTTTCTGTTACCCAAGGAAGAAATGCTATTTGGATTTTGCTTTAAGCTGGAGTTTTGCGAGCAACATATAAATATAACATATAAAACATTCAGAGTTTTTTTAAACTTGATTGCACTTTTGTTTGATTGGTAACTTGCCTTATTTGCTGTCCTTACCACACACTCTCTAACCACTACACTGTAACATTTAAATGCTGGCAGGTTTGCTGTATAGTGCTGTAGAAAGTAATATTGGTCTTACCAATATGTGCAGTTCCTCAGTACATTATTTAGTAGTTGGACTTCTGAAAACACTACGTTGCTATTAAAGAATGATCTAAGGTCAAACTACCTGCTTTGATATTTTTGAAATTCCGTGACTTTCCCGAAGAACCATGCAAAGGTTCCACAGCTGAGTCTGAAGAAAAGTACTTGCCTTTCCATGCAAATTCCCATCTCATTGATCAGCTGGACAATCTGAGCTGCTGTGCTATTCCTTGTGCCAGTGTTCACGATGCTTATCCTAGCAATACCATTGGGATACAATTTTATCTTCACTATTTGTACTACTTAAGAGTACAACACTGGAGTCTTTATAATACTTTCAGATGCACTGAGACAGCAGAACAAGAGGACACAGGTTTAGGGTTACAAAAAAACAATTTTGGGATACCAGGGAATAGTTATTTTCCTAAAGGGCAATTAATGATGGGAGCAGGTAAATAGGAAGCTAGCTTGAGGCCAGGACACTGGACTCAATTAAAAAAACAGCTTGATGCTGTGATGGGAACATGGTAGGGTGAGTATTCGTAAAGAATGAGATCAAATGGACTGAAGGGCCTTCCTCATTCAAACTGATTTTGTGAAGTATGTCTGAACCCACCCTCTTCATAGAGATCTACAAGTGTTGAACTGGGACTGAGGACATTATTAAAATGCAGCTTTTGGTCTGACTGCGCTAATAATGTATATTATACAATGTGGCATTAGTGCTCGTGCCCTTTATCAGTGATGCAGAATGGAAGCTAATCTTGTCCACCTGTGAACTATCTGTGATAACTATGAATGACTAGTATTACTTTGGCTTCTGACTGTGTTACACGTGGTATAGTAACTAAAGGTGTAATACAATCCAATTATTGATATGTGATACGTGGGAAAGGCACCTAGTATATTACTTATGATCATTAAAGCAATACTTCTAATCCTTGCATTTAATATTGCACCTTATCATGATGTTAAGACATCTCAAAGCACTTGAAAGATTCTACTGTGAAGTTTAGTGACTGTACTTTTTTGGAGGCAAATGCAGCAATCAATTTGCCCTCAGCAATCTCCCACAAACTGCCATAAAGTGAATATCCATCTTTTAAAAAATCTTTATACTTTAAGGGAATAAACCTGGTTAATAGAATCTCAAAATTCTAAATTAAAAACATTCTGACGTACTGTTTGTCTCCTTGTTTTAAAGCATTCAGTGTTTTAAACAAAAATATAATAGAATTTAACAAACATGGCCAGTATTGATCTTATGCCAAAGTCATTAAATCTAGTTAGTCAGTTTTATGCACCAGTGAGATAGGAGAAGTATTTATGTCTCGGGGGAATCACATGTTGCATCTTTACTGTGTCTTATTTTATAGTTCTCTAGTCTTGTAAATTAACTAAGAGAAAGGTTTCAGTTGCTGATGCCAGGTTGTCAGGCCATTAGTATAGATACTGTTCAGGTAGCTTTAGGGGGGGTTTGAGACATATATTCGAAAATTAATTGAAAAATCATGGAAACCACGAAAACGGGGGTGAGTGAGGGAGGGGCGGGGGGGGGGGGGGGGGTGCAGAGAGTTCAGGGGAGAAGCTATTACTCACTAAATATGATCTCAGTAAACCATCATTAATCGTTGGTGAGAAAGGCAGTGAGAATGTGGGGTGGTAATGCAGTTACCAAACACTTCAGTAAGAAATTCCATCTGGGTTTAGATTAATGTAACATTTTACAGCCTCCAGAATTTGTCAACTTGACTTGTTCTTAAACATAGCCTTTCATTTTGAAGTTGCTTTATTGTAAATTCTTTTAAGAGCTACAGAACACTGGCATCACAGTTAAAACTGAATTCAACAATTTGCTAAATTCTGCACACTCTGAAATGTTATGGTTATGAGACTGAATTTAGACCCAGGTGGAATTTTTCCCAAATGTGATGTAACCGAACTAACGTGGTGAAAGTAAATATAAAACATCAGATTCCAAATTGAATCAAAGTCCAGTTGCTATACCTGCACAGGAACTACAGACCCGAATTGGGTCCATTTATCTACACTGGGTACTCGTGGATTCCACTACGATTTGAATCATTTTCATGTCGCTGCACAGTTTATTATGAAACCAAGTTAATGAAATGTATGGAACTTGAGGCTTGTTGCTGGTTAAGTGATGGAATATTGCGAGGCACAGAGGGGGTTCGGGACAGACTGTGAGAGGTTACCCGCTTGAAAAAACTAGAGTTGCCATTTTTTTCCCCATTCCATTCTACTCCCTCTGAGCTGATGTAACTTCAGAATTAATTTGTATCTTGTCACATTGTGGAATTTTTCACCCTGTCTCTGTAGTAATTACTAGCTTTTTTAATGGCTTCTCAGGTTAAATAAAAAGAATAGATCTGGAAGCTTCATTGATATATTTTGCCTTTTCTGTGTTTTTAGATTTATATAAATCGAACAAAGTAGCAGATGGGGTCTGAGGTAAATATGCTCGGACACAGTCAGATGTCTCCATCAGAAGGATTCTGCCTTAATGAGGGTTCTTTCTTTGGTAAGTTCATATTAATAAACGTAATTTTTTTTCTTTTAATAGTCACTCTTCTGTTTTTTTTTCCCTTTTCTCAGTCTCTTGCTCCTGCATAAGGACACATGAGCATCTCACTCCACATGTAGCCACAGTGCGACACTGAACCATACTGAGATATAAGAGCAACATGAGAATGATCTTCAATTGTCCCCACTTTCTCTCTAAGCACTGCTTGGCTTCTTCCACAGGGACTTGAGTACATTTGGGACCTGGGTGGTATCACTGCAAATTAATGCAGTTTTTACTAAAGTAACACATAACTTTTTTCATGGGTTTCTATAAGTCTATCTTAACATGTAACATTTAAAACTGTAATCGTATAATTCTGATATTTACCTAAAAATTATACGATCAATTCACTTTACAGTATATTCTGTGAAGCGCTTTGAGACATTATTCATAGTCTATTCACCATTTATTTTTCAAAAATGTCAGGATATTTAAACGTACTTAGGTGGTACTAAACAGAATTGCTCTAACCTAATATTAAAGAATACTTTTTAATCTAAATAACTGAATCATTCTTCTCAAACATTGCTAACATCTGCTGAAGTTCCACTTCATGAACAGGACTTGACAACTGTTCCTTAATATTTCAGTTTGTAAATATGTGTTCAAATGAAAATTATCAACGAGCTTTATATCAAATAATTTTGAATTATGATGGAATTTTAAATAACATGATCAACTAAAAACAATGAAGGGACGGAAGGAACTTAAGTTTCAGAAGCTGATGTTGTAAATTTATGGGATTTGAATGAAAAGGTAGAGAAAGACAAACACAGATATGTAAAGATATTTAACTAAAGGTATTAAGATATGTAATTTTAGCACCCATAAAGTATAATTGATATGACCACACCGCAGGTCTATGTTATGTTATCTGTTTGTTCCACTCTGTCCTGTCTGAGCATATTTGAAACAGTATGAGACATTTTCAAGTCAGGTGCTTGCTTCTGCCTACCTTTACTATCAGCATTTCTGTAAGTGAAGTTAATCAGTAAGCTTTGTAACCTTTAGTCTCTGACCCAACTAAACAATTAACCTGAGAAAGTCATGTAATGTACTATGGTGAAAGAGCATGACTCTTTCACTATTCACACAGGTGGGAATTACTTCACTTGCTTTAATGAAATAAACTTTTTTTGTGGACAAGGATACCACTAAGGTCTGCTGAACCTGTGGTTGCTGAGGGAGGCTTACTCGTGTTTCCTTGTGGCATGGAACTGGTTAGAATGAAGACTGGTGAAGGTAGGTAGGAGGTGGTTACATTTCCAGGCTGTACGAGGCACAGGATGAAATGGGAACAAATGGTTTGTTTATCCTTCACCAACCTTTGGAAGTATTATTAGAATTGGGTATTGTACTGAAACAAAACAAAGAAACCACATTGATGGAAAACAAAACTGGACATAATTTATGAATGTACTGTGTGTGACATGATCTGGAAATTTACAATTGAGATAGTTAGCAAAAACTTTAAACAAGGTGAGAATGTTTGTTTCTTCTTCCTTATCCAGGCTGTTAACATGACTGTATTGTAGAATGGTCTCCGAAGCATAGGGTAATATAGGTTTGTACAATTAATTATCCATCTCATTTGCTGAAAGGTTTGTACAAAGTCCTGAAGCATAGGTCACTAATGACACGTATAATGGAATTATTATATTTCCATTGGGCATGTCTTTAGCGACCTGTGCTTTAGGGATTTTGAACAAACATTTTAGCAAACAGGGTGAATAATTAAACAGTTTACTTGGAATTCTGTGCTGTTCATGTAATCTGCGAGGAGTTTTTTTTTGCAATGATTGCCCTCAACACATTTTTTTAAAGAAGTTTTGAAATGATTTTTTTTTTAACCAGCTCTTAGATACCATGTTTAGCTTACACCAGAGAATTGTGCTGAATCTGAAAATAGGAGCAGGTGTCAATATATATCAATGAGACAATGCAGAACATACAAAATGTGACAAAAAGGTGGATACGCTGAGAAAAAGAAAATTACTATGTCAGTAATCAGTGATATCTTTAGAAATATCTTGACTGATAAAAGTGATATAATTACTGGAGCTGACTATGAATCTGCCTGTAGAAGGATGATACATGTAGGCAAGAGAACTTAAGAAATAAATAAAGAAGTTAAAATAGATGGAAAATTCAGCTCTTTCAATGTATGTGTATTTGCTAAAAAGCACCAACATTTGCTCAAAACCAGGTTAACTTAACCTTTTTTGAATAAGAGCTGGAATAAAGATGTCGAGAGAATACGTCCATTCTTACTCAAAGTGAATAAAAGGCAAAATACTGGAGATGCTGGAAATCTGAATTAAAAACAGAAGTCCCTCGGAACACTCAGCAGGCAGGGCAGCATCTATGGAGAGAGGAAAGTTGTTTTTCTTAAACAAAATAGATATTTATTTGTAGATAGAATATATATTTACATTTACCTCAAAAAAGAAACAAATCCTGTGACATGAAGAATCGCAACACGTTATTATCCTGTTACAGGATGCAACACCTTGTGGTGTGGGGAGATGGGGCGGGGGGTTTGCCTCTGCCCACTCCACTTTAGTGGAGGGACCAAGGCTTCCCATCTCGGGGTTCTTCTTCCCTTTGCAGGGCGCACTTACAAGGAAAGTGGGTTCACGTTTCAGGTCGACGACCTATCAGCAGAACTGGGGGATGTTGGAAGGGAGCTGTTTATAAGGATCCTGTCTACCACAACGGAAGGCGATCCTCGACTGAGGAAAAAAAGGAGGACATTTTAGAGCTTCTCTCATCTTAACCACAGCTCCCATTTTCTCTCAGCCTTGCCTCCCTCTCCCTCTCTTCTATAACCATGGGTCTCAAACATCCTCTGGGTCTCAAACACATCTTTTCTTTCTCTAATCTCCCACTATTGCCTTCTTTTGTCTCGCACCATCAACACCTCTGTGATCTGATCATTTCCTGTCCTCCACCCAATTTTTCCTTTGTCTTTTTTTTCCCGCCCCCTTCACTGCTTGTCCTTATAAACTATTCTCTTCCAACATTCCCCAGTTCTGACAAAAGGTCACTGACCTAAAAAACATTAACCCACTTTCCTCTCTCCATAGATACTACAATTGACCCGCTGAGTGTTCCCAGCGACTTCTGTTTTTATTTCTTACTCAAAGTGATCTAGCTTTGTCAGGTATACATAAATAACAATAATACTCTTTGCATTTGATATAATGTTGTATCATACGGTCAAAATGCCTTCAAGTGCTTCACGGATTTTGCTGTAAAGTGTGATGACTGCATATTCTTGTCATTTTTATGTGCATCTCTCAGGTGTGTTCTGAACACATTCTGTGGTAGAGTGCTGGTATGTGAAAAATTGTTCTGCGGATAAGAATTTGAAAGAAGTAATACACTATTGAAAAAGTATTTTGCAAAGTATTTCTAAGGGAAGAAAAGCTGCGACACAACAAGCTCATATAAATGACATCACGAGGCATTTCAATGTCATTTATGTCCACATGTTTTGTAAGGGAATTTTAAAAAAATCCCTTTAAAGATCCTTGGTTGTATATTGACACATCCAATCAGGCCAGTGGATATGTTAAGGTGGAGACACACAGTCACAGAGGCTCTGATAAAGCATTGGTTTTACTTAAGTTACAATTTAGAAGTTCGCATCGAAGGGCATCCCAATGGATTGGAAATGTAGAGGGTCAGGCACTAGCTTAAAAGTTGAAAAAGTCCCATTGTATGGTAGCTTGTCGGTTACGAATGAAATAGTTGTAGTGTTCATTATGTCAGAATGTCTAAAAGCACTTTACAGATAGTGTGAAGTGCCGTGACTGTTTTATAAATCACATTTCTGCCATCAAGATCCTGCAAGCAGCCTTCAGGCAAACGGTCAATTAATATGGAGGATTGTTGGCCACCTGCATGTGCAGTTTTTAAAGGATACATTTTTCAAGCAAGTTAAAGTAACATCATTTCTCATTTACTCACTAATCTGCCAGTGCATACTGATTCCCAAGTACACTCCGTCTATTGCAATTTTTAAAAAATATCTTCACTATTTCTGTCCATACTGCTTAGTCAGTCATGTGTTAAAGAGATTTCAAGCCCTTATCCTTGTTTGACTTTGTGTTACTGTACCTATATTTAGATATTTTAAAACCAAAAGCTAGTTGTTACAGAGGATGTTTTAGATTCACAGACAAAATAATAAACACAGATGAAAAGTTATAGCTTAAATATAATTTCTGTCAAGTTTCACTAAATTTTAAATTAGTGGAAAAAACTGAAATAATAAAATGTTGAGTAAATGTAACTGTTTAAAGAAACACATGTACAAGTAATAATCTTTGTATTTCTGTCTTTTCTTCAACTAAGATGTCATGGCAGACCATACGTTACAAGACACAGATGTTTCCACCTACACTCAGTATCCCAACCTGTCATTACCTTCAATGCAACCGTCCACTACAATGCCATCTTATTACTCAAACAGTTACTACACACAGTACTCTGAGGACTGGTACACTCCAGCAATGTACGAAGTGAAAAAGCTGTCCTGTGAGAAAATGTTTAGTAAAGAAACAGAAGAGTGTGACACACCCGTTGCCAAGAAGGCCAGAATGAACAGTCTCTCTGGGAAAATGAAAGGGGAAGAACTATGTGTTGTGTGTGGAGACAAAGCCTCAGGATATCACTATAATGCACTTACCTGTGAAGGATGTAAAGGTAAGAATTACCTACTAGATAGTATTAATTGCAATTAATCATTAGTGATGCAGGGGTGGTGTAACTGCTTTTTAGCATCACTGGATCAGAAGGTCATGACTTCAAGCTTCATATTTGGAGTTGAGCTCATAGACATCCTCCTGACGTGAGAGGCACTACATAAATCCAAACTGTATTGTATTGTCTCGGCTGACGACTGATTCTCTGGTCCAGAGCAGGGAGCTGCTTCATTGTCGGAGGTGCAGTGTTCCAGATGAAACATTAAATCTATGATGGTTCAATTTGCCAAATCGTCCTCCATCATAAATGGTCACACAATCCATGACTGTTAGTGGGACACTGCTGTGCGCAATTGGCTGCCACGTTTTACCCACAAAACATAACTAATTCACTTTACAGTATATTCTGTGAAGCACTTTGAGACATCTCGAAGAAGGGATAAGGCGATATATCAAAATGCAAGGATTATTATTATTATGATTCCAAAGCAAATTGCCAATTTGGCATCAACCCATTAGAAGTTCTATGGGATATAACCACAAGTGTATGAACTTATTTGAGGCAATTCAACTCATTTTGTGTGAGATCAGTTATAGTCCCCAGAGAAAAAGAGAGAGTATCCATATAGGTCATGGTCATGTCTTGATTCAAAACTCAGGACTCAAAATGATACAAGGATATGGATCTAACTCTACTGTTTTCCAATCTGCTGGAATTCTCTGGATTTTGGTGGCTGGGTTGCATTCATTATCAACTGACAATCAGTATTTTCTCTCAGCTTTAAAGTTTTCAAAGCAGTTCATGAAAGTTGACCTCTCTGTCCCATACGTAGAAATAGCTAGTACATAGAGATTTTGTATTTGCCTTGAAGATGTACATGAAGGAACCACAGAAGGAAAACTGTTGTCATTTATCATTGAGCAGTTGTGTGCAAGTGACCTTGGAACGTTCTATGTCCTTGTGGCAGATGTAAAGTATGATAATGTGTTGTGAAATGTGATGGAGAAATTAGGTGAGGTGACGTTCTTTTGCAGTACTTCAGGACAAACAGAGCAAGAAATACCTCATTCTGAGAACACTGAATTTGTCATCAATAAAAAAATATTAGCTAGAATTTTCTTCCAATCATAGTCAGAAAAAAAATGTGTACCTATTGCTTAACTGTGAAATGTTTACTTTACACGGCACAGTTCTTCACTGCCAGAACACAGATCTACAGTGTGATATGAGCACTGTTACAGAATTTAACTTAATTTCTCTGTTCTCAAGGTTTCATTTAATTTATTTGAACTGTTGAGGCATAAAGTGCTTATTGATACATAATGTACACATCACTTCAGTTATGCCTACATTTTACAATTCTCTGGCTTTGTGGAATTTAACACTTTAATTACAATCTTTTTTACTGGTTATGTATGACAATGCGCTATGGTTGCCAGCTCTTGAGTTGATGTTTAACTTTGTATGCTATTCTACCAAGAACGGAATATAATGATTCCCTTCAATACAGGAAGAGAAGTGTTTACTTCTTAATCAAATGCAACAAATTAGACAATATCTATGTTTCTACACAATCTAGTTTAATTGGAACAGGAACACAGTTCTTTAGTTGCAGTTTTTTGGGGGCAAATGCATTCTGTGAGTCTCCTCTATGAAGAACGGCAAAAACCTGATTCCAGATGTATCTTTGGGACATTATCTTAGTGTCCCTGCTTGTCTCCTCGTCCCCTCCATCCCACCATCGGAGGCTGCATTTTCAGCCACTACGTCCCGAAGCTTTGGAACTCTCTTTTATATCATGAATGAAGACCTTCCTCTTCAACCGCTCTTCTGGTCACCTTCTCCCTCCTTTAGCTCGGCACCAGGCTCCCTCACCGTTAAGCACTCCGAGACACTGCCACGCATGAAGGTGGTATATAAATGCAAGTTGTTGTAGTTAGTGGAAATTGAATCTTCATTGCCCTCACATCTCCATCAGCATCATAACAACAACAACAAGATTCCATTTATAGAGCGCCTTTCACGTTGGGAGGACGTCCCAAGGCGCTGTTCAGTTGGGTCAGAACCCGAGCATTGGGGGGAAATGGTCAGGGTGAGGGAAGGGAAGGGAGGGAGCGAGTAGGGGGAAGAGAGTCGAGAGGGGAGCTGAAGGCTGAAGGTCAAATAGAAAGGTCTTGAGACCGGCCTTGAAGGAGGAAAGGGAGGAGGCGGCGAAGGCACTGGGGGATAGAGTTCCAGAGCCTCGGGGCTGAGAGGCTGAAGGCCCAACCACCGATGGTAGGGCGGTTGGGGCGGGGGATGTGGAGCAGACCGGAGCCAGAGGAACGGAGGGTACGGACAGGTAGGTAGGGGGCTAGTAGGTCGGAGAGGTGCACAATTCTTTGGAATAGCCTTCAGTCTAAATTTAATGAATGTAGCTTGTGGTTTGATTTATTCCTCAGTTAATGGAAGAGCTGAAATATGTCACTGCATGGATCATTTACACAATAGAAGAAGCAGATAACTTACACAATTGGAATTTGACAAAATAATTACTGGACTATCATTGTAATGCACTTATATATGCACGTGATTTCTGCATAATTTTCCTTTAATAATTCTAATTTTAATTCACAAGTGTAGAACAATGTGCAGTTTGAGCTGATATGAATCTTGACTCATTAATATAAATGATAATAACTCTGTAACAAAGCTTGTGGATGGATCTGGTAAGCATTAGAAAATGAATTGCACTCTTACCAGTTTTGGCGGAGTTAGCAATTTTGGCATTAGAATATTTTTCTGGAGTTTTGAAAGATTTTATTATCAAATATGAATGCAGATGTGATGAGTTTACCTCATTATCAATCAAACAGATGCTGGCACATCGCCCTTTCTCACATCATAGGAAAACTGAGGCAGACTTTGTCTGTTTCTATTCTATCTATGCTGCCCATAAACATAGTATAGAAGCTTTAATTTAGACCAGAAATCTTGTCTTGCTCAAATTGTGATTTCTTTAGAATCAAACCAAAAAATGTTGCTAAATTTAGATATTGATTAGATCGAGATTATGCCTTTGTTACAGCAAACTGCAGATTAGAATTTGAACTAAATTTCTATGTTGCCAGTGAATTCAAAGAGAGAAAGATTTTGTATTTGTCCTGACTATTCCCCAAACTCCACTATCCAGTTAGTTTGACCATCCAGATAGCATTTACACAGAAGAGAGGAGAGTTTAGCTTGGTGCTGTGATGGGAAGAAAGCAGGGTGGGAATTCTGGAAAAGTAAGATTAGATGGGTCAAAGGGCCTACTTTTATTTGAACTGACCTTATATGATCTGTCATCAAAATGCTGTGATAGATTTAGAATTTTGCATTAAAACATTGAGCCCCCACCCCCAAAATATTATTCCGGTGGGGTAATCATCCCTCCTATTTAAAAAAACGTATTCACTCAATCCATGACTGTTTGCGGGACACTGCTGTGCGCACTTGTCTACTTCGTTTTGCCCACAAAATACACAGTCACTCCACTTAACAATATATTCTATGAAGTGTTTTGAGACGTCTCAATGACATGATAAGGCCCTATATCAAACGCAAGGATTTTTATTATTATTTGTAGCATTCTGAAGGAGTTATTGCAGAAAGATGAATAAAAACTAACACATTTTATTTAAATAGAGTTCAGCCTTTTCCTCCAAGTACTGATAATTTAGCGTCAAGAAGGCACATTGGACATTCGGTTATAAAGCTGCAGTAAAGGGCAAACATGATCACATCACCATTAACTCCTCCTTCACTGTATTCAAGCTGTATTTATTGATAATGAGTTCATTCAGTTTACTGCCTGCTGCACATCTCTTCAATGGATTTGGTCATGTGTACGGTTCAAATCAAATCTAAAGCTAGTCACAAATCTAATTTATGTTACTTGGAATTAAATTTGTGGGAGTGAGTGGTAAGAAAATTGGATTCTTTTGAACTGTTCAAAGCTTCTGGTCTTTGGAGAGCAATCTGATACGTGAAAAATAGAAAGCACAGAGAGATGACTCATGTGGAACCCATTTTAGTTGTTAGCACATTGTTTCCTTCAAGTCACAATCCACAGTGCACACATCATTTCTTCCTCTCTCCCAGTGCAGTGACTGATTTATTGAACCTTAATTTCCTTAACACCCTATGACCCACCCCACATATTTGATAAAATATCTGATGAATCATTGTAAGAACAGTTTAGTTTGCGAATGGGATGGATTTTTACAGGAAGACGTCTGTTTTTACTGTTTAAACAAAGTAAATCGATGTGAATCAGACTCTGGGAATCAATGCAAGACAGCTCTACCTTTTGTGCTGGCGTTTGCAGACTCCAGCTTAAGCTCAACCTTTGCCCCATGCAGTTTTACTCACCTAACATCTCCAGCATCTCTGTCATTCACCCATACGATACTCAGCCCTCTCTTCTCTGCCCCCACCCCCCTTTGCTCTTTCCCCTCTTCATCCCCCCAGCTTCTGCCCCTGCTGAATTCTGAGCCAAGTTTAAATTAATTTTACAGGATTTACTGTAAAGTGTAGTGATTTTGTATTTGAAGTCGAACGGGCAGGCAATTTACACACAACAATGTCAAATGACAAGCAGCCATGAAGTGAATGACAAATGTTATTGGGAGATTGTTAGCCAGGATACCAAGCCACCCTGACACCAGGTGAAACTGTTAGAAACACTGGGACAGTTATTTATGGTGTGGTCTAACAACCTGGTCAGAAGGAGCAGGTGAATCAATGACTATTTACAGGGTGTGTACAGTGTTCGATCAGGAATTTCTATTGTCATATTTATTTCCATTTTAAATCAACCTTGTGATCCCAAAGTTAGTGTCACATAATTACCAGTTGAATGCCCATGTGATTTTGTAACCTGTTGGACTGAATGACCCGTTTCAGTTCTGTGCGGTCTACATAATTCAATATAATTTAGTATCATCTTAAAATAATATTGATGCCCAATTTATATCGTGTTTGGATTGGGATGATCAGGTGTATCTCAGCACCCATTCCTGTTTGTATAATTTGTAATAATTTTCCAAGCCACAAGTTTGAACACTCGCTCAGAATAGACTGATAGATATACATTGGTACCACATTGTGAATAGGATGACCAGAATATCAGAGTGACTTGATACATCATGGTGCTGTGTAACTGATGCTAAAGATGTCCTTAAATTGATGCTCATAATGATAACAATAATAATAATCCTTGCTTTTGATATAGCGCCTTATCACGTCATTGAGAAGTCTCAAAGCGCTTCGCAGAATATGTTGTAAAGTGGATTGTCTGTATAATTCCTATTTCCATACGTACTTCAATCCGTGATAAGTTCAGGTCTTCAGCATTGATTGAATGCAGCTCATTGACAACTTTAGTGGATAGAGGCAAAATACTGCAGTCGTAAACTTTTCATAGAATTACATTGACTGTAAAGCACTGAAACAGGGCATTTGGCTCACACCCTTCTGTGCTGGTGTTTGTATAGCACTTGAGCCTCTGACTATTCTAATTCCTTCTCACTATCCCCCTCCCATATCTCTCTATTACCTTCTCTCTGATGTAGTCAAATTAGTGACATTTGACATGGCCATCGTTTCCCAATGAGCAATATGACCATTGTCAATATTTTTAAGGTTGGGATATATTTATGTAATGCTGAGTTTCAGGCTGCCTTGCTCGGATTCCCAAATCTCCCACAAATCTTTTATCCACATGGTTGTACTGTACTGGGTGCTTTGGGCTGCAATTTTTTTTGATATTTTTAACTCAATAAAGCACAGATGCTTTGCCTGGGGTCTGAAAAGCACAGCCGTCATAGAGACTGATCATTGCAGTCAGCTTCACTGGCAACGCTGGTTTTGTACTTTCTCAGAACTTAAAATTCCCCAAATGCTATCCTGATTCCTCAAGCAGGTTCTACAGCAATTTCTTACTAACGTCAAATCTCCAAGAGCATTGCATGTCACGTCAGTACATTAAGAAGATGCAACATCTGTACATCCTGAGGGTTAGCTCTTCCTCTCAATGCAACCATCAAAAGCCATCTGCTACTGTCAAATTAGTGGACTAACTTGTGAACGCCAGCCACTTAAAATCTCTGCTCTATTTGTACCACTTCAGACTTATATAAACAAGGTGAAGCAGCCACTTTGGAACACCACACCTACAGAGGCTCATTCCTATATTTGTTAGTCTAGGTTCCACTGCATATGTACTGCATATTGCAAACTGCAGTGAAAAAAATAATACACTGTAGAATGCAGTTTGCCGAGAGATTAGAATTTATGTGTCCCAATGCTATAAGGACTGAATGTGAACGGAGAACTTCGTAACATAATGATCTGTTCCATCATAAGTATTGTTTAAAGAAAAGGGGCAATTATTACTTTGAAATATACCTTGTTTAAATGATGGTAAACATTCAATTGGGCTGGAAAATATCTGTTCCCTGTACTCCAGAGAATTTTAGCCATTGCTGCTATTATTTCTTCCCAGTCCTCATTTTGAAATGGCAGCTTCAGTAATGTAAACTTAATTACTGTCTATTTTGCATGTTCCTTTCATATTGCTCTGCGGGAAGTATTATTAAATCTACTGATGCTATCTTACCACGTTATTAAACTTAGCAATGAAATCAGTGAAAATATGGTCATTGGGCTTTCATAAACAAGGTTGGTTTGTTCTTAGATAAAAGCTTCAGAAGCGTTTACTGCGTATATTCAAGACTTGCATATAGTCTGGAAAAATATTTTTCTATCCCTTTGGATCTTATGAATCCCAATGAAGTTATTAAGAGCTACCTTTAACGTTGGACCTTCTCTTGACAGTTATAATCAGTGATTTCTAAGCTTCATAATATCATAGAATCCTTTTTTTAAAGGATATCATATTGCTCCATTTTCTTCCCATTCCTTGAGCTGTTCCTGGGCTGTGCACCACTTGATAATAATAATAATATCCTCATATTTCATATAGCTGCTTTCACAATAGGGATGACCTAAAGTCCTTCACAAGATCTCCTGTGAAATGGAGTGACTATGTATTTGTAGGTGAACACAGCAGCCAATTTGCGCACAGCAACATCCCACAAAAAGCCATGAAATGAATGACCAATTTAGATTGTGGGGGTTTGTTGACCAGGACACTGGGAGAAACTCCCTTCTCTTTTCAAATAATATTAACACAATGTCTGCCTCCATATAAAACAGCGGAAAAATTAAGATGATGGAAAAATCCGAACGTTCTAATAATAATCCTTACGTTTGCTTTTCAATTTATTAAATATTACCTTGCTATAGCCATTTTTATTTTGAGTTGTGTCCTACATTAATAAACTGGTGCAATTACAATTTTCTCATACATTTACGTTACTTTTATTTTCCAGGTTTCTTCCGACGCAGCATCACTAAGAATGCCTCGTATAAATGCAAAACTGGAGGCAACTGTGAGATGGACATGTACATGAGACGCAAATGTCAAGAATGTCGACTGAGGAAATGCAAAGAAGTGGGGATGCTGGCAGAGTGTGAGTGTGTCAGTATATCTTTAGGAACATCTAATAGAGCCAATATCATTTGAGGGATGTGGCCTCAGTTTAGGTTTTCAGGTCACTGTACTGGACTTAACACACTTGAGCTCCAGTGCTAGCTCACCTTTAAATCTCTAAAATTGCAGAATCCAGTTCCAATGAAAGCCCAAGCTCCACAAACTTGTCGTTAGATGTATATTCCCACAAAGACTCTTGAAGTGAATTGTATCTGTGGGATTGTTGACCTAGGACAACAGGAGAAAGTGTGATGGCAGGAGCAACCAGACTGGACCTTGGTTTCAAGACTCATCTGAAGGATTTAGAAAAGTTCTTGTTCTTCATTTTTCTCCAACGAGAATAAATCTAACTTTGAAACCTCTTTTTATAGCTCAATGATCTAAAACCTGGAATGATCTGTTTTGCCCTCTAATCATTAGTTGCTTGTGTATATATTTTAGGTACATTCGGATACAACCTCTATGTGTAGCCTAATCATATTTTAAAGTGTTTCAATATCACTTCTACACCCACGTCCTAGCAACCAGCTTATTATATTTGCCTTTGCAGCTGGTGCTGTATACCACCACAGCCCTTTAATGGTTGACCATGCAGAAAGAAATTCCACCTCTCTAGACTTAAAAATAAATTGTAGCTTTTCAGAGCTAGCACATTTTGGACACCTTTCAAATTCAGTCTTAATTTTGAAGCTGGCCTTCTGTATGTTTTTTAAGACTAAATTTAGACCGGGTTTAAAAATTTTCCTAAATTGAACACACTGAACTGCTACGAAAAGTTGTCTAAGTCCAGGTGGAATTTCTGTTCCAGAAATTCAGACTCATCTTACTTAACAATATGACCTAAAATATCCAATTAAATCTTCTATGTACATCACTGGTGTAAAATGTTTTAATTTCTCGGTATCAAATTTCATTACAGTTAATTTGGCAAATGGAAATCTTGGTAGATTTATTTCCATTTTATCCATCTTATCTGAAATTGTTCTCTTCTACACAGTTACCAATCGTGGGTAATCTATCGCTAATATTTTAATTTAGATCATTACATTTTGGCAGCCAAGCTTGATTCTGTTGTGTATTACGTTTCTACCTACACTGCAAGCTAGGTCAATTTTAGTTTAAATGTTGCAAAGGCCTAGTTTAAGGGTTGTCAGCAGTCTTATCTGACAGAAGCAGTCCTTGAAAGTGCTGTGTAAATATACATCTTCTTAACTTGAGATATGTCCTAATCCATTGTCAGCATTGCTGTGCAATCGCTATTTCCAGGTGTCCAACAGTTGTAAAATATTGCTGGGAGAAGTCCACGTTAGATATTTTTGTTCCTTCTTTTGGGCAAAGCAGTAAAAAACAATTATGCTGATACCAGTATCCCTGATGATCTAGTTAATGGTAAATACAGCACTGCGCTACACAAACCATACATTTGCAGGTGGAATCCCATTCAGTGCCAAGTTAGCTATTAGCTGCCAAGATAGCCATTGGAATGCTATTATTGCCTTAATGCCTTAATACTTTGGGGTTAGGGGTGAAAAAAAACAGTCAGGGTTCCTGTTCTTTATCGTTACCCCAAAACTGTTAGTGAAATGTGTGCATGTGTGAGGTTGTGTTATCAGCAGTGATATCTCCTGTTGCTGAGCAACTTCCCAATGCTCACTGTCATCGCTCACATATAACTAAAGGCCACATGGGTGAGGTATAGAAGGATGAAAAACCTCTATCAAACCTTATCCAGGAGAAGTAGAAACTAGTCGAACTCCTTCTGAAGAGGAATAAGAGAGCGAACGGGTAGAAAAAAATAGGTTGGTGTTAGAATTATGCAAACAAAATAAATGCAGGTACCGATAACATAAAGTGCTGTTTCAAATCTCTGAGCATCAAATAATAAGATGAAAAATGCAATATGTCGCAAGATCACAAGATTGGTTCAGATTAAGAAGGCTCTTTGGCCCATCCAATCTCACTTACAAAACACCCATCCTACCATCAGGGTATCCAACTGCTTTTTAAATGGGTCTTGTGACCACCTTTCCTGGCAACCTGCTCTAGTCATTGATTATCCTCTGAGTAAAGAAACTTCCTGAAATTGAAGTGCTGATTTTCACCTAGTCAAAAATTCCAGCCCGTTGATGGTTTCATTTGTTTTCTGCATCTATGTGGGGGTGGGGATGGGGGAGAGAGAACATCAATAAGCTTTTATCAAAAGGCCACTGCCTTTCAAACATATAAGTGTGAACTACACATCCAGAAAGATCACCTTGTTAGGTTCTTATGGCTGTCAGCAGTCTGAAGAAATCCACTGAGGTCTATTCACAAAGGGTTTGGTCAGCATTTGCCCATGACTGCTGTCAACATCTTAAAAGAAACTTATGAAGCTCAGCACTGACCTCTAATTACTCAATGTACAGCGTTGTGCTTTCAGTTACTTATTGTCATTTTACAAAGATAAAGCTTATTCTATCACGTGCTTGCTGCAAACACAGATACCGTCGACTGTCAGTAATAAAAGAGATAAAGTTATATTAAACTTGAAGCTGCATTTTCAAGAAGCTTGAAGAGTACCAAATGCAATAACAGATAATCTGGTGACAGGCCAAAGGGAAACAAAACTATCACTCATCGCGATAAGGGTCTGATTTATCATTAAATATCACTTGGGCTGAAAGCGTTGGGAAAGGGGTTCTCTCCACCATTGTTCTAAACAGAAACACAGATTTCCTTTCTAGTGGAGCACAGTGGTTTAAAGGTCAGAATTTAGCAGGAGCCTGATGCAGACCTTTTAGAAGGATGGTCAATTTTATCATTGAGACATGTCAGATCAAACTGACACAATGAGAGGTGCTATTCTCGGTAGCCAGCAGCGGAAACATTGACTTCCTTGACTGAGCAGCTCATGTTGCTCATAAATTGAACATTAGTATTTTCATAAATATTGCAGCTGCTATATTTCAAATCCTTGACAGGTTTTAACAAAAGAGTTTGTGGAGGTTTTTTAGGGACAAGGCTGGCAATTTAACTCAACTCGTAATAACATTTCACATAGGTTTGAAATTCAACATGAAATTTCTTAATATTTTCTTTAAAAAAATTTGATTTATATGTCCATGTTTGTATATCAATATGTCAGGACATCTTTATAGCTTTTGCCTAGAGTGTATCATCTCGAAACATAGAAGTACAATGGAATATTGTATGAAGCTGTTTTTAACATAAGCTTTTTCAAACTAACCAAGAGTAATTTCCCTGTCAGAAAATCTTTTCATTCTGTGTCTATTTGTAAAAGATGATTAAATGCATTATCTGAAGAGTGCAATTCCTTCAAAACAACTGAGGTCATATTTTTAATACGCCTCATCCAATTCGGCTACATTAATATAATATGAACATAAAACTGCTAAAAATAAATAAGTGCACAAGCTGGTTTAACATCTGGAGAGGATGTGCACAATCATTGCATTTACAAAGTGAATTGTGATAGATTCTGGTTTGAAAATGGTTGCATTGGGTGATGCACACTTATGGTAGCCAACTATGGTGAGGATTTATGTTGCAATCCATTTTACAAACTGAGATGTTGTTAATTAATTGAAGAATCCATTCTAGAATATTTTTGGGGAGGCAGAGTGGGTTAGCACATTGTTTGTCTGTAGTATTTTTTTTCTTCCAAACATTTTGTATTGTTTTGCTCCATTGTAATATCAAATTTCCAACTAATGATGATAATAATTCTTAGTGTCTTTTGTGTAAGGAGAAAGTCTGAAAATGCTTCACAGGATATACTGTAAAGTGGAGTGACTGCGCTATGTGGGCAAACATTCTTGTGACTCCATATTCTGTTCCTCCAGGTCTTTTAACAGAAATTCAATGCAAGTCAAAGCGACTGAGGAAAATCCCACTGAATTCAGACCAGCCAAGCAATGATGCTGTTGACAGTATTGATTACAAACAGGTGACCTCCACAACAAAATACAGCAAGGTAAAGAAAAAACTTTGGCAATATTAATTTTTTTGTCTAATATATCCAGAATCTGTTCAGCAAAGCTGTATTTATTACTGTCACGTCTAGTTAATGTATATGTTGGCAAATACGTTGGCCAAGACAATAGGGTATCACAAACAGGATGAGGTGAATGATCAATTCGGATGATTGTTGCCCAGGATATTGAAAGAAACTCCTTGAACAAGCAGACAGGATCTCAGGTTAAAATCTTATATGGAAAACGACTCCATGGACAATGCAACACTCCTCAGTACTGCATTGCAGTGTCAGCCTGTAATACGAACACACATCCTAATGTGGAGCTTGATTCTGAGGCAGAATGTGACTGGCCTTGTCAAGCTGGCAAACTAGTAAATCACCGAATATCGATAGCTCCACGTTTGTACCACATTTGTTGCCTATGTAGCTGCGTGCGCTCTGAGACTCCGTCCGGCGTGGAGGGCACTATATAAATCCAAGTTGTTGTTGTTGTTGTTGAATGTGGTATAATCTTGCCTGAGGTAACAGACAGGCTGACTTATTACCTTCTGTCATGAATCCCATTGTTTCAGATAAGGCATTGTCTTCAGTTACAGATACTCTCATTTCACATATCTTATCTGTTGACAGTTAATATCGCCCTTTACAAAAGGCTAAAGCAGTTTATAGACCATTCAGTTTACGCTATAAAACAGGTTCCCACAGCCATCCTAATACACTAAGACCTGGAGGAACAGAATATAGAGTCACAAGAATGTTTGCCCACATAACGCAGTCACTCCACTTTACAGTATATCCTGTGAAGCATTTTCAGACTTTCTCCTTACATGAAAGGCACTAAGAATTATTATCATCATTAGATATTTGATATTACAATGGAGCAAAACAATACAAAATACAAAAATAACCTCATACGTTTATTTAATTATTAGTTACTCTATTACAGTAGCCAGGCTGAGAGTGAGATGGGTTCTGGAGTTGAGAGCATGTCTAGGTTCATAAAATGATCATTTTCTTTGCTCCAATGCCTTGATTTATATCTAAGAAATGTTGTTAAATAAAAATGCAGAAATGAAAAGTGCTTTGAAAACAAAACATCTTGGGTCATTGAGTACAGAACTATGTAAACAGTTAAAGATTAAATAAAATATCTTTTTGTGTTCACGAGACTTTTGACACTCGGGAATTTATTGCTTAAAGTGTATATACTACAATACAGTACATGTAAGGTAAACACTGTATTTTGGTCATGTGACAATGTTGCACTTTGACAGGATATCTAATCATCAAAATAAAACAAATTACTCAATAAGATTATTAATGATACTGTGTTTAACGTGTGACTTGTTATGCTTCTCACTGTATTTCTGTTAAACCAGGAGAAAATAGAACTTACCCAAGAGCAACAGGATCTCCTGAGGTATATCCTTGATTCTTTTATCAAATATCGCATCCCTCAAGAGGTGACTAAGAAACTGGTAAGTGTTTGCAGGTGGAACTATCAACCACAAAAGTGGAGAATTAGTAATAATAATAACAATCCTTGCATTTGATATAGCGCCTTATCACATCTTCAAGATGTCTCAAAGCGTTTCACAAAATATATTGTAAAGTGAATTGACTGTATGTTTTGTGGGCGGATGTGGCTGCCAATTGCGCACAGCAGTGTCCCACAAACAGTTGTGGATTGAGCGACCAAATTATTTTTAAAAAATTATTTTGGTGGAATTATTACCCCCGGAAAAGCGATTCACCAATCGACTAACAACCGGGAGCTTACTTACTGCTTGGTAAACAGAGATGTGTGGAGTAACGAAACTGGCACGTTTCACCTTACCAGGAATCGAACCTAGATCCTCTCGCTTGCGAGGCGAGTGCTCTAAACGCTAAGATACAGGACTCCACAGAAATAAATAAGTGACCTGAAATCGTTAATGTCTATCTAAACAACCAGAAAGGAACTTGGTTTTAATGACATTTGTACCAATGTAGTATTCCACCAATACTACACTGGATTCCAGTAATGCATCCCCAAATGTGGGATTTGAACCCAGAACCTTTGACTCAGTTAGCGCAGACTGACAGCCTTATACTTTATATTAAATTAGTTTAAAACTGGTACTAATCTTGTAATTTGAATGACAAATATTGGTTCATTTTAAAGCTTATTCAGAAAATGTGCTCACATACCACTCTCGTTCAATTTTTTGGTTGATCTCATTTCAAAGTAATTGTACAACAAGGAATAACTAGGTTGAATTGCTTTTCATAACCAGCTGCAAGAGCGATGCAATGCTGAGGAAAATTTCCTGCTCCTCACAGAAACAGCGACAAGTCATGTTCAGGTGCTTGTGGAATTCACCAAAAAATTACCAGGTAAGGAGGCCGGGATGGTTTGTGCTAACCAGCTTATTCTAGGTCTTGGGATTCAACAGAAACTTTCAAAATCAAAACACGCAACCAGATACAGTATTAGGAAAAATAGTTTTGGGTAGAACATGTTTGGACAACAAAAATGAACCCCTTGCTCTTTTGTGTTAATCAAGAAATGTTTCAGCAAAACACTCTTTTATTTCAGACTTTTGGCCTCTCCAGTATTTTGCCTTTTGTTTAATCTTTTGTAAGTGTTCAGTGGATAGCATTAAGCAAAATGTTGGTCCTTTGAAAGAACTTTAGTTTTGAATATTTAGTCTTAAAGGGTAGGACTTTTGTAGAGACTTGTACATTACTGCATGTCAGAGCTGCTTTGTTGGAGGTGTTGCCCTTATGTTATTCAATAAAAGAGAAGGGAATTTTCCCAGTGTTCTGACCAACAATCACTCAGATAAAATTGGTCCTTCACTGCATGACTGTTTGTGGGACATTGCTGCATGCAAATTGACTCCGATGTTTGACTACAAAATACGTAATCTCTACACTTTAGTGAAGTGCTTTGCAACATCCTCCTGGTGTTTTAATTTCTTAATATCCTAATCTCCTGCTTTAAACGTTCAGGTTCTAGTACTGTAGAAATAACTTGTTTGATTTATTGTTAATAATGAAAATGAATAACAAGTGTTTGTGGATTGATAATCATTGTAAAAGTGTATAATGCCTCTTCAGTTCAAAACTGTTCAAAAGGAAATGCAACATAGTTTTTTTTCCAGATCTGCCAACTTGTGATGAGTGTGTGGGTGGGCACAGCATTGAAGTATCCATAACACAAGTAGATACTGACCATAACACAAGTAGATTTTAGACAGATACAATGGTGACTCATCCATATCTCATTACACAGTAATTCACATCATCATAACATTCATCAAGGAATAGTGGTAGATTTTGCCCTCCTCCCTATCCAGGGAACAGAGACCCATATGAATCTAACTCAGCACATAACCTTTAATAAAATAAAATAATTTAGATTGAACCTGGGATCTTGACAATCTGGGTGGTTCAGTTGCTCGCTGAAGTTGAGTATCAGAGGAGACACCAAAATATAGATCTGTAATTGTCTCCATCTCAACACATGACAGATCTCATCAGAATAAGCCTGTTAACACAGATGGTGATATTATTGAATAAGCCTGTTAAAATAGATGCTGCTGTTATTGAACAGCATTCCCTTTTCATGTAATCAAATTTTCAGGGAGACACATTGATTAGTTTGTTTTCTGCAGGATTTCAGGCTCTGGATCACGAGGATCAGATTGCATTGCTCAAGGGCTCTGCAGTGGAGGCTATGTTTCTTCGCTCTGCCCAGATTTTCAGTAAGAAAATTCCACATGAGCAAAGTGAACAGAAGCAAAGTGAACTGCTGGAAGACCGAATTCGCCATAGCGGTAGGTATAAAGAGAATCTTTTTATTATAGCAAAGCACTATCGGCTTAATATTGCAATTGATATTTCCTCAAAAGTCCTCGAATTCAAAAATATATCACAGATTATTAGACACAAAAATAATGGATGGGGTGGGGAAGTGAGTGAGAGGCTGTGTCATTAGACCATTTGTGAAGTAATCAGAACTTACTTATACCTGTAATGCTGAAGAGTTTTGTGCTCAGTTCAGTACAACAACTTGCATTGCTATAGCACCCATCACATAAGGGTAACATCGTGGAGCATTGGACACAGAGCGGGGTGGATGCTGAGCAAGGGGGAGGGAGGGAGCAGGTTTTAAAATGGGACTTACAAACAAAAAGAGAGAGCGCAAGATGGATGGCAGAGGGAAGATGTTTGAGAGGTGAGGGGGGAAAGGATCTGAAGGCTCAGCCACCGATGGTATCCCAGAGAGAGCAAAGGGTGAACAGCAAACCTGAAGTTACCAAACTAAATAGCTATAACCTTTTGTATTAATCTCTTTTAAATTGGATTACCTGTAGTACCCAACAATCTAACTGGAGTTTGAGCAGGCATGAATAATGCAATTTGCATCCTGAAACTAGGTCCAAGTAAAGATAAATATTTTAGGTGGTTCTTTTTATTCTTACAGTGCTAATGGGAACTCAGTGTCACTTGTGCTGAAAAGGAGCATATCAGGTGCAGGTTCTGGATAGAATTTCTTGTTTTTGAGGGGGAGGTTAGATTGCAGTAGATTCTGCTGAATACTTGGAAATAGTAATAAAAGAATGATGAAGCAATCCTACACACATGCTTGGTGATGCAGATTGGTTCGGGTGATTTATTGACTGAATATTCCATGTACAATGACGCAGCCTATCTTTAAGGATCTGACTAGTTCCTTGAGTGCAAAACCATGCATTGATTATTATAGGAAACTCACAATCTAAATTTCATCCAATTTTATTCCCTTGGTTGTATCAATAATCATTGTTATATTTTGAAGCCCTTTGAGATGTCTCAATGACATGATATCAAATGTAAGAATTATTATTATCAGTACAATGATTTTTCATAAATAAAATTAAATCCTGGACTTGCCTGTTTGCTTCCTGTGACAAAAGCTGAAACATGTGACTGACAATGGACTATGCCATTATCCCTGATTTATCTATGAAACAACTTGATGTTGTAATGGAAAGATAGAGGGTGAATATTGTGAAAGATTACATCAAATGGTCGCAAGAGCCTTCTTCATCTGAAACTGACACTATCACCTCTATGGAAAATAGCATCAACGATCAAATAATTCCAGATGAAATTTTCTGTCAGCATTAATTATCTTCTCAAAATTACTATTTGTTTGTAATGCATCCAGGACAAAAACTCCCTCATCTAATGTGTTGGTAACTACCACTATCACCCAAATTATTTGCAACTTTTGTAATTATCTGAAATGATGCAATGGTTTAACTTGAGGTCTTTTCTGAGAAGCAGATTAAACAAAATACTTGTCAAAAAATTTAGATTCGGAATTTTTGGGTGAAGGCAAATCAGAAAGCCACGCACAGGTTTAAGTTATCATCTGTGTTGAACTGATCAATCTCAGCTCTGCAAGTGCCCTCAGCATCCTTGGATAAAATGGGGTTAAAATCAGCCAGCAATCCCACTTCTAATTAATATCCAGTGAAGCCCTACTGGAGGTGCAGAGGTGTAGACAAGAGAATTGGATCATGCGACACTTTAGTTGACCTCCTCAGTTGATTAACCAACCAACTTAGGGCTGCTGAGAGAAATTGAGAATTCAGTGTGAATTGGTTCTGCTGGTTTTTGTACTGTGGACACAGTTACTGGAATCTAGGTTGACCTTCCAAAGTTATTCAAAAAAGGCTTGCAGCCAGCAGAGTAGGAAACTTTTATCTCATTAATTCTATCCATATCCAAACCGAACTTCTGATGAATATTATTCTGCTGTACCGTGAAAGGTTAGAAACTCCGAAATGTTGTTCAAATGCGTTCACAAACCCATATTTGCCATCTAAATTACATCCAGCAGGTTTGAAAACAAGAGTGATCAAACAGTCACAAGCCTGAAAAATCATTTCAAAAGTAGAGAAAGTTGAAAAATGTTTGATAGTAACGTCATAGACCATTAGTGAGATTCATCCAACATGAAGTTCCTAGGTGTTTCCAAAGCAGAATTTATTGAAGTCTCCTGCAAAAATATACATCTGGCTTTCCATTCATCAGCTTCCAATCTCTTCTGCAATATCAGAAGAATCATGAATATATTTACAAACTACTAGCAATTTAGGAGCCTATGTAGTGTGAACTCCCTATAGATATTATTTCACATATTGTGGATAATCTCAGTGTTCATGCAGCTGTTGTCATTTCGTCAATGCAGAAAGTGGACCAACTTCTACATTCTGAACAGCTGCATAAACCCAGTGAACTACTGTTACCAGAATACCAATGAACTTGCACATCTCCTTTGAGTTTGTCAAAATACTGTTATTCCATGTGGAAATTTCCATGTGCATAACATTACTCAGTGAGCTTCAATAAGTTATTAACCTGATGCAAGGGTACAGAAGCATTCAACCAAACCTGTATTGAACCAGATAGTCAGTGCTGCACATAGAATCTCATCTCTTTATGTAACATGGTAAATAATACTGGTTTCTGTTTCTTCACTTTATTTTAATAAAGTAATAGATATAGATCAATGGCTAAGTGCTAAAGGGTAGATATAAATCTATGTTCTGCCATTGGTGGAAGAGCCTTCAGACATTCTTTCTCATCTCTATGGAGCTCTGAAGAACATAAGAATTTGCTCACCATCCTGGCAGTCGCATGACAAGTTGTGTCTCAAACTATATATTGTATCCTGAGGTATTATTTCCTAACAGAAATCTATCTATCCTGGAGTCCCTATGCCTTGCTTGCCCGCCCCACCCCTCCCACCCCTTTCACCTTCAATACCCACCTTAAGACCTATGTCTCTGACCACATTTTTGGCCACATTTTCCCTCCCTGCCTGAGCTCCCTCCCCAGCTCAGTTTTCAGTCAGTTGTGTGAAGCATTTTGAGACATCCTTCTCCTATGAAAGATGTTACATAAATAGAGATATAAATGGAGAAACTCCCGTCATTGACAAACTGAATTTTCATGATTTGTGATGTGGCTCATGTAGATTTTATCAAACTCTGAATCCAGAGGTTTGTCAATATACTCAACTAGATTATTATATCAGTTATTAAACTGACATAACACTGACGAGGCAGTTTGAGAGTTAGGTATTATCCTGTTAAGTCCAGCCAACAGGTTTTAACTTACCTTGCTACCTGGTGTAATATGTCAGAGTAATGATGAAAGAGTATATCCTGTAAGAGCTCAAATGTCTGAAATGAAGCTCACGGGATGGGTCGTTTCATTTGTATAGAACACAACATTTGAAAGAATTGGTTTTGCCTCTTGTAGGCACATTGTTCAATCTACACACATGACACAAACCTTCTGAATCACACAAGCCACTTGGAAGTCCAGTGTTTAGTTTTCTGCCAGAACAAATGTTGTACTTCCGACCTCATAGTTGTTCAATGTGGTCATTGGCTCATCACAAGCTAGAATTTGCTCTGATTCTTTTTGCAGCAACCCCTCAACTTGCGAGAGTCTAAAAAGTTGATTCTTTCACTCGTGGTCTTTGGAGTATTTTCACGTTTGCTTTAATATTTAGGAGCACTTGTTATAAAATGCCATAGTTGACTAAATGGTGCCTCCAGGTGTGGTGGGAAGATAATATTTATTTTAATGTGGACATCAAGGGTCTAACATATCATCTGGCCCCCTTTGTTAAAACGTGACATTCTCAGTGTGATAAGTGTGAGGTTTTTGACTGAACTGTTCAGCCTGGTCTTTGCGTTGTCATTCGTCAACCTTTTTTTTACCTAAGGACAGTCTTGTGCATAATTCATTTATGTCTCTCAGAATACACAACAGTCTATAATGACTTTGAAATATTCTAAGAACTGAATGCATTGTGTCTGATGTTGCCCTTTCTATCTAAGAACTTATTCATGTGCAGTTGGAGGGTGAAAAAGAAGCTGTTTTTGGTCAGCATCTCTTTACAGGAAGGTGTATACTGTGAATAGTTGAGTCACTTACTAAATTCTATGTTGTGCCCATGTAGTTCTCTACTTAATAAAGTTGACATCTGGATATTTGAGACTTCTTCAAACATGAATATTTCTTATATTTGTCAGTAAGGAGAAATAAGACATACCTGAGAACTAGCTCCTCTCTAGGAATTGATTTGTGGACTGTGAACTTGTTGAATGTATCCATCATTTTATTTGGCGATACATTGAAAACATAAGCGCTCCGGGATGCTACCCTGTGTGAAGGACACTATATAAATGCAAGTTATTGTTGCTGTTATTGAAAATAGACCTAAGCAGTCATTATACATGATTTAGTAATTGATGGACATCCAATAGTTTCACAGCATGTTTAGTGATAAACACTCCTAACGCTATTGGTGTTAGCTAATTTTGAGTACAGTTTTAATGGATAAAGTGTAGTGTGTTAGCACTGCTAGCTCTGATTCAGATTATATTAGCACCATTACTGTTTGCAATGGGCCTCGTAAATGTAAGACAACAACAGCAACAAGATTCCATTTATAGAGCGCCTTTCACGTTGGTTAACCTAAAAATGTTGACAATTATTTTAGCTGATGTGAACTAAATTATTGGAACCCAATTTTGTTCTGTAATTCACTCTCATTATGTAAGTGAGGAGCAAGTTCTATTCCATCATTACCAGATTATGATCCTTTGATATTCACATAATGTAGACTATAAAACTGAAGACTGTACTGAATAAACCCAATGTTTTGGTTGATTATAGAATAGAACTGATGTTCATAAAGGGGTCTGTAGATCAGACCATGTCAATCTATCTGGTATCTATATAGTTTGGCAATATCTCCTGTTCAGAAAATAATTTTCTTAGGTGTATTATTTAAACATGCAAAATATTCCTTCCTTTGGAAACCCATGATGAAAATTGGTCCAGAAATCGTCCTTTTTTTTTCTCCCTCACACAACAAGAAGTGGTTCTCTAAGTGTTTTATGATAGATAGGACTAACCCTTTAGATTCTTGGTGACATCTTTTCAACACGTTCCTCAATACGTGATACCAATAAGAATGTCTTCATAATGATTTTGCTTATATAATGCAAAACATCCACTGTTAAGAGTAATAGCAATCCTTGCATTTGATATAGCGCCTTATCACGTCTTCGAGACGTCTCAAAGAGTTTCACAGAATACACTGTAGAGCGAATTGACTGTATATTTTGGTGGGCGAATAAGATGTTAATTGCAGTTCAGTATTTTCCTGGGGAAAAGAAAAATACCCGGAATCAGCTCCACCTGGTGGTGATAACAAACTGTGAGTTATGTGTGCTGGTTTGAACATGTCCCTGTCATACTCACAGCTGGTGTTGTATCGGTCCCTGCTGTTGAAATAGATTTACTGCCGTCACACATACGCTCACTGAAATGCTCAGCGCAGTTGCTCATCTCCCAATGCTGCCATGGTTTCGTCGGGGGTTTGGTTGATAGAAATTTGCCAAGGGTTTTGCCTCTACTTTGACAGATATCTGATAGCTGCGAAAAACCAAACACAATATGAAAAAAATTAAATTCATTAGTTTTGTGTCAGTTTTAGTTACACACTGCAACGACACACAGAACCGGCATCTTAATCATATTTGCAATTTATATAGCTTCTTGTCATATTAAATATCTCATTGGTTCACATGGCAGCATTCTTTGCTCTGAGTTGTGGGTTCAAGCCCCGTATTAGAACTTTTAACCCTTGGTCTAGGCTGATACTCCAATACAAATGCTGCATTGTTAGAGGGATCAAATAATGCCATAAGAATCTTTAAAATCTACCTGTTCAGATGGATGTTAAAGATCCCATAGCATTATTTGAAAAGAGAAGGGAGTTTCTTCCTGTGTCCTGGCCAACCATTCCCACCAGGTAAAATTGGTCATTCACGTTATGGATTTTTGTGGGACGTTTCTGTGTGCAAAATGGGTTTTACATCACTTTTTACCCTTTACAATAAATTCTATGAAGTGCCTTGGGATATCCTCCCAACGTGAAAATAGCTATAACAAATGGATTGTTATTTAGTGTTGCAGAGACTGATACTGAACCAGAAGGGATTGTTATTTTGTCCAGAGGCAAATGTGCAATGAGCTGAACCACACTGAGACAGCTTTCCTCCAGTAATTTAGTGAAATGTGGAACTTTAGATTTTATATTGGGCCTTTAGTCTCTCTGTCCCCACCCTTCAGCTCCTTTGATAACAACCTCCATGTTCACAGAATCTGCACTATAGCATTATTGTGACAGTGTATATAATTTGGGTAAAAATGTAATTGCATAATACTCCAAACATTTTATTAACACAATCATTCGGGCAGGGCGAAACCTTAGGCAAGTTTCACACGCCCCTGTTTACCTAGCAGTAAGTAGGAACCTCATTATTAGTCGATTGGCGGATCGCTTTCTGGGGGGAATAAAAAATAATAATAGTAAGATTTGGTCATTCAACCCACAACTGTTTGTGGAACACTGCTGTTGTGCAATTAACGGTCATGGTTTGCACCCAAAATACACAGTTACTACGTTTTACCTTATATTCTGTGAAGCGCTTTGAGACGTTCAATCACATAAGGGGCTATATCAAATGCAAGGATTATTATTGTTATGATTGAATTGTCTACTCTGATTTTTTTATTTTTTTAAATTTATTTTTTAATAAGGTTTTTATTTATTTATTTATTTATTTTTTAAAAAGGTTTTTTATTTTATTTTATTTTTTTTTAAAAGGTTTTTGCACAATATTTGTGCTTCAATATGTGCATTCTTAGTGCAGCTGTGTAGATAATAATATACTTTTCCCCTTGAATGGTATTATTCGTAAAAGAAGAAGTGATGAAATTAACAGTTGTGGAATATATTTTGGCAGATGGGATTGCACATCTTCAGGTATGTCCCTTGCATGTTTCTGAACTTGTCAGTTTGACTTAGTTGGCGGAACTATTGCCTTACAGTCAAATGGTGGGACTTGATCTCATAATCTAGACTGATACTCCAGTGCAGCAGTGGGGTTGATCTGCTTTGTCGGGGTTGAGATTGAGATTAGTCATTAAACCAAGGTCACATCGATCTGGTGCAATTGGCTACTGTGCCTAGAAAAAACATTCACTACATTTGATAACAATTCAGTATAGTTGATAGCAATTACTTTTAATTACAATTAAATATTTTTTATCTTTTGTTGTAGATTGCTGCACAACAATTTGCAATTCATTCTGTCACAATTTCTTGTATATTTCTAGTAAGAGTTTTAGTGATTAATTGATGCTGTGGAGAATTATAATTGGAAATTATTTCTGCACTTATAGGGATTGCAGAAGAATACATCACCCCAATGTTCAATTTCTACAGAAGCATTGGAGAGTTGAAGATGGCACAAGAAGAATATGCCCTTTTAACAGCCATTACAATTCTTTCACCAGGTAGGTTCTGGACAAAATTCAATGTTAGATCACAAGATTGGTTTGGTTGAAGAAGAGCCTTTGGACGCACCAATCTCATCCTTCCTGAAAACCCATCCTATCCATCACAGCATTAAGCTGCTTTTTAAATGAGTCCAGTGTCCTGGCATCAACCACCTTTCCTGGCAACCTGTTCCAGTTGATCATTACCCTCTGAGTAAAGAGAAACTTCCTGGATGAAAACACAAAATATTGCAAATGCTGGAATCTGAAACACAAACAGAGAGAGCTGGGAAAACTCAGCAGGTCAGGCAGCATCTATAAGGAAAGGAAAACGAGTCAATGTTTCGGGTCCACAACCCTTCATCAGAACTGCATGATGAACTTTCTGGTGTCTGTCCTGAAATGACCCTTTACTGCTGGGTTTATTCTTTCAATCACATTTAAAATGTTATATACCTCTATGAGGTTCCCTTTGAATCATGTTCTCTCAAGAGTAAAGAGCCCTAGCTTGTCTAATCATTGCTCACAGCTCAATTCTCTAAAACTGGGGATCATCCTTGTACTCCCTCTTGGATTCTCCATTCTCCCTTTGGATTTGTTCTCTCTGTGTTTCTCACTCAATTTATGCTTTCGCTGTGCCTATTAAGCTGACTGTCAGTCTCTGCCTCATTCTCTGTCTTGAAACAGTCTCATACTCACCTGTTGCTGTTTTAACATTCAGACTGATTTCTGGTTTACCTGTGATGCAGTACTCAAAGGTTTAAGGGAATCCTGTCTCTGTTGGTCAATTAATTCTATACATGTTCAGCTCTCAATACAAAGCAATCACATAAGGATTTTTTTTATTGTAGATCGTTCATATGTGAAGCACCGTGAGGCTGTGGAGAGACTTCAGGAGCCTTTGCTGGACATACTACAGAAGTACTGCAAACTGAACCATCCTGATGATCCTCAGCACTTTGCTCGCCTGCTGGGCAGACTTACTGAACTTAGAACATTTAACCACCATCATGCAGATATGCTAATGTCGTGGAGAATCAATGACCATAAATTCACACCTCTTCTCTGCGAGATCTGGGATGTACAATGAAGAATCCATGTGCAGTTAGTTACATGACCCAATAGTAATTAGACAAATGCACACACCAATCTGAGAATAGACAAATGCATCTTTTGTTGTTTTGTAGCTACATTGACCCATTGATTCAGAGAAGCCAATGTATCTACAAAAAAACAAAGATCTAATAGTTTCTTAATAAAAGATATTTGGCACTTTTTAACTACTTCATTCATACCAATGTATAAAATGTCTTGTCATATATATATATATAAACATATATCAGATTATTGGGAGTTTCTGTGAATTTGTGCCACATGTTGTGGAGTTTGGCTGTATAGATGTTAATCAAGAATGGATTTTAAAGAGGCAACTGGATAGCATCTTAATTTACAATTGCATATAATTGTGATTGTTGTGGCAATCAGCTTTCTCACTGGAAGAGTTTCGTAAGAAACACATTGACACCTCTATAATGGACATGGGTCAGTTATTGAAAACCGTTTTCTACTGCGCAGTAGTCTAAAATCATCTCCAAAACGTTTTTGGGTAGAAAGTTGATTATGTAGATGAGCAAAATGTTATTGTATTAAACTGATTCTAAAAAAGACAAAATTTATGTTTGGACAGATTTCTTGATATAGAGACAAGCAGAGATCTGGGCTAAAACCCGACTGTATCCAAGGTTGAGTAATGAAGGAAATCTGAACCAAACTCTAGCATTGTTTGTGGATTTGGAGTGTTCCTGTGAATGGAGAGTTGGATATGAATTGTGTTCTCACTCCTGGATTGATCTAACCAATGGCACAGTGATTTTAGAGGTTTCGTTTTGACCTGAATTTGGATTGTGTTTGGTTTTCTTTTCTGCTCTCTTTTTTTTCTCTCTCGCATAGCTGCCACCCTCTAATACCTCACAATGTGTGTGAACTTTCACAATTGTCGTTGGCAGTTGGTAGTCTTTTGATTGTGGTTGGCACCAAAGCCAAGATTAATTCTTGTTGTCGCCCAAACGCTAAGCAACTTGTCACATACACATGCACCTTCCATCAAAAGTATCAGGTAAGTAATCAAAAGTAGTCTGATTTCCCCCTCCCGAACACAAGGAATATTCAACTCGAATATAAATCCCGGCTGTCCAGGTGGAGATCAGATAACACAGCATAGACCAGGATTCTAACTGATATTTTCCTGCTCCTTATAGCTTAATGCTACAGTGCCTTTATCTATTAAGATGTCAGGGAACATTGCATTGAATTTAATAATAATATTCTTTGCATTTCATATAGCACCTTATCACATCATCGAGACGTCTCGAAGCACTTCACAGAATAAAGTGAATTGACTATATTTTGTGGGCAAAATACCACAGCCAATTACACACAGCAGTGTGATGGAAAGACTATCTGTTGCCTATTTACAATTGCACAAGTTTTTGAAAACAAATTCTAGTGCTCTTCAAACTAATTTTGAGATTTGATTCTAATTGGAGGTTCACCATTTCAATTAAGATTTGGAAATATAAGACAATATACATTTTGCTATTACATTTTTAAATTTTCGATCGCTTTTAATAACAAATGATTTGTTGGAGGGTTCTGATGGTATATCTTCATTTGACTTCAAATGTTGTAAACTCTATTGTATCAGACACACCACTGTAATCCCACACTCGCAGATTTCACTCTCAGTGGCTAATTAGCAATAAGTCACACTAAGAATATAGGTCAGAAAAACATGTTATGTGAGGCTGTAACTGATCAAACAGATTTTGTAAGTGTTTATATTCTGTGCTCTACTGTACTGATATTTTTTTCGTCACTTTCAGTACATTCAGCCATTCATTCTGTGTAGTTCTACATGTTAAAGACATGTTAACACATGTTTTGCTCTGTTTCTAGTAAGAATTGTTTTCCACAGATGTGGAAATGTTTATACAATTATAAATCCACTAATTTAAGTAAAGGCTACTGTGGGAGATTTGCTTATCTTATGATTACAGGTTACAAAAGCCATTTGACCAAGGCAATGGTTGTTTTTTATTAGAAAGAATTGCAGTTTAATGTCAGATCAAATACTGTATCAATTTAATTTATTTTAAAAAAGTGTTATCAGTAAAAACAATTGTATTTATTGTTGCTGTAGTAGAATTTAGTTGTAACCGGATTATTTATGGGCTTCTATGGGTTATTTATTTATTTATTCAGGTACTCACTGTGTGTCTGGGGGCTGTGTGTGTATGTCTGTGTGTGTGGGGTGTGGTGTGTGTGTTGGTGTGGGGTGTGTGTGTGTGAGGTGTGTGTGTGTGTATGAGGTGTGTGTGTGGTGGGGTGTGTGTGTGGTGGGGTGTGTATGGGGTGTGTGTGTGTGTGTATGTGGGGGTGTGTGTGTGTGTGTGTATGTGGGGGTGGGGAGTGTGTGTGTGGGGTGTGTGTGGTGGGGTGTGTATGGGGAGTGTGTGTGTGTGGGGGTGTGTGTGTGTATGTGGGGGGGGGGGTGTATGGGGTGTGTGTGTGTGGGGGGGGGGGAGTGGTGTGTGTGTGTGGGGGGGGGGGTGTATGGGGTGTGTGTGTGTGTGAGGGAGTGTGTGTGGGAGTGTGTGTGTATGTGGGGGTGGGGAGTGTGTGGTGTGTGTGTATGGAGTGTGTGTGTGTGTATGGGGTGTGTGTGGGGGGGGAGTGTGTGTGTGTATGGGGTGTGTGTGTGGGGGAGTGTGTGTGTGGGGGGGGGGGAGTGTGTGTGGGTGTGTGTGTGTGTGGGGGTGTGTGGGGGGAGTGTGTGTGTGTGTATGGGGTGTGTGTGGAGGAGTGTGTGTGTGTGTATGGGGTGTGTGTGGGGGGGAGTGTGTGTGTGTGTGTATGGAGTGTGTGTGGGGGGGAGTGTGTGTGTATGGGGTGTGTGTGGGGGGGAGTGTGTGTGTTTGTGTATGGGGTGTGTGTGGGGGAGTGTGTGTGTGTGTATGGGGTGTGTGGGGGGGAGTGTGTGTGGGGTGTGTGTGGGGGGGAGTGTGTATGGGGTGTGTGTGGGGGGGAGTGTGGTGTGTGTGTGTATGGAGTGTGTGTGGGGGGGAGTGTGTGTGTATGGAGTGTGTGTGGGGGGGGTGTGTGTGGTGTGGGGGGGCGGGGCTCTGAGCTGTGGCCCCGCCCCTGTCCAGCCACTCACTCTGATTGGTTGTTTCGAATGGCGGCGGCGGTTTGACAACTGTTGTGGTCTCTGAGCGCCGGAGCCCCCGAGTGAAGAGCAGCTCAACCCCCCCCCCACCCCAACCCCCCCTCAACACAGCCCCGCCAACCCCCCCTATCAACCCCCCCCCCCGCCAACCCCCCCTCAACACAGCCCCCCCCCGCCAACCCCCCCCCCCCCTCAACACAGCCCAGCCCTCCCCCCTCAGCTCAGCCCTCACAGCCCCACACCAGAGAGAGAGAGAACTGGGTGTTCGTGCTGCGGTGAGTAAGGGGCGGCCTCTGCTACACTGTGTCTGGGCTGTTACTGTGTGTATGTGTGTGTGTCTCTGGGCTGTTACTCTGTGTGTGTGTGTGTGTGTGTGTCTCTGGGCTGTTACTGTGTGTGTGTGTCTCTGGGCTGTTACTCTGTGTGTGTGTGTGTGTGTGTGTCTCTGGGCTGTTACTCTGTGTGTGTGTGTGTGTGTCTCTGGGCTGTTACTCTGTGTGTGTGTGTGTGTCTCTGGGCTGTTACTCTGTGTGTGTGTGTGTGTGTCTCTGGGCTGTTACTCTGTGTGTGTGTGTGTGTGTGTGTCTGGGCTGTTACTCTGTGTGTGTGTGTGTGTCTCTGGGCTGTTACTCTGTGTGTGTGTGTGTCTCTGGGCTGTTACTCTGTGTGTGTGTGTGTCTCTGGGCTGTTACTCTGTGTGTGTGTGTGTGTCTCTGGGCTGTTACTCTGTGTGTGTGTGTGTCTCTGGGCTGTTACTCTGTGTGTGTGTGTGTCTCTGGGCTGTTACTCTGTGTGTGTGTGTCTCTGGGCTGTTACTCTGTGTGTGTGTGTGTCTCTGGGCTGTTACTCTGTGTGTGTGTGTGTGTGTCTCTGGGCTGTTACTCTGTGTGTGTGTGTGTCTCTGGGCTGTTACTCTGTGTGTGTGTGTGTCTCTGGGCTGTTACTCTGTGTGTGTGTGTGTGTCTCTGGGCTGTTACTCTGTGTGTGTGTCTCTGGGCTGTTACTCGGTGTGTGTATGTGTCTCTGGGCTGTTACTCTGTGTGTGTGTGTGTGTGTGTGTGTGTCTCTGGGCTGTTACTCTGTGTGTGTGTGTGTGTCTCTGGGCTGTTACTCTGTGTATGTGCCTCTGGTGTTTCCACAGTTACAATGGCTGCAGAAACTCTCCCTAACAGACGTCTCTCTGTACAGGGTGTGGTGGCACCTGTCCCTATCTGCCTGGTTTATAAACCAGCACCTTTAGCAGATCGGTGGCCCAGGGAAAGTTTGTTCACTGACTGCCTTGTTCAGCACTAGATTCTGTTCACTTAACACCCGCCACCTCCGACCGGGCACCGTTGGCGCATTGAACCTACCGTCGGGTCGAGGGGCAGTTGCTGTTGGTTAAACATCTTGTCGCTCAACAAGTGGAAGAATTTAGTTACTTGGGTTGCTGACGGCCACGTGATTTTGGCTGAGGTTTATTTTCACAACCTGTTTTGTTAACACTTTAACTTTACACTGTGTCAAACCGAACCGCATGATGGCATTTGTCTTTTTTTGTTTAGTATTGTGCAGTTGGCAGTGTTCTTGTACAGGTATATGCAGGCGTGCAATATATGGCGAGTTTCCCCTGATCACCTGCCTAAACAATTCCTCAGCCCCCCCAAAAAATGTTCATTTACTTCAGAGCACTTTGTGGGATGTTGCTGTGCATGAATTGACTGCGGTGTTGACCTACAACATGCATGGTCACTGCACTTTATAATAAATCATGCGAAGTGTTTTGGGATGTCCTCGTGATATGACTTATGCTGTATGAAATTGTAGGATCATTATGGTGCATATTAATATAAAATATTTTAGATGATTTGTCAAACCAAGATTCTAATTTATGACCTCATGACATAAATACTGCAGATCTTTGCATCAAATAATTGCAATCTTAACACATTTTATTTGGTCTTTTCAATTTCAACCATCCTGATTGATTCTGCCTTCTAGGATAGTGTACTTCACATGTTGAAGTGTGAATTGGAGTCACGGTTGACTTTCTTTGTCAAACATTGTCTATCCAGTATTTTAAGGGTCCCATGCGTCATAATCCTTGCCTTTAATGTTGTGCGCTTTATCATACGAAGAACATGTTAAAGTGCTTTACAAAAGTTTCTGTGAAGTGTAATTGGAGATGAACCTGGCGGCCAATTTGTGCTCAGCAATCACCCAAAATGAGTCATGGAATAAATGAAGATTTTTTTTAAAATCTGGAGAATTGTTGGCCAAGACATTAGGAAACTCCCTTCTTTTTGAAGTGTGCCATGGGGTTGTGCCTGAACAGGTAGATGAAACCTCTGATTTTTTTATAATTTCAAGAGGACTACGCCTCCACCAACACAATGCTGTGTTACAGTGTCATCTTGGATGATGAGCTCAAAGTCACGATGCCTTGAACCTATAGTCTTCTGACTCAGAGATCAGAGTCCTATCAGCTGAACTGCACTTACAACTAAATGCTACACATTTAAACAAGGTTTTTTTTTGGGTGTGGCAAATACAAACTGCCCTTAAATTAGTAGTTTAAGAAGTGTTTCTAAACACGGTGTGTTTTTTCTTTAAAAAAAACACAGCTGTTATTTTCACTAACTTAACTGAAGTGGAGGCTATGAAAATAACAACCTTAGAAATAATTCAGACTTCATGTGTGTTAAGTATATGCTATCTTCATTTTTAACTGATTGAACCCTTTCACATCTCCCTTCCAGCTCAGCCTCGCATTCAGTCTTTGTAAAGTACTTTGAGACATTATCTCTCTGTTTAAGGTGTTATATAATTCCAAATTGTTATTGTAAAAGGGAGATATGAAAATAACCAGCTCAGAAAATATTGAAATAGTTTGTGTGTCCTGCACTTTTAATTTACTGTGTTTTTAATGACATAATGGGAATAAAGGGAACTAAGAAATGCAACTAGTTGCTAGCACTATAAATAGACATATTTTGCAGCAGAAACTGTTTCATTTTATAGTGAATGGAACAACTAATATGATTATATCCTAGTAATAATATAATAATAATAATAATCCTTGCATTTGATATAGCGCTTTTCACATCGGGAGGACGTCCCAAAGCGCTTCACAGAACACACTGTAAAGTGAATTGACTGTATATTTGTGGGCGAACGCGGCAGCCAATTGCGAACAGCAATGTCCCACAAACAGTCGTAGATTGAAAATGACCAATTTTTTTTTATTATTGTTTTTTGGTTTTTTTGGAGGGATTATTATTATCTTGTTGATACTCGTCAACAAGGTATTACAAGGTATTGTCCAGACCTTCTATATTTGGGTCACAGAAGTTTAAAGAACTAGTTTATTGCGAAAATCAAGGTATACAGCAATAAAGTAATGAGTGCAGTCATTAATGTGGAACAAAATTCTGGGTAGTTGTGGATCAAAGTGGAAAATGATAAAGGTCTTTATTAAATGAAATGTTTGTAAATAACCCCCCAAAAATTTGTGCGGTTCCACAAGTGTATTTGGAAGGAATATAATATTTACTATTAACTCGAGTGAGTAAAGTGATATATTGTAATTTTGGCCTGTTTGGTTTCTCACAATAGGATATGTATGAAAAATCAGTTGAACTATTTGGAGATTTCAGAATAAATGATAATGGAATCAATACGATTTATTTTTATATCTGTTGCAACTTTTTTAAACTTGGTGAAAGTGCTAAAGTAGAAAATGTTTGAAATGTGTTTCTGTTTGACACACTTCTAGCGGATCAGTGTGGCTTTTGTTCCAATCTTGCCCATTGGGTTTCACTCTTTGCTATTTTTCTAAAAACAGATGGTCAAATGAGAGCGGTGTCTGCTGCTTGTCCTAGTTCTGTTGAATGGTTCACTAAACTTACGTTTTGCGGGTTTGTTCCACTTTTGTCGGAAACAAAGAGTTTATTGTGCTGGTTCTGCCAGCTTTTTCTGGGGCCAGAAAAAAATTAATCCATCGTAAGTGCTCATTTAGAAAAGCCCACTCATGGGCATAAATCATGACGTTCTTCTACATTGCCATTCGTGGTATTTTGATATTTCATGAAAGGGCAGCTCTCACCACCTCTGGGCTAGGAAAAGACTAGTGTCTTTATTCTAGCTTTTATCTATTCAAATATGTGTGGCCTTTATAGACCAGAGTTTGGTTTAAATTTGGATCCACTGTTTCTTGGCAGTGTGTTCTCTACTTGCAGAGAAGGTCTTTAGTCGTTTTCTGGTGCAATCTAGAACTTTACTGGTAAGTTCAAATCTATCTGTTTTATGATACCAAATGAATGTAAAGTCACGGGCAAAAGAACTGATTGAAAGAGCAGACAAGTTCAGATGTTGGAAAATCAAAGATCAAATGGAGGTGTAATGAATCGCATTTTGCAATGCAGCAAAATGCTGAAAATTATAATTGTTTCTTAAAGTTGTTTAATGACCTTATCCTCGTGAATGTTGTATATTTGAATGTGGAATCGTGCCAAGTGTCTTTACAGAATCAAATATTCAATTCATTATCTTTTTATATACATATACCAGTTAACTTAAGTTAAATGTATTTAATTTGGGAAGATATTAATATGTATGTGTATAGGTGTGTGTGTGTATAGTAATGTATGTAGTATATTCAAAAATACCCATTACATACTTGCATAAAAATTGATCGCCCCGAGAAAAGCTTGAAATGCACAACGGAAATGGGCATGGCCTAATGAGGAGGTAGAGTGGTCCGAGCTGGACATGAAGCTTGCCAGGCACCGCTCTCAAAAGCAAACTAAGCGGTTTAAACTGGCTGAAAGTCAATAGTATCTCAACTCACAAGTTGGGATCTCCAAGGTTTGGCCCTTGCCAACCTGTACCAAATATTTTCTGGTATTGGATAAGTTGGGTGTGAATCTCCATCTGTGTTCCATTCCCAAAAACTGAAATTTTCATGCTGAAGTGGCGTATCCATCTGTGGAACTCTATCTGGTTTGGATATTCTTAAATATGGTGATACGTTTGCCATTTGTCAGGCAGATTAAATCTTAACTTCAGGTTTTCATTGCTGTATTAACTTACTGAGTTTTATATAAAAAATACATTCCTAATACTGTATCTGTTTTCTGATGCTCCTATTCTCCCCCTTCGCCCCCATATTATGCCGAACACTGTATATTACTTAGTCATGTTGATTATTTGTTTTATTTCAGAAAGAGACACTGGGATCTCTGGAGGAACATGATGGCTTTACAAAATGTTGTACAGGTTAGGATCTATAAATTTACTAACTACTGAATAATTTTCTGAGATTGAAAGTTGTGTGTTTGGGGAGAGAGACAGAGCAAGAAACAGAATGTGGTAAATGTGGCCTGGTACTCATGACAAAGTTGGTCATTAAGTGAGGTTTGAGTAACTTGTTTTACTTTCAATATGACGTCCCTTCAAACTATGGTAAGAAGGAAAAGCAGGGTGATAAATTGCAAAATATAGAATTAAGGAAGCTAGTCACCTGACTGGACTGTTGAGGTTTAGATTTATTTATAATCTGGTGTAAGAAACCAACATTTGTCAATGAATGGTTGCAAACTTGCTGCAAACTTCTCACTGTTAAGAAGGAAATGTGGTTAGATGCTGTAGAATAGTTAGTTTTCTGTTGCAGTACAAGTTATTTTAATAGAGCTTTGAATTATTTAACTGTTTCACTTGATTCCCTAAACATTGGTGTTTCTATGTTTTTGTTCAAGATGTGTTTTGGTGAAAACGTTGATGTGCCTTCATGTCCGAGAAGCCCTTTAACTCCCAGACATGGTCCAGGACTTACAGATGTGTTTGAGTATGACCAATGGCTGGCGGTCCGGCATGAAGCCAGCTTAGTGCCTATGCAGGAGGATCTGTCTATCTGGCTCAGTGGCATGCTTGGTAAGCTTGTAGAGATGTTTTGACCTCTGATGATGCTTATCTTATACTAGCTGTACCCAACGCTCCCGACTAAAGGATCCAATATGGAATGTAGATTGACACACAGACAGACTCCATCTATATCTATACTCATCTGGGAGGACTCCTGTGGGAGGACTCATTTTGGCTGTTCTTTCCGTGGGCAACTCGTGCTTTTGCAGTCCTTTCAGCATTGAAGTGCAGCCAAGCTGTTCTTTGTTCTTCAGTTTCATTTAATGCGCCTTCTCTCCATTTTTTTTACATATCCTTGAAAGGCTTGATTTTCGCTTGGGCATCTTTATAATAATATAATGTATGATTTATAATCACCAGGACATCCGCCCAGCGTGAAAGGTGGTTTAAAAATGTAATGTTGTTGCTGCGGCTTAGTGTCATCTGTGTTCTTTATTTTGTTCCCGCCGCCACTTGGCTATGTGCGTGCTCCGTGACGCACATGCCATAGCGCCACGGTCAGCTGGTGTGGCCACCAAGTGTAACTGCATGATGCCACAGCGCCACGTTGACTTGGTGGCCACCAGGTATAACTGCAGCAAAAAAATGCAAAACCGAAATACATTTTAGGTCATAACTCATGAACGATGGGAGATACCCCCAAAACAAATATGCCCATGTCACTCCAATGTACAAGACCTTTCTGATGAGGTATAAATCATGTCTCTATGTCAATTGGTTATTGAGATCCTTCTCGAAGCACAGACGGACATTGTCGTTTTATTAGTATCGGTAAAGGATGATCTATACTACATTGGACATGGCAAACTGAGAAGGACTCTTTTCTCACATGTCTATGTTCATCTGTCATAGACTTGTTTAGTAAAGGCGCGGATGAAATACTGAAAGCAAAATGCAACTGCTAAAAGATGGTGAATCCTAAATTGTTTACTCAGTAACATGATTCTTCAGAGCTATTTTATATATTTGCAAATGGGAATTCCACCTACAGGTTTGGTTGATACTGTAATATTTTGATTAAGATTACTATTAACGGCCATACACAATATTGCTTCGACTGCCTTAATGAGGGATTTTAATGTAATATTTTGAATTTATGTTTTTTGTTAAATATTTCTCTAGCATTTAAATGCATTTTGTTTTCACTCCGTATTTTGTGATGTTGTAGCACTCGCCTCGCAAGCGAGAGACCTGGGTTCTATTCCTGGCAGGGTGAAACATTGGGCAAATTTCCTTACTCCACACGCCTGATAATAAGCCTCAAAAAACAATAAAATTGGTCACTTCAATCCACGACTGTTTGTGGGACACTGCTGTGCGCAATTGGTTGCTGCGTTTCGCCAATATACAGTCAATTCACTTTACAGTATATTCTGTGAAGCGCTTTGAAATGTCTAGAAGACGTGAAAAGTGCAATACCAAATGCAAGGATTATTATTATGCATTATAAATACTTTGGGTGAACGGAAAAATCTGCACTAGTTTGTAAACCAACTGTAACTGACAATGTTGCTTTGCTGTGTTTTGGAGCAAATGGCCCAAAAGACAATTTCATACGTTATCCTAGAATGATTGTATTGCCACTATACCATTCTTATCGTATGTGACTTCAGCCACTCTCTTAGTGTTGCCTTTACACAAGGCACCATTGTTGAAATTGAATTCAATTGCATGGCTGTGCTGTAAGTCTTGATGTAAAGTCTTACAATGCTGTCCAAACTATTTGACCTTAATACATATCACTCTGTGTGCTCATTTTCGAGAACCTTAACCTTCAGAAATATCATCAATGGTTCTTTCAACTTTACTAAATGGTCACCCCCTCACCCTTATTTAATAGTTACTGCAATTTATTTTAATTACTATATCTGCTTAAATTTGTCTCTTGTTTTTACTTACAGCTATTTGAGCAGAGCATTAACTTTCTGACTTGCGTTTTCAAATTTGCTGGTTCATTAAAGTTTGCTGTTAACTGTGTTGGAAACTGAACGTTTAATGCTCAGGTGGCTGTCTGTCAAGGTATATTGCTGAGTCATCTGTTGGATATAGTTGGAAAGTTGCTGTAGCTTCAACAAAAATGATTTGGAGATAAGAATGACGGCTAACTGATGTGTTGATAAAACATTTGACTATTGCAGCACATTTGCATCAAAGGGTGAAAATGTAGAGCATTAGGTTATTTAAGGCATTATTTAAGCCTTTAATAATAATAATAATAATCGTTGCATTTGATATAGCGCTTTTCACATCAGGAGGACGTCCCAAAGCGCTTTACAGAACACACTGTAAAGTGAATTGACTGTATATTTGTGGGCGAACGCGGCAGCCAATTGCGCACAGCAATGTCCCACAAACAGTCGTAGATTGAAAATGACCAATTTATTATTGTTTTTGGTTTTGGAGGGATTATTATTAGGCTCTGTGTGGAGTAAGGAAACTTGCCCAAGGTTTTGCCCTCTGCCTGGATTGAACTCAGGTCTCTCGCTTGCAAAGCGAGTGCTCTAACCACTGAGCTACAGGACTCCACAATAACCAATAAAGCGGCTAATTGGCCTTTTTCGTTGCAAAATTGACTATTTTTCTTAAGTTCCTAGAATTATTCTTGCTCTTGTGGCAAATATTAGTTTCATCACAAAATAACTTGATTCTAGGATTAAGTATCTCACAATTGCCCATACAATGCAACTGGTAAACGCAGAATAGTACATTAAACAAAAGATGAAAACATTGTTTCGGACGTTTATTACTCCTTCAGAAGGGGAGGATAGAGAAATAAATTGAGGGTTTAACTCAGTTGCTAATATATACTTGTTTCTTGACATTCTTATATTATCATGGTGGCATCTGTATGTTTAAGTTACTACAATAATGCATTTCGCCCATGAAATATACAGTCAATTCACTTTACAGTATATTCTGTGATGCGCTTTGAGACGTCTCGTAGATGTGATAAGGCATCATATCAAATGCAAGGATTATTATTATTTCCTACCATGCACAAAAATGTAAAAGAAATGGGCAGCATGGAACACTCTTATCCTTTTTTTTCATTTTAAGCCAGAATTTATATATAGTCCTGAACCTAGCGTGCTTAATAATCACTGTTTGTCCGTTCTGTTTTGTTTTTGTCACTTTTAAAGTACTTGTTTGATAGAATAATAACTTTCCAGAATAGCATGTGTCACACAAAAGTGATCGTTTAAATTTGTTTTAGGAAAGGAAATCAAAGTTGAGAGGTTCATGGAAGAGCTTGATAATGGAGTGGTGCTGTGCAAGCTGATAGGTATTCTTCAACAGAAGATAAAGGAATGTAGAAACCAAGAGTATAAAAAGGTAAGAATGTTTTTTTTAAGTGTTGACCAGTTATATTGGTATTTGCAAGATACTTTGTTCTAGAATCCAGTGACATTAGTTATTTTGTGACAAAACTAATGTTTGTTACAAGAGGAATTCTAGGAACCTAAGAAAAATAGTCAATTTGTGCAACTCAAAAAGTTAATGTAGCTCCACGCATATGCTTTTCACATCAGGGGGACATCCAAAGCACTTCACAGGACTAACTATGAAGTGGAGTGACTATTTTGTAGGTGATTTATGATCAATCTCCTCCAGTACACTTTTTCATGTATCCAACTATTTCCCCCTTCTGTAGAATCTCATTTAGAATGGAGTTGCTCCTGTTTTCCTTGCGAGCAAAGCTTATTGTAGGTGTCTTAACCCTATAAGCTATTGTTATGGTGTTTCACCAGCACACGAGCATCCTCTGTTGCCAATGTATGAGAACTACAGCACAAAAATTGGACAGAATGCGTAAATTTCAGGATATTGGTTTACACAGAGGTGAGTTTGAGAGGGCATTGATGTAAAGAGGATTTTTTTTTGAAAGAAAATAAGGAACTGGTGGATCTCTGAATGAAATTCTCTGCATTTTTATCACGTTATATATAGTGACTTCCTAAATTCAATTTTTAATACCAACAAAGCTACCACCCCTTACATTGCACATCAGTGAATAAACTGATGTTATTTTTCCACAGAGCTCTTATTGGTTATAAGCATAGTTGTATAAGCTTTGATTAATTAGCAGATGAGCTAGAGCATTAAGCACCCTTGTATAAGGAGCTCATTAATTTGAACACAGCTGTCAGCAGTGAAGGTTCAACAACGTTTGCTGGAAAGATGGAAGTAATTAGAAAGATGTCGGTTGTCAAAAGTGATCATAATGAATGTTGCTATATGAACATGGTTGATGTTGCCCTGACTAATGAAGCTGCATAACCGATGGGAAGGAGCTTTCAAACATGATTTGGTGCGAGTTCATATTTGCAAAGGCTGATTAATTAAAGGCAGGAGATTAATTTTGAAGCACAAAAGGATTGAACCAAACACTGCCCATGCATGGGTTGGAGGGGAGAGGGTACTATTCTGCCCCATTCTAATTAAATGAGAGCAGAATTACCTACTGTGATATACAGCGATTGCTGGAATTGTAGGTGTTCCCGTGACGGCTTAGAACTGATGCATTGTTTTGTATGAACTTTAACAATACATCATAATAATTGCATTTAATAACGTCTTTCACATCAGGAGGATGTTGTGACTGCTTCACAGGATTTACTGTTAAGTGTAGTGACTGTATTTTGAGGGCAGCCACTTGCATACACAGCACCGTCCCACAAACGGCCAAATGTATTCTGCGAGTTAGTTATTCCAAAACATTTATATAAAGTTATGTTCAAAGTCCCCCCCCTCCACCAAAATCTTTATTGATCAAAATTAAATTATTTTGGTACCCGTTTTAAGAGTCAGATTGATAAAAACAAATGTGATTACATTTTTGATTTGGTTTCAATAGAGAACATACTAAGCAACAAGAGATTGAAATTTAGGTCTTCAGTGTTTAACAAGATTTTCGGTATGCAATTATTTTACCAAAATGTTCTACAGTGCTTGACATTTCTTTGTGTTATCAAAAACTGCACAGCTAACAAGGCTCAATATTGCAAGGTTGTTGTTTGATCAGATAATTAATTTCTACATAGGATTAATGTTACAGTAAATACTTTCTTTCTGACTTTTCATGTACATTGCTTACTGTTGACCAAAAGGTACTGGTTGCTTTTTTTATACTTTCCATTAAGTATTCAGATTTACAAAAAACATCATGCTTCCATGTTAGTGACTTTACATATGCATCCATTTTCAGCATTTTACAATGAGAAGTGTTCCCTGTAAGAAAGATGCTCCATCGGGGTCTTTTTTTGCACGTGACAATACCGCCAATTTCCTTTCCTGGTGCAGAGCAATTCGTGTGGATGAAACCTATCTCTTTGAATCTGAGGGATTGGGTATGTTACTTATCATATACCGTTTCAGCCTATTCTTTGTTTATCAAACAGTTTTTTAATCAACAGAAATGATAATATTCAAACTAACGTTGTATTAATATTTTTTAATCCTGAATTATTTAATGGCAGTTTGTATATTTGAAACTCCACTAAGATTGGGTGTTAATCTCACATTATTGCATAGTTTTGGGTTGTCGAACACCCTTAGAGAAATAGATACTTTAGATGTAAGAAAGTTGCTTACCTCGAAATGTGAATGGACTTCTTGATACCTTAAGCATGTCAGGAGTACGTCTCACAGGATGGCAAAGCTTGAGGGTTCAAAGAATTTCACTCCCTCCCATCCATTCATCATTTAGATTAGTGGATATATGGAATAAACTCCAAATAGAGCAGTAATGTTGTGTCAATTAAAACTCACAGTATCTGGCAGGTTGTATGGTTAAGTGGTGGGTGTGGGGTTGGGCTGAGCAACTTGGACCTTGAAACTTCTTGTTGGTAACTGGTTAATATTGAATAACCTATGTTAAATTAGCTAGATGGTCTGGAATTTTTCTTTTGTGCTTTTCAGAGGGCCGGGGAAGTGCATGTAAACATTCTCTGGTGAGATTAAATGGATCAGGCACATAACCTATATTTGGGGAGACTGTGTACGGCCTGTGAAAGAAAGTCTTTATGCTCCAAAGGGCTTTCCTTGTTCTAAACTTTAGAGCCGTCTTGTTAATTGGAAAAATATTCCAATTAATTTTGAGTTGAAGATAGGTCAGAATTAACTGAAAAGAAATTTAATTTTGAAATGGGAATACAATTATATATTTATAAATCTTCCTAAGAGCTTAACAAATGTGTGATTTCATTGGAATCCATCTGAATAATTTAAATGGCTTGTACAGTTCGGGAAAATAAAATATTCTGACAAACATTGTAATCTACATTCCAAATTGAATTCCTTTTGGGTCAGTCCTTCTGGGTTGCTTATTCTTTTTATGATGTTTTGCAGTAGGAGTTAAAGGCTTTAGTTAGATGACTGAACAATTTAGTTCAGTTATAACAATGCTTCATTTATTGTGGGACATTGCAATGGAATTGTGATTTCTCTTTTAGTGTTTCAAAATAAGATGTATGAGAATTTCACCCTATCTTAAGGGCAAAATTCTTTTTGAAGGCTTATTTTATATAACAGCAAACTGTACACTTGAACCATTATAAACTGTACAAAGTGTGCCATTCAATTACTTTGCACAATGTTTCCCACTGTTTTTATATTACAGGAAAAATATTACTAATCAGGGGGTAACAAAATAAATGCGATTTTTTTTTCCCTTTTTTGTTTTTCTGAGTTGCTGCTACATTGCTTTCCTATTTATGTTAAGGAAGCTACCAAACTTTTAATTTATTCTCAGCAAGCTTGTTCAATGAAGAGTGAAATGGGGACAATCTGCTGTTTTATGCCTCAAGTCTCGGTCTTGTGCAAACAGCTGGCAACACCATCTTTTTCCATAGGAAAGCAATGTTATGAGGAGACCTCATTAGACATAGAATTCATAGCCATTACATGTAAATTAAATCATTTGCATTGTTTGTTTACCAAATATAATGATAATAATGTAAGGCCTGTAAACCCACAATCTTAGCTTAAGACCATTTTTGGCCTGTTTAATAATGTTTTTAATGTTTTAATTAATAATAATAATCCTAAATACTTGCATTTTGATATTGTATCTTGTAAACGTCTCAATTATGGGCACTTGGCTATTTAAATACTTTGGCAGCTTTAGGTACTTTGTCGGATATAGTTCTTTTGGTTTTAATTCATGCTTATCTTTCCAGTATCTTTCTTTTCTTTCCAGTTTTGCACAAGCAACCGAGACAAGTGTGTCTATGCCTGCTTGAGATTGGTCGGATAGTGTCTTGGTAAGCTTTATGAAACTGTTTACATTATTAAACAATGCTGTTTCTTTTTATGTGTTTTGAATTGGCTTACTTTTATAATCTTTTTTGATTTGTTCTTTAGCCTCTGAGCATTTGACGCTATGAATACAATTACGAAAGGGCTGGTTTCCACAGTGGCAGAATTATTAGTTTTGGAATTCTATCACTATCTTAAATAGTAAACCTCCAATAAAGATGTTTCAGTGTTAAAGCTTTGCCAGGCCAGGTATTGTGAAATTCTGACTTGGGATTTTGTTGGTCTGATTACCAATGGTCTTGTTGCATTATCAATGGTGTTCTGTTTCATGATTCTTGAGAGTATCACTTTCCTATTTTATTTTCTCCTGTAAATTTCAGCTATGGTGTGGATCCCCCGGTGCTGGTGAAGCTGGAGAAGGAGATTGAGCTTGAAGAAACTCTTCTGATTGCCTCTGAGCCAGTCATTTCTTCTGTCGAAACCAAAAAACCTTGTTGCCATAACAAAGAGCTTCATGAAGCAGTGAGTTGGATAATGTATCATTTTGATAAGAGACAACTTAATTTGAAATGGGGATCAATTTGAATGAGGAAGAAAAATAAGCCAATATAATCAGAAAGAAAATCTCCAGGTTTCTTTGAAAAACGTTTTTTGTGTGGTGGAGGATATGAGATGGATATAAAAGCAGACACAAGTCCCTTTATGTCTGCTTTTATATCCATTTTGTAGTTTTTTTTTTAGCTTATCAGGATTTCGTGCTACAACACAATTAAACAAATTAAAACAGAAAAGAAACCGTATAAATATACATTTAAAGTATTGGTGGAACATGCAAAGTGAGAATCTAATTACCACAGGTTATAATAGTGTACAACTCTTTAGAACAGCTGTTATGATGTGATTACAATATATTAATTAAAGGAATTGAAAACTACCTTGACATTAAAAACATTTCTGTAGCATTTTGAGATGCATTCATCAGAATGTTATGAATTTCTAGTATAATGGACTAATTCTACATTGTTTCCCTACTTCAAGGTTAAGACCATTGCAGCAGATCCTCCCTGTAACTGCTCTCACCGGTTTTCAATTGAGTTTCTATCTGAAGGACGTTACCGGCTGGGAGAAAAGATTCTTTTTATTAGGGTAAGCAAACTAGTGAAATATCATGCAATGCATCTGTATTTTACAGCAGAATCCCAAGCCCTTTCGAGGAGCCAGTCTGCAGTTGGAAAGACCATTCTCCAGGAGTGTGGTTTATTGATCAGTCATGGAACCATTTCTGAACAGAGATCAATTCACACCATTAATACTAAAAGCATTTTATTTCTAAATTTCTTAGCAGGCCAACTGGGTTATGTTTAGAACAATCTTAATGCACAAATCTACATTTAACAAAACTTTAAGTATTTATTTGGTTTTGCTCTGACAGAAATTTAACAATTTTCTGCACTAAAATGAGTAAGCAAAATGTGGTAGACTGGCAATTTGCAGCAATTCACCATTGGGTCAAAATAACTGATGATCTGGACAAATATACTGTGCATATTCGGAGAGAGTCGGTGTGGTATAGTGGAAGATAGATCAATCATGTCTCACCATTCTAATACTGACTTGTTTGACAGACCCACTGACACAATAGGTAAAGGAGGATTCTTAGATGTCATTTACATGGATTTTCAAATGGAAATTGATAAGGTGCCATATAAGAGATTACTACCTAAAGCGCAAAGAGTTGAAGGTAATATTATGACACAAATAAGGTTGGTTAGAAGGCACTGAGTTAAGTTTTTTATATATATATATATATATATAAAAAATATTCTGATTGATGAGCAGGCAACCCCCAGGATATGTGTTGTGACCCCAAGAGTTAACCCTGTGTATATAAATGACCTAGATATTGAACTAGCGGGCAGCATGTTCATGCTTGCTGATACTACAGTGTAAGGGTCATAAATGTGAGGACAGCAGAAAATTGGAAAGGGACATAAACGGATGAAACAAGACATGGGATATATTCTTTAGAAGATTATGGGATTATCTGATTGATGTGTTTAAAATAATGATGGGAACTGAAAAAGCTAGATAGAAGATGGTTGTGCCCTGTGGAAGGCTCAAAAATGAGACCTAATCTTAACATTGGAGCTAAACACATTAGGTATGAAATCGGGGAACATTTTTCACACAGAGTTGTGGAAGTATGGATTGTCCCATGAGACCACACAGGAAGAATCGATTAGGATGGTTAATGGGTGAGTGGATACTTGGGGGAATAAGCCTATTAAAGGTAGTGAGAAAAGGCTGGGGAATGGAACCAACACATCTGCCATGACCTAATAAATTGCTGGGTCACTGGGGTGTATCTTCTTATGATTTATCTGAAACTATTATCCAGGTTGCTCACAGAGCTAACACTCAAACTACTATGAAATATAACTACATTGTAAAACTGTTTGGGTGTCATTTTGAAATCAAGTCATCTTTATCAAAATGTATATTTAAAAAACACAATCCCACATGTTCCCAGAAACTAAAAGCAATTGGTTCAAGACGTTCCTTCCTTCTCAAAGGTGAGAGAAAGTTAACTGAAGAAAAGTGGAGTTATTCAAGACATTCCTGAAATTGGCTTGGTTATTGACAGCGCAAGGTTTTGTGTGAAATTTAAAGCTGTCAGCATAATGAGTAATCTTTTTAGGTAAACTGGATCGCATGTGCTCTATGACTAGTTTGTTGACAGGTGGTAATGTTGACTGCTGGCACAAAATGTTACTGACGATGTGCCCAAAGAATCCTAAATAATGCAAAATAATGGGTTTATTTTGATCTACATGCTGAAATTGGACTTACCTAGGGGTCATTGAGTTTGGCTTTTTTGAAAGTGCAGAATTTTCTTGGAAGCAAAACCAAACTTAAAGTGCAGTTTAATTGCATATGCAAGGGATATGCTGCAAAAATCCATTGATGTTATCTATTTACCCTTCCTTGTGGTATTGGTATTATACATTTGTATTATGTTGCCTTCAAAGAACAGTTTTTGTAAAGTTAGAATTTATAGTCTTATGTACTGCAGCAAACATATTTTTATTTTGTTTATGAATAATGAGGTACATTTATTGTTATATATAAAATATTGTATGTAAAAGTAATTCTGTTCCTGAAACGTTTTTTTTATAAAGTGTGTCATATTGCCTCTAGTTAACTTTTTTTAAAACTGTTTCAGATGTTGCATGGAAAACATGTCATGGTACGTGTTGGTGGAGGATGGGACACTTTGCAGGGCTTTCTGCTGAAGTATGATCCCTGCCGTGTCCTACAGTTTACAAAGCTCGAGGAGAAAATCTTATCTTTTCAGAAAGGCCTCATCAATGGTGCTGACAACATTCCCAAGAGTGCAGGAAAGTCTCCCAAGCCATCTGCCATGAACTCGCCATCAGTTGTTAAAATGGCACAATCCCTTTCTAAATGCCCAGGTTCTCCTACCTCAGCACGGTTTGTTTCTAAGGCTGTACGTTCTCAACATAAATGTCCCTCAGCTTCACCTTTGACACCAAAGGTTGGTACAAAATCTCATCCGCAACTTGCTAATCACTTACACCATGTGACGCCACAATTGTCCTCTAAACTGCCACAGTCTCCCCTTAACCTCTTCCGTTCTCCTGTTGTGAAATCACAATTGCCCTCCAAGCGTGCTGAATCTCCAGCAAAATATTCAAATTTACCTACTTCTAAAGCTGTACAGTCTCCTAAATGCCACCAGACAGCTTCAAAGACACAATCTAAGTTTCAACATCTTCCGGTTAAATGTTCTTCTGGTTTGGCATCAGATTTTGCTTCTAAGTCTCCACTATCTGCTAAGCCACAGCGGCCTGCCTCTAGACTGGTGCAATCTTCAGATAAATATTCACGTTCTCCTGGTCCACCATCACATGTAGCCTCCAAAAGGCCACCTTCACCAGCTAAAAGCACTCAGTCTGGATCAATCACTCGTGTACAGATGTCTACAAGAATTATGCAATCACCAGGCAAGAATTCGCCCTCAGCTGAGAAAATCTCGAAGATGTCCACTAAGGCTCAGTCGACTAGCATCAAGAAGCAATCTGGTGCCCCACCATCAACTCCAAGGATGCCGTTGGCGGCTGTCAAACTTCCACAGACTAAGGTGAAAACTCCCCAAACTTCAGTAAAATCCGCTTCAGCTTCCCCCAAAATACAGTTAACAAAATCAGCTCTGTCTTCCCCCAGGATACAATCAGCAGTCAAATCCGCACCAAATACAGAGAAAGATGCAAAGTACATGCCTCCAAACAAAATGGCTACATCTTCATCTCGTAGTGTTTTGGCTGTACCTTTGAGCAGGTACGCTCTGAAATCCAGCAGTGAAGATAGCTATTTTGTTATGAGTGGAAGTAAGAAACGATGCAAGTAAAAGAAGTACATGCACATAGATGGAGGAGAGGAGTGTATTATGTTCTGTAAATATGAATGTAATTTCTGGCCAGGATGAATGTAAAATGAGTTGTGAATTTCTAGAGGAAAAGAGCTACGTTTATCTAGCCTGTAGAGAATTCTTGCTTTGTTTTCATTCTTTCTACCCCTTACAAGGTTATAAATGTTCTGAAAATGTATTTTATTTTTGTCGTGTGGAGATTATTTAAAACTATCTTTAACATTTTTGGGGGGCAATTTTATTTTATTTTCTTCGCCTCAGGTAAGCATTGGGGCATATGATACTTGCATACGTGCTTGAATAGCTTTATTAAGTGGCTTATTTCATGTGTGATAACAGGCTCTTTGACCGTGGCCACATTACAGCCAAGTTCTGTTTTTTTTCTTCTCCCAAAATCTACACACACACTTTTCCAGGAGGGTCACCATCTAGAATATCAGGAGTAGGTATCCTGGTAGATCATGTCTGACTGAGGGGTGAGAGGGTTGTAGAGAGATAGAGAGAGGGAGAATTAATTGTAAAACTCTTGAGTGTTGCTCTGGCTAAATTCAGGAAAGAGCATGGACCCAAACAGCAATCTTCTGACCTCTGGAAGTTGATGCAGAATCTATATCTCAGAATCATAGAGTATTGCAGCACAGAAGGAGGCCATTCGGCCCAACTTCTAATTTTTAACTGAAAGCGAACTTTTCTTGATCTGTCGCTTCTTTAAAAGTGAGGAAACCTAAATGACACAGATGTAGTTACAAGCAGTCATGTTAAAAAAAACTGTAACACGGGGAAAAAGAAGTCCAATTGGTCCTTCAAGCCCATTCTTACCTTACTTTAAGCGGTCTGGGACATTACATCATGTGAAGGGTGCTACCTAAATGCAAGTTGTTGTTGTTACTCTACACCACCCACTCTTTTGCTTCCTGAGCAAATCTAAGACCAGAAGTTGGAGAGGAGAAAAGAATTTAAAGCAAATTATGGCTCTTTCCTCTGGTCCATCAAATTTCTACATAAACATGCTCTGATCACCAAAGGTATTTTAGTATATTCACTCAACCCCTATCATCTCCATCGTCACAACCTCAACTGTGTCTCGATGCCTGCACCCTCACATTTAACAGCACAAGGAGCTTTATGCCCTAATTCTCAGAATTTGATCACCTCAGTTTATATCCTGATCATCTACAATGACATTTATTTTGAAGGAATTAGAAGTGTATACCACATTTTTTTTTGGACATGCAATGAAATACTGAGATGAAACTGAGATTTTGATTTGTTAGAAGGTTCCCGTTAACTCAAAACTTTAAGTAAACGATTCAACCCAAATCCTTCTCCGCTCCTGCCAAATGCAATTTGCCTTGCACGCACTTATTGACTTCATATCTAATGGGTGGGATCCTACGTTTCTCTACATTAAAATCTGTCTGCATTCCTTACTCAGTTACTCTGTTCTTCTGCACTGATAGTTTTCCTTCTGATAAATCTATTGCATTGTTTGGTATCTCACAAGACGTCCTCTGTCCTTCAGCTTTCCCAGAGTTCTTTATGTATACAACAGTGTGACTAGCAGGGGAACCATAACTTTGTTGGTCACTTTCCTGCAGCTTTATTTATGTAAAATACATTCAAATTTTCCCATGAAGGCACGCAAATTGCATAAGAGTCTCTTTGTCAAAGTCAAATTAATGACAAAGTGTGGTTACACATGTTTTTTACATGAACTTGTAGTCACCTGCGTGTGTTGCTTTTAAAACAAACTCGGTTATCGCTTCTGATCGCTATCCAGTTGCTTCCCTGCTGGAATGTCTGTGTGTCCATGTATATTTAGGGGAAAGGTTTCTACTGGCCAGTAAATTTTACCAAATTTGTTAGAGTGCACTTTTGGCAATTTTTTTTGTAGAGGATAGGATATTGCTCATGTCCTCAATGAGCAAACCTAGCTGATATTTGATGTTCATCTTACACATTAAGGGTGACTGCTTGAGTAAGGCACAAGAAGGTTGCCAGATCTATAACACAAATCATTAATTCTAGGAAAAGAGAGAAGAAAATTGGAGATTATTTTTCATCGACTGGTATCAACTTAATTTGTCGATTTCGCACTAAAATTTCCTTTAGTTACTCTACGGACATTTGAATTTTGTTTCGCTTTAGCTAGCATCTGTTTTAGGAAAAAATTATGATTAATGTTTGAGTAACTTTTCATGTTAAACCAACTTTTATTTTTATTCTGTAGGTGTCTGTTTTTTATATAAAAACTATACATTGGTCACCTTAAATTTAACAGTAATAGCAGGATGGGTTTGATATGGAATTGCCTTATTAAAAGTTGTATGGTTTTTAAAATTGCAATGTTACAGATATTTAGGTTGTGTTATTGTATTTTAATCAAATTATGTTGGGTTACAAACCGACATCATTTAATTAAAATACGATATACATTATAAACCCAACAAGAAGATAGATTTAACACTTTCTATTGAATGTTACAAATAAAAGTATTTAATATGACTCCACAGCACAGTGGCAAGAATGTCAGTCAAGAGACCAAAGGTTGGATTCTAAATTGCCTTATGCTGTCATCTACGCACCTTGTTTGCAATGAATTGTTTGTCCTTGAATAAGCTGTTTGGTAGCAATGTGATAATACATGGGTGGTGGTGGGGGGGTAGAATTGAATGGCCCCACCTTGCTTTTTGACTAATATGTACTGTTAAACATCATCGATAGATTCTGTGGAAAAGTCCACAGCTCAAATAGTTCTTCCTTCTTACTAAGAATTGCTGTATCAAAATAGTCACCATGTGTGAGAGAAAATAAGTAATTGGGAGGGATAAAATATAAGAGAGATTTAAAATTCCTTCTATGCTGAAACACAACTTGATTAATATTAATACTCCTACTCTTAGCATTATGATTATAATAATACTCATTCCTACACATTCGGCATACAATAAACAAATAAACTTTGACGAATTGTATTTTTTTTAATGGCTAAATGCTGTTTAATGTAATTATTTCTTGACCAGATATGATTTCAAATTGTTTGAAGGTCATTTGATATTTATCATAGGTTTTGGATGTCAATATGTTAGAATATTAAAGTTGTGACTATCCTACTGAAAACTAGCTGCTAAACTTATTTTTTTGTCCTCGTGTTTGATACTAGAACAAGCTTCCATCTTATTTTTTAATTGAATTGAGTTGAGCAACTTATATTTCTTAGGCTTCTTTTGGTTCATGCACTGTCTAAAAAGGTTACAAAGTGCAGGGATGATAGGGAGTGCTGCTTGACTATATGTTATAAATAACTCAGAATTCAGTAGAAGATGAAACATGCATAAGTAATTGATGTGCTGCAAATTTTCTACATTTATTTATCAGTATATATTTACTAAAAAAAAGTTTTTAACACAGTTATAGATCTTTAACCACAGTAAATTGTGAATGTAACATTTATGTTTGACTTTCAATTGAACCATTAGTGCATCGGATTTGATGAGCATAAATCTATCTTTTCAAGTTATTTGATTTTTTACTTCTCTAACATGTCAGATCTTGTAGTGCCTTTACTGTAAGTACAGCCGAGGGGGCACTGATTTGATCCCAAGACATTACTTTTCCCTCTATCGCTTTTTTCAGAATTAATGCTAAAGACACTTTCTTGAGTTTCTCCTTCAGGGCCAGAATGTAATCTTGAATATGGAATAGACTGCCTCAAAAGGTCATAGACTCAGAGGTGACTGAGGTATTAAAGAAGATATCTAGAATAGATACTGTACTTGATGGTTAAGAAAGTATTTAAGAGATGTTGAGAAATTGGGGGGAAATTCAAGGTTGCCAAAGATTAAATCGCAGTGCAGGTTTGACAAGGCTCTTCTTGCTTCATTGTTGTGTTATATTAAGAGCAATAATAATTTAAAAAGCTTTTTTATGTTGGCCTACATAACTCCAAAATTAAATGTAAGCCTATGAAAGGTGATGGGTTGTGGCACTGTTTATTTGTAAAAGGAAACTTCAAAACTTTAAAAGTGTTACTGTTCAGTGGAAAGTATCTGATTGAGACCTCTATAAAATGTACATCTGTGGCAAATTTATTTATAATAATTTCTGCATTATAATAGCACCTTATCACATAACCAAATGTATTTGTTTACAAATTGAAAAACCCTGCAATGTAAATTTAAATGAACACTAATATGATTTTTGAAATTTTAGATTTCTGTTCAAATGTTTTTGGTGCAAATGTCGAGCAATACAATATATTGTTGACCCATAATTATAAAAAATAGTCAACGTTTTGCTTACTGGTTGTGCTTAATTTGATTTAGACGACTGGCAGAAAACAGATTATATGAGTATTTCAGAGGAACACTCAATTTTAAAATGTTTTTTTACAGTATTTGTTTGGGGATTAAAACTGGATAAAACTACATTTGAATTTTTTCAAAAAAAGTTGTGCTACTTTTCATGATTTGTTTGACCGCACTTTACAGCTATTGAATTGTATCCTGTTTTAATAAACGATTGTGTTCTAAATTATAGGCCTTTAAGTGTTCTGTTTCTGCACAGTTTAGTTATTTTCAATCCCCACAGTTATATCAGTGTGACAATATTTGTGCTTGTGCTTGTTTTTTGACTATTTAGAATGAATGACATTGTAGAATCAATAGAAATTACAGCGTAAAAAGAGTCCATTTGCTCATAAAGTCTATGATAGTAGCTCAACCCCTGAAACTATCTGCCATAACTCCATTCACTTGTTTGATTTATTTGTTTTTGTTTTTCCGAGTATTTTTTAGATTCTTACTCTTCAAATATTTATCCAATTCCTTTTTAAATGCTACAGTCTCAGCCTCAATAGCTACTTGTGGCAGAGCCTTTGGACTGCATCAAAAGACACGTACATTATTGTCTCTACTAAGAGTTCAGGAAATTGAAATGTCTGTCTGCTTCAGCTTTATTGTTCTTTTCTATTTATTATTTACATGAAACCTCTCCTTTCCTTAAAACCCAGTCTACACCTCACCATCATAATCCAACCTGCAGTGTTCTGCTTCAGTTTTTTCAAACAAAGTTTGAAGAAGTTATGACCAGCTTAGTTTTGCAACCAGATACTATATTTAATGCACTGCCAATGTTTCTAAACTTCCTGCATCATGTACATTCATCAAATTGGATGTTTAACCTTCAGTAGAATTGTTATCATTTACTGTACACCTTATTTAACTTATTTATTTTAGTGACAAATAGCATTGAAGTTATATGTTTACATGTTTCTTGCATATATGATCAATCCCACTCCCCCGCTCTCTCCCCATAGCCCTGATCAACCCCGCTCTCTGTCCATAGCCTGTGGAGTCCTGTAGCTCAGTGGTAAGAGCACTTGCCTTGCAAGTGAGACACCTGGGTTCAATTCCAGGCAGAGGGCAAAACCTTGGGCAAATTTCCATACTCCACACGCCTAATAATAATCCCTCCAAAAAAACAAAACAATAATAAATTGGCCATTTTCAGTGCACGACTGTTTGTGGGACGCTGTTGTGTGCAATTGGCTGCTGCGTTTCGCCCACAAATATACGGTCAATTCACTTTACAATCTATTCTATGAAGCGCTTTGAGAAGGCGTGAAAAGCGCTATATCAAATGCAAGGATTATATTATAATTATATGTGAGTAAGCAATACATTCAAAAGCCACTGAAAGTTATTTTCCCCCCAATTTTATATTGGATCTGATCATTCAACATCAAAACTAACGTCGTACAATAATTCAAAGAATTCTCAAATTATTTTTAAAAAATGAGTTTGATTTAAAAACAAATCTGTGTAATGTCGTCATTCTGCAAAAAAAAGTAAGAAACAGTAAACTGAAACTTAGAGTGTAGAAAGATATCTTAATTTGTTTAGATCAAAGCAACCACATCATTTTGAAAAATGTGTCCACACAATGCCATCTACTGGTTAGAACTGATAACAGAACAATATGTTTCAAATGTGGTAAAGGTGGAGAGTTAGACTAAAATAGTGATCACTGTACAGCGCTGCTGCTTACATATACTTTACTTGGTTTCTCCCAGCATCAAACAATATTGGCAGAGGGCAAGAGAAGGATTCACAGTTTCTCCGCCTAGCTTCACTTTCCTAGGCTCATTTTCTCTTTTTAATAATAATACTCCTTTGATTTGCAGTTGTTCCTTATCACATTGTTGATTTTTCTCAACGTGCTTCATAAGATGTAAATGTGTAATGACTGTGGGCAAATGTGGCAGCCGGTTTGCACATGACGATATCCCACAAACAACCACGAGTGAATGACACATCGTATCTGGAGGATTGTTTGCCAGGATATTGGGAAAAATTCTTTGTGAATAGAGCCATGGGATCTTTAACTTGCTTAACAGGTGAGACCTTAGTTTAATGTCTCAAGCAAAGGATGCCATTTCTGACAATGCAGCACACCCCCAGCACTGCATTGGAACGTCAGCTTAGACTATGAGATCAAAGTCCTGATGTGGGGCTTGAACCCACAGCCTTCTGACCCAGAGTTAAGCGTGATACCAACTGAGCCAGGCTGATACACGTTTATGATGGAGGAGCGCAAAAAAATCAAATGAACAGGGAATTTCATAAGTTGCTCGTCTGTCTGAATAGGATTAACTGTTTTTCTAACTAGTGTTTCAGCAATTGCTCTTTAAAATGTCTTAATAGATTATGGTGACTCACATATTCCTCTGGTGCAAACTTATGATGACAGTGTGTCAGTAAGAGCATTTGTGCAGTATAAAGAATCTGTTAAATCCACATCTAAATATGTTAGATGTGAGGATCAGAAGATTCTCTGAGACATTTAGTCTATGAAGCAAAAATTGTTCTTCAATTTTGACCGTATTTATTATGATGATACAATATGTCCTCTAGGTGGCATTACAATCCTTGTAGAATATCTTTGAAGAATTATTAGTGTGTAAGGTGAGGAGGCAACAAATAGTTTACTGGTCCGGGAAATAAAAAAAAATTGTTTCGGATCAATTTTAGGCAAACTATACCATTGCCTCCTCCTCGTTGGATCCTGAGGGGCAGCACCTCAGACAGCATAAACACGGTGATTCGAAATGACACCGGATCTGCTCCCAACGGGTCTCTTGAAAATTCTCAGATGGTTCAACCGAGCAAGGAATTATGGAGGTAGTGGGAGAGAGTGCGCATTCCATTCCAAACGCGCACATTACCACGTGCAAGTAGCATGCATGGGGAATTCTCAGTCTAGTTTGGATACTCTTAAGCATAGTGATGGGTTTCCACGCGTGACAGACATCTGGCTGGGAGCATTTTATTAATTTTAACCAAAGAGCAGTTTTGCGATTGATTCTTTAAGAAACATTTTTTAAAAAAATCTGTACCCAATTTTGTCGTTCTCCCCTTATCCTGAGCTGGGGATATCACGTTTTAACTGCTGCGGATCAGGGAGTACAAATCAGATTTTCTGTTTCATGTTACTGAAAGAAAAGTTAGCTTTAAATAATAATAATAATAATCCTTGAATTTGATATAGACTATTAAATTAATTTAATATTAAAATATCACATTTTAATTTAATTGAAATTTTAATTTAAGACTATTGTCTCAAAATTAAAGACCTTATATTTTGAAAATTCCTTAACGTGAAACCTAGATTCCAACTTAAAAAAAACCCAGTGAAAACATCGGCGGGTTTAGAAATTATCTTCTGCATGTGTATATATATATATTATCCAATATTTCATCTCTGATGTCATCTCACTAACAAAATTGATATTGAATTCAGGAATTTCCAAAAGCTGCAGAATTTCAACTCGTTGTTTGAAAGTTAGTGGCATAGGATTCAGCCATACCATATAATATTGTCCATTCATGTAAAATAATAATCCCTCCAAAACCAAAACCAATAATAAATTGGTCATTTTCAATCTACGACTGTTTGTGGGACATTGCTGTGCGCAATTGGCTGTCGCGTTCGCCCACAAATATACAGTCAATTCACTTTACAGTGTGTTCTGTGAAGCGCTTTGGGACGACCTCCCACCGTGAAAAGCGCTATGTTAAATGCAAGGATTATTATTATTATTAAATTGATTTACACTTAGAATCCCTTTCTTGTTACTTACTTGCTGAATGCTTTGGAAGCTTCTAAGTATGATTAGCAACACTCTAGTAACTTATAACCAACGTAATATGATAGATTCCTAGAAATTACAGCACAGAATAAGGGAAGATAATTCTGCACACTAAGGCTAAATGGTACTTATCCATTGGAACTAAGTAATTTAATCCCAATTCTTCCACCATCCCCTTTTATATATCCAATTTCCTCGTAAATGATAATGTAAATTTCAAGTGATTTGGGGACAAGTAAAATAACATTTCTTGGAATTCTTTTAATAGTTAAATGAAAGACTGTGCCTACGGTCACCTCCCCCCTTCCTCTCTCAGCTTGGGTTCATGTTCCGCCTTTGTCAAGCACTCTGGGACGCTAACCTACGTGAGAGGTGCTATATAAATGCAAGTTGTTGTTGTTATGGTCTCAGCCTCAATCGTTGAAGAGGTATTCTAACCTTTCCCCTAACTCTACCAGTGGCAATCTTCATATGATTCATGGGAGTGTAATTGGTTTTATTTGTTCTAAGGTTATTTTATATGAGCGCAATCATTTATGTGATGTTTGATTTCTCCTGTAATCTATTTATTATTGTAGGTGTGAAGCTTCCTGTATAAAAGCCTAACTGAATAGAAAAGTTAGTTTATTTCAAGTCTTTCTGTGTCCAATAGAGGTGGAGCATGTCACAAATTATGTTGATGTTTCATTTTTAAAATAACTTAACTTGATGTCATCAAACTTGATGTGATAAACTTCTATCAAGGGAAGTCATTCATCATAGAACAGCCACAGGATAGCATTTTGTGCTGATATCATTGNAAAAAAATAATGTATTAATAGAAAATGCACTGCCTGGGGGAGTTTGTGAGTTATTATGCTTGAAATCATTTGATTGTACATTTTATCCTGGTTCTACTTTTGAGGTGCTGACTCAAACCTCAAAGTTAGTGCAGCATAACATTTTNAAAAATATAGCCATCCAAAATTAAGTGAACATATTATTAAGCTCATTTACAATGGTCAGATTTGCATTGTATAATAAATACATCGTGCCCCAATAAATTTGCTTAAGAAAGCTGAACATTGTTTTTGCGTTGTCGTCAGCAACTTTTGCCTTCAGTTCCATCAGTAAAGTTCATTCACCAGTAGGTCAGGTAGTGGTAATGTACCATCACACATGTAGAATTACTCTATTTTTGAAACCAGTTTTAACATTTAGTTCTTCAATAGTTAGTAATTTTTATTTTAGTGATATCTAAGAGTTAAAAATATTATCCAGTTATGTCGAAACTCATTCTAATGAATACAAAATGATGGGTTCAGGGAGATGGGTACAGTAAGACAATGTATAATATATATGTTCTAAGTTAAAGAAATCTAAACTCATCCTTCTTGTATTCTTTCTTGCCGCCTTTATATTTTTGTTGCAAATTTCTGAATATTATTTTATTTTAAAAAAATTCTAGAGAGATTATGGATCGGGCATCAGAAATAAACGGGATATTTAACTATAAGTTACTGAATAGGGTAATTACCTTATTATGATGGCCGCAAATAACTACAGGTAGCAGAGAATTGTATACATTCTCTGAGTTGATTACTTTCTGTATATAGCCGCTAATTACACTACACTCTGTGGAGTCCTGTAACTCAGTGGTTAGAACACTTGCCTCGCAAGCGAGAGACCTGGGTTCGATTCCTGGCAGGGTGAAACCTTGGGCAAGTTTCCTTACTCTACACGCCTGATAATAATCCCTCAAGGAAAAAAACAACACTTTGTCACTCAATCCACGATTGTTTGTGGGACACTGCTGTGCTCAATTGGCTGCCGTGTTTCGCCCACAAATATACAGTCAATTCACTTTACAGTCTATTCTGTGAAGCGCTTAGAGATGTCTAGAAGACGTGAAAAGCGCTATATCAAATGCAAGGATTATTATTTATTATTATTATTATAATCTCTTCATACCACAATTATAATTATCCTTTTATTTTAATTCGATTTTAAGCTGTAAATGTCATTTGTTTAGCAGCTTTCACTTACTCTCCAGAAAAAAATGGTTGCCCTTTCTGAGAATCTTCAGGCCAGAAATTAGAACTGTAGTTTCATTTTCTATCTTGGTGACTCAATTTCAACTTGATATTAAAAAAAAACACATTTCAATGATGTACTATGGCCTCATTAGCAAAAGTAGATTTCCTCCTTTCACCCGCAACACATCACAGAGGTACCAAATTTGCAACCGTGGCAGAATATACTTCTGCATTAAAGAGACTTAAAACTAAGGCTGTGTGCAAGTCATAGAGTTACACATCTGAAGTAGCTCACATGCTGTTTATGAAGTATAGAAAGTAGTTGAAATCTATGCAGGTAGTTGAAAGTGGGAGACCACTGAAATATAATGTAAAATCTCGGTTCCCTGTGTTAAATATGAAAATACAGATTATGGAAAAAAGTTGACACAATATTACTACAAAATAATTGCTTATAGTTAATCTAAAATGATGAAATTAAAACAACTAGTGTAATATTTTTTCTAAGAACCAAATACATTTATATTTAAGAAACTAAACTCATTTACATTTGGCATGTTATATTCATCTCACAGAAGTCCTTCAAAATTACTGACATGATTTTTCCATATTAAATTATTTTCCTTTTTTTGTTATAGAATGATCAATATCTGGGTGTAGTTTATCAACTCAATGTAACTATTGCTAAGCTGAACTTGTAAGGTCCTCATTCCTGAGTGTCAATCAGTTGTAGAAGTGCCCATCATTGACATCATTTGGCTCCTATAAAACCAAACCCATCCTATAAAATGCAACCATTAGGAACAGACACACTCAATGGGTTAAATTCACACTTTACACTTTTTTTTAAAATTAAGTAACATTTTACAAGTATTTGCCGCAAGGAAGGGAAAAGTGAGTGTGATTTTGTGAAGTTCTAAGTGATACACTTAGCAAAACTAAATGATATAAGTTTGAATGGTCGTTTAGTCAGTTGATTATGTCAAGCTTTTACCTTGTTTTTTCTTTACGTAGAACTTCAGAAATGGAATGTAATGAAACTCTCCATTTTTATTCTGATCAAAAGCTTGACACAATTTATGGATCTCTGTTGGCAGAACATTCAACTTCAGAGTTATGCAAAGAGCCTGGACATCTCTAAATGGTACCTTCCCTGTACCGCATGGATCTCGCTCCTTAAGGACAGACTTCAGATCATTCCAGTGGTCGACTATGTCTCGCCGAAGTTTATTCAAAGTGAGGAACACAGGGCTTTCCTGCAGATATTTGCCTCCTGTGAATGTTTCAGAATAAAAGATAAATCCGTCAATACATTGAGGTGAGCGACATATTTGCTAGTTTGCAACCTCTTCAAAGTTAGAAAAGCAAATAATAATAATCCTTGCATTTGATATAGGACCTTATCACGTCTTCGAGATGTTTCGAAGCGCTTCACAGAATATACTGTAAAATGAATTGAATGTATATTTTGTGGACAAAACGCGGCAGCCAATTGCGCATAGCAGCGTCCCACAAACAGTCTGCGAGAGAGGCCCTATATAAATGCAAGTTGTGGTGGTGGTGGACTGCACAGTACTGCTCTGAAGACCAGTCAGTTGTCAGTCACGGTACCATAAATTGAAAGGGTCACAAAAACAACACTGGTAATTGGCTTCTGAGTTAGGCTTATCTATTCAGGATTGTAGACCTGTTCAGCTTATTTATTGGCCTTCAACAAGACTAATCAGCAGTTAAGTTGTATCACTTTTGCAGAAATAATTCAAGAAGCACTTATTAAGGCTAGGAAAATACCTTGTGCGTTGCTCAAAAATGTGCTAACTTTAATGCCATATAATCTACTTGCATCAATTACATAAACACCATAAGAAATCCTCTCTAAACTTTTCTGTTTGTTCTGGTAATTGTATCAGAGATTAATGTGAGGATGGCTCCTGCATGCATTGCCTCCTAATTCTAATTAATTTTACTCAAACATATTCATCATCCTTAGTGATCTGGAATACAATGAGCGCTCTTCCTGTATAAGTTTCATCTACAGTGTATGAACTACTTTTGTTTTATAAATTTTGATTGTGCTCATACTTTGGCTCTTTCCCTTTTTGTTAAAAATAGTTCTTTTGTTGAAAGGGGACAATGATTAATTTCTGATGTCATGAAAGAAGTGTTCCTGTGTGACTCCATGGTAACAGGACAGGTTTCAAACTGCACTGTGGAACCATCTTGTGTTTTCCTTTTGCATTCTTCCATCTACGCTCGGATGAAAACGACAGTTCAAAACGTTGTTTAAATAACAACAACTTGCATTTATATAGTGCACCTCACACAGAGTCCCAGAGCACTTGACAGTGGGGGAGCATGACACCGAGCCAGGGGGAGTGGGGTACGGTCGAAGAGGAAGGACTTCAGGTGCGACCTGAAGATGGGGAAGGAAGGGGCGGTTAATCCAGTTTTCTCATTGTTTCCAGACTTTTCAAATCTTTCAAATGCTCGGAAATGACTTCAACACCATTTACCATTTACCCACCTGATTCCCTAACGTTCTTACATCTGCTGAAATGTCGGAGTAGCTTTCGCAGAGAGATTGCCTCCACAGGGTAGCTGATTGGCAAACTATGCCACAGTTTTTCAAGTTCCATAGGAAGGAGTATAATATTCATTCTAAAAGGAAAAATAAGATTTCAGTAAAATCCTGTGAAGTGCTTTAGCTTGTCTCAATGATGTGATAAGGTGCTCTAGCAAATGCAAGGATTATTATTTATTATTATTATTTAATTTGTTCAGCGACTAACAAATACAGGTTTAACAAAAAACATAGCTCATATCATTTAAAGTAAAACATTTCTGTAAATGGCAAAGGTGCCATCATTGTTCAGAACAATGAACTTTAAAGTCTAATTTGAATTAACAGTGGGATACAGCTATCATTTTGAATAATTAAATGTATGCTTCTTGTGTTTGAATCAATAGTTACTGCATCTTTGTGGTAAAATTCCAAGAGGAATGACTGTATTTTCATCATATCTGTTGCAAATGTATTACAAACATTGTGTATTTTCCCAAATCATTTAAATCTTAATTTAACCAACAATTATATGGTACAGTATAGACTGAGTTGCAAATGTCTATAACACAAGTACTAATACTAATAATTGCCTTGTTTAATAACCACAGAGCTCTGTGATGGAATCCTTTACTCTGATTAAAGTTATGACCTTGGATTGGTGTGTTTAAACACATATTCAACATGTAAAATTCAACAGTAATCAGTACTGCTACCTCAACACAAATTGAAGTGAAAATTAAGTTCAGAGCAAGTTTTAAGCAAATTATCTAGATTTTTCTGAAAGACTGTCGCTCACTTGAATTTGATTCAGTGTACGATTACTCAATGACCTAAGCCAGGAATTGTAAAGCGATGTACAAAAGCAATCCCCAGCCATTGTAAAGGGCACAGTGGCAATTAATGTTTGTGATATTGCCTCCCTCCAGGTACAGGTAGAAAGAAAGGAAAATTCTTTAAAGAAACATACTCCTTGGCCTGTGATTCATCAGGTGTAAACTTAGTTATCTTCCATTAGTAAGGGACTAGGTTTTTCTGCTAACACTATACATTGAAAGGATTACACTGGGCTTTAGGCGAGCAGCAGCTAAATGAATATTTCACTATCGCATCAGCACCAAGGGTTCAGTACAATAACAAGAAACATTCAAAAATCAAGCTCCAACGTTCATGGAAGTAAATAATTAAATGGCTAGAACAATCTCAAGAACATTTAGGTGGGCAATAATAATATTGATAAAATATAATGATATTATTAGTATATTATATAAGAATAATTATTACTAATATATTATAATAATTATATATTACATGATAGCAATTATATAATAATAATCCTTGGATTTGATATGGTCCCTTATCGCGTCGTTGAGACGTCTCAAAGAGCTTCACAGAATAAATTGTAAAGTGGATTGACTGTATTTTGTATATTTATATCTTATAAATGTTACCTTAGTAGTACACTATCCAGCTTCTCTTTATCTGCTGTGCAGGCATCATTTTTGCACACATTTACGAAAACTTTACAAAAGGAACGTAGTTTCCTTTGCAGGAGGTTGTGAACTATTGTGCGCAGCTGAAAATGTCAATACACAGAAGATAATTAGTACATTGAAAAGCTGTCACAATTGCTTAAGATACCTTGCATAAAGAAGCATCAAACGTCTACACGTTTGGATTAGACTCGGTATATTACAATTTGTCATCTGAAAGTAGGCAGATGTGTCAGCCTGGTGCAGTGGTAGCACTCTCGTCCATACTCCCACACCCCTCTATTCCTTTCTCTCTCAGGCATGTATCAAGTTTCTTCTTAAATAATTCTTCTTAAATGCTTTCTGCTTGAACCCCAGCTTCCAGCAGTGAGATCCACATTCTCACCAAAAAGGTTCCTCCTATACTCTTATGTTTCTTCCTCCTTCTCCCCTCTCCATTTGCTCCATTTCCAATCCCATTCTGTGAAGATCTTCAACTTATTATTTTATGTGAAGGACCTATATAAATTCAAGTTACTGTTTTAGATCTGCTACTGGCTTTCATATATATTACATATATATTATATGTGTGTGTATATATATATATATATATATATATGTAGTTTCGATAACATTGGTTCCCTGCTTAATTCCTTTCTGTGATAGATTTAAATCAACTAATTGAGCTAGATGTTGGTTTATTCCAAGAACTGTGTCTGTGTTGCCAGCAAAAAATAACCCTCTCCAATCATTGTCAAATATAAGTGCCTCATTATGCACTCAATCAAAAAACTGATTTGAAGCCTCACTTTGTTGCTAGTCTTTCTGCTCTAACCCTAAGGTCAAAGTGGCAGGCCGGTTAATGTAACTGCTTATGGTCTGATGTGAAGCGTAATTACAGAAACGGTAAAAGCAATAAAGGATAGAAAGGTTATAATAATTATGTCCCACTTTATCAGCACTGAACGCACTTGTCAATTACAAGAAATTTAAATCTATGCGTTGCCGCTAGTGGATTAATTGTTGGTATTAACTGCACTGTATTCCATCAGTTTTAACATTCAGATTGAGGCACTAGTATCAAACTTGGTTTGATATGTACGCATCCAGAATAATAATTCACTGCCCACGTATTCCTCACTATTGTTGTCAATAAATGACAATAAAAATCCTCTGAGCTTTATCTAAACCAATTCTATTTATCCTTGTAGATTAACTTCATGAAAATCAACCTCTTACATTCCAGAAAGGATTTATAGTGTTTACATCTGAGATAATCTTTAATTCCATTGCCATCATTTCGAGGTATCTTTGGGATTCAGCAATGTAAAATAATTAGCATTGAAAACTCCTTGATTGATAAACACCTTAATTGAAGCAATGAGCATCTCTTTTTATAATTGTCACCATGTCCCCATTGCACCCATGTGTTTGGATACCGCTCGTATTTTAATTTCAGTGCTAATATAGAATCCCAATCTGTATTTCAGTCTCAATATTAATAACGCAGGTTCTTGGATCCTAAAATGCTGCACCAGAAATGAACCTGCTCATATGTCTGGTGAGCAGCAATGCGACACTTTATTCATGCTGGTTTTGCTGTTGAGTGGTATAAAGATGATATTTCGCCAGGACTAATGGATTTATTCATGGGTATGCACTTTCTAAGAGAGGCACAACACATGAATTAAACACCATGCGCTATTCTAATCTAGAGTCTACTATCTAAATGTGTAAGACCAAACTGCATTTTTGTTTTAGCTTTAAAAGCAAAAGAGGTGCACACTGAAAGTCTACTGCGTGATAGAACCATACATCTGTAACATCATTTTTCTTTGCACTGTGGTAAATATTCTCTATTGGGGGATTGTAAAGACAGGGTTATGGAGTTTAATAAATGTCATTATCTTTTTTATTCAATAATTTAAAAACATGAAAACAAACATCCAATCTGAGAATATAGATGTTTTAAAATGGGCTTTTTATCATTGTCCCAAGATTGTATAAATTCACTATCTTATTTCGGAGAAATAGGAAATGTTTTCAATGCAGAAATATGAAACATTACTGCTTGTGTCATGAACTACTTGTAATTACATTGTCTTGTTTATTATATTATAGTATGAAATAACAAACACACTTTTATTGTAGTAACCTTTCAAATGTTGTGAAATCTAGATACTACATTGTGTGATTTTGTTACACTTTATTGATAAATTGAAAAACAATGCGAAATGCTAAAACTAACATTAAGGCTTTTAGTGAAGCATGTAAAAGTTTAATGGTAACTTTACTTCCTGTAATGGACGTTGTTTCTGAGCGTGGCTGTATCTGGCAAGGTCTCCTCCAAATCTTTCTATGTAGCGTATTCTATCCACACGAATATTCTGATCTTTCAGCCGTAGAGAGAATCTGGCTACTTCTTCCTTCAGTTCACATGTGCTAGGTCTATATTGAAAAATGTTTCATATTAATACCATTAACATATAAGCATTATACATTAGATACTGTTATACATTAGCCACCTACAACAACAACAACAAATTACATTTGTATAATGCCTTTCATATCGGAAGCACGTCCCAAGAGGCTGGACAATCTGTGTATCGGAGCCGAGCTGGGGGTCAGGATGGGGGAGGGTGGAGGGCGGGAGGGGGAAGGAAGGTGATCGAAGGCACGGTCGAAGAGGAAGGTCTTGAGATGGGTCTTGAAGGAGGTAAAAGAGGGGAGCGAGGCGGAAGGACTGCGGGACGGAGTTCCAGAGAGCGGGGGCAGAGAGGCTGAAGGTCCACCCGCCAATTGTGGGGCGGGTGAGGCGGGGGACTTGAAGCAGGTCAGAACCCGCTGAGCGAAGGGAGCAGGCAGGTTGGTAGGGGATTAGCTGTTCGCAGAGTTAGGGGGAGCGAGGCCATGGAGGATCTTGAACTGTATCCTCTGTGTGATGGGAAGCAGTGGAGTCGGGTGAGGATGGGGGGGTGTGATAGCGTCACAATCACCTAGATCATAATCAAGGGTTAATTATCCAGATGAAAGGCCTGATGTTCAAAAAAGACTACACAGTACAGCGTTAACTTTAAATAATAATATTAATAACACTTACAACTGATGTGGAAATTGAATGTGAAACTACTAGTCGCTGAAAATATGGAAGTCTTGTAGAATTAGTATCAAGGATGGAAATCCTTGAGAAGCTTTTACGACTGCTCCCAGATTGGTGGAAGCCGATTCGATAACAGCTTTTAAGCGAGAAGTAGATAATTATTTGGGGAGGACAAGTTTGCAGGGCTATGAGGAGAGAGTGGGGGAGTGGGATTGATTTGGAAGCTCTTTTCAAAGAGCTGGCACAGGCACGATGGGTTGAATGGCCTCCTTCTGTGCTGGATAATTCTATGATTCTATGATGATGAAGTCACAGATTAAGATGTTCTTCATCCACAAGAATGTGCAGCAGCCAAAGCCAAACAGAGCCAAACATATCCCGACTCCAGACCAGACTGCAGGCACCTCTTTCAAAAGTAGGCAGAGGGAGCAGATGTCAAATCAAGGAGGTGAGGAGATTGCAATTGTGCACCTTAACATGAGAAGTCATCCCATCATATGAAACATCCCACAGAGTTGTTGAGCTCACCTATCTTGGAAGAGAAGAAGGAATTTGGGGTAGTCAACCAAATTGTTTTCCAGGTAGCCAGCTTTGTTCACAATGGTGTCAAGTTGATCCTTCGTCAGTTGAATTTGGAAAACCTTTTCAAGGATTTCCTTAAATTCGTGGTAACTGACAGTCTCATGGTCAGAAATGTCAGCTTTTCTACAAGTAAAGGGTGAATCAATTATTCCTTTACAAACATTCCTAAAAGAAACTGGAAATGTAAGATTCATTAAATTCCCAATAGTTAACACGCCCACACTTCAGAAAATCAGGTTTTCTGCCAGGAGCAGAGAAATACCTACAGGAACAAATCGTGAACCTGCTACCAATGTTGAAAAAGCATTTGGAAAATAATACTTTTGTTTTAGAAGGTACAACGTTACTGTGCTACAAATATCTCAATGTGCCTTGAAAATGATTTACAATACACATAAAAATACTGATTTACTTGTTCCATGGATAGCAACAAAATATGATTCCTATTTTGCATGGTTGGCAAAAACCTAATCATTTAACACGCATAATAGTGCAGATATGTAAGATTAGATTACTCAGTACTATTAGCTCTCCACTGTACAATTGCCATTACCATTTCAAAAAATAACACTTAAGTCCTGTTGGCCCTTGTTCACTATAGATCGGGCTGATGCAATCAGTCAATACTTTCTATTTGATTAAATATATCAGTTCTTACTATATTTTGGGAGAAAATGACTACAGGTATTAAGAACACAAGCTTCTATCAATGGTTTATGGCATAATTAACCATTTTAAATAAGTAGAAACGGTAAAGGTTGTGTTACAATAAGAATCTCGTATGTTTAAACTTGTGAGCTCGTGTGTACAATCTTGTTGAATCCAAAACGTCTTGATTTATCAAACATGCATTTAGTTTTCATTCATTTCAGATCTTATCACAGACTATCTATTTGTATAATTTTATGTTGGATTAATTTAAAGGAGCCTCATCATCTTTCACCGTTATATATTCATACCAGATTAACTGACATTTGACATTCACTTTGAATGTAAGACAGATATTTAAACACATTCACAGAACATACTGGAAATGTACAGACACAAGTCAAAGAAAACAATAGGTAAAAACGTTGGAGAGAGTAGTCTGTATTTAAACTATTGTGGAGTTTTTTTTGACCCTTCATATATTTCCAGGGCTGGGCAAAAACTGTGGCATTGGTTCATCCAACGCATAACGATGGATATTTGCATGACTTCAAGGGCCATCCTGACCTTCTAGAATTCTACTCAATACTTTCATCTTCCTGACGGGGTGATCCTTTTCTGGTGAGTCATATGGATCTATGAATGTCTGTGTGTGTGTGTGGGGGGGGGAGGGGGTGTGCGGAGATTAATACCCTGCTTTAGCGCCCACCATTTCTAGATAAGGGCTCGTTGCTTGGGTCTTCGCCGAAGAGTTTTCCTCGGGAATCCAAAAGTGATCATGACAATAATTTTGCTTCTGTAAGGTATTTCGGTAGTTTTAGTAATACCAGTAAATGAAGTTGCTGATGCAAAAATTGTCAGCACACTGGTGCAAATCATAATCTACATGAGGGACATGTTGACGTCCATTTGGACCTACAGAGAAGATTTTGATTTAAGAACAAAGCGTCTTAGTGAAAGTGCTACCTTAATTACCAATATACCATTTCAGGATTATCAAGGATTACATGCCTCATCCAGGGGTAAATCCTCAGTGCTGTCTATCATTTGTTGAATATTAAAATAGTAAGATTGTTTTCTCATCACTGAGTGGTATATTGATTACATTTTGTAGGATTACATTTCAGGAAAAAATACAATGACATAGTAAAGGTGTCGATTCTCTGTGAAAGTCATAGATACAATTCTTCAATATTAATTAAAAATATGCTAAAATAATTTAACTTTCCCTAGCTTTTCATCACACCATTGCACATTATTAGAATAACATGAAACTTTTTGCAAATAATGAAGTTTAACATCAGTAGAAAACAGAATTTCAATGACAGTGTGTTGAAAGAGGTACAGTTCCATTTCTAAGGTCTTGGTGGAAACATGAAGCATTGTCCCAAAGGAAATCACACCCGGGATTATCAAGGTATGGTAAAGCTGTTTTAACGCAATGCTTGGATTAAATCCCAACCAACGGGTTGTGTTGGCCAGTCAGTGCTTTCGCATTTACTGCACTGGTGTATAGCTGTTGGCTGGCTTCAATGATAAGGCTTTACTGACACTTCAAAACGCTGATCAACATGAGGGAAGCCAAATTAGCTGACGACTGAGTAATGTGTGTGCAGGAAGCTCTTACCTCCCATATGGCCAGCAGAGAAAAAAATAGCTCCACAACACAGTAACAAAACCAACTTATTTTGCCTTCGCAGTAAAAGCTGTTTAAGGAAGTCTTGCAGGATATGAAAACAGATGTAAAGAGCGAGCAATCAATTTTGAAGATACTTGGAACAAGTTTTTTAATTCTCTAAAATACCTTTGTAAACATAAAAAGAGCTACCTGAATGCTGTCAACAGTTGAAGGAAAAGCCTGTGACACTGTTTTAACAAGCAAACCTCAGCTTCAGAAGCCGTCAGACCATCTTTATAGACTCGGGGATTTTCACCATCAGCATAAAGCCTGGAAAAGATGAGGGAAACGGGAAACCTGTCAGCAAACTTTCACCTATCACCAATGATTGCGTCTGTCTTGTCTATGTGTCTATCTATCTGTCTGTAATGCTGTAAAACCTTCATTAAACTTTAAAGCGCTGTAAACCTTACAAAGGGAACATTTTAGAAGTTGCCCGGAAGTAGGTAAATCTATATTATCGATTTTCTCCATTTCACTTTTGATTTCTCCTGCAAATATTTAGTCCTTGATAGTGTTGAGTGTTAATGCAAGATTACACACATATTTTGATACTATTGCCATTTTGTTGTTGGAAATGTATTGCAGGTGACACCACACCATTACAATATATTAGACATAGACAAACCCTAATGTGGGAAAGGAGCTGGAGCCAAGCTTCCACCTAAACATGAGAGTCTGTAGTTTCAAAGTACTCGTCCCACTAAAAAATCATCTGCATAAGATTCTGTAGCCTACTTGTACTAACAAATCCTTGCTTTGTTCCAAGCACTTTCGCTTTGGGTTCCGGGCTGCTTAGTATTTGTGCTATAGGGAGAATTCCTGGGCATCCTAGAGTAGCTTTATTATAGATTAATGTAGTTGTATGTGTGTCTGGACATGTATGACAGATGATCAGGAACTGCCTGATTTGAAAGCACAGACATGAGGAGTGTGTAACAATATTAAACACATGATGTAGTTTCCTGGTATCATGTAAGCTCAGATCACCTCTCCAGCTGGATCATTGAATCCTCTGGGAAGCATCTGTCTGTTCTCTATAACATACACATACATCATTGGAGCAGCTTAACAGCTGGGGAGGAGATGGCCCCATGAACGCACCAAAAGCAAGGATTCCTTGCTACAGATGGAATACATTAAATAGGAATATTTTATTTTTCAGTGGGAAAGTTTGAACAGAACATGTTCTCCTTTGACTTTCCTTCTTTTTAACAACTGACAGAGTTCATACACACACACACACACATCACTGAACCACCTCACCATGTTTCCACCATTTCTGGCATTATTAGAAGGCTGTCTACTGTTTGGAAAAAGGTATTTGCAATGCCCTTACCATATATATTTTGTTTGCAGAAATTACCTGTGATTTAGTTTTGGAAGCATCTTGTTGAATAGACTTAGATTTGATCTGCTTTGCAGTTTTTCCACAAATTTTAAGTAGTCCACAAGCCCATCTCTCCTTTTCAAATTAAACCTAAGTAAAAGATTAAAAAGCAATGAATTATGCAAAGTGACTTCCACTTTATTTGTTCTAATTTTTTATAGTATATTTTAGGAGTTTAAAATGCTGCTATTTTATTTTTATTTGAGCATTTAATTTACTGCTGTAACATTTTAAAAAGTAACATTTTCTTGCCAAGAAATACACTATTACATACATTGTCAACGCTTCCAATTTTTTTCTTCAATTTATTATGGACTATAAACTACACCAAAGTCAGATTTTCACATTGTAAAAATATTATGAATCATGAATAAAATAAATAAGAGGCAGTAGGTCCCACTTTCAGAACTTGTTAAGAGATTTGGAATATCATTCCTGCAGGTTTTAAGTCAAAAGCTACAGAGCGCTGTGTTCCGTGTTGGAGTTGTGTTCCGTCATATATCCATGATAATATTTATGTTCTTGTGATTCTTTGCATGTAAAATTTCTAATTTGAATCAGAGATTAGACCCGAAACCTGCATTATAACAAGGTTTCCTTGCATCTATTGGTATGTGGAGAATAACTCCTACATCACTAGGACTTAAACTTAAGTTCTGCTGCATCACGTAATAAAAAAATAAAATAATCCTTGCACTTGATGTATCATCTTTCAAGTCAAGGGGACTTCTCAAAATGCTTCACGGGATTTACTGTACAGTGTATTGACTGCACTTTGTAGGCAAATGTGAAACAAACATTTCTCTCACTAACAAAGAATATAAAGTGAAGTCTTGGTACATTCCTGTTAGGGCAAGGACAGCTAAAAAAATCAATCTCATCATTTCCTCATGTCAGCCAATTGTTATGTAGCAGCAAAGTATTTATTGGTTTTAAAGGGTGATTTAACCCAGACTATTCGCTGCTGGGATGTTGCTGATGCCCTTTGTATAAGCAGGGAAGAAAAGTGCTTGGTAAAGGAAGAGCTCAGAGATCGCACAGCAAGCAAAACGGCTAACAACAGGGAAAGAATAAAGATCAAAGGCCACAACGCTTCTCTCACTATTCCTCCTAAATAATCTTCCTACCTATAATCATCCTGTGGCAGCATCCCAGAGGATTTGCTCTCTGTAACCAATTTATGCTGCACTGTATGTGATTCTATCTATTATACAAGACACAATAGAAATCTGCATTTAAAAAAAAGTGTAATGCCTTTACACATTCCTATTTGTGGGTATTAAAATTCCTATTCTTGGATATTCAATAACTATTACCATTGCAAGATGCTCCCCGCCAGTGCAGTTTCAGTTCATCCAAGTCTGTTAATGATGGCTGTTGACCTTCTGCTACAAAGTGCCTTGGGACTTCCCCACAACGTGAATAAATGTAATTTTGTATTATATTGTAAAGTGCAATTTATCATTGCTACCAACAGTCCAGTCTCCACCATTTGGGATCCATAGAAAAAGCCCATATGCATTTTGGTTTTAAGGAATAAAATGTGTTTGGTTTAAACAAACTTTGTTAAGGAATCTTATATTAGATTCAGGAGTGCAGGAATGCCAGGAGAAGCACACATTATCTGTTGATGGGATCTACTTATATTGACCCGTTTATACAGCTTGACATTGCTATACAATTTGAGGCCAGAGGAGTATCAGCCCTGATGACTACAACTGAGATCGGTTGGAAATGAACACACTCTGGAGTTCTCAAACCCCCTGGCTCTTGCCAACTGACATCTAATACTTTCCGGAATTAGGTAAGCAGGATGCATCCCTCCTGGGAGAGAGTGCGCATTCGATTCCAACAATCTTTCTCTGGGATTTGCATATGTAGGTGAGATACGTGGAAATCTCAACTTGGTTTGGATACTCTTAAGCATGGTGATGGGTCTTTGCATGTGTCAAGACACCCGGCTGACAAAAACAGGAATGTAATTTAAGTAAATTAGAATTTAAATCTTACCGTTCATTGTGGAGATGGCTAGAGTAAAGTACCAGTGGTTTACTGCAGAGTACTGCATGTTTAATATTAGACCGTATGTTATGCGAGGTTGCAGATTTTTGAGGTAATATCGGACCACTTAGATAACGTGGAATAGACTTTCAAATCATGCTGAGGAATTTAAATTGTACAAATACAACTTGACAGCTTGTGTATCAAAATGGTATAACTCATCAATCACAATATGGCCGAACTCCTTGTTCATTTCTTCTGAGAAGCTGTGTTTGCAAAATATGCTTTTTTGTGCAAGTTTGAACATTAATAAATTAGTGCAGCTGGGATGTGTGAAACAAACTCCCCAGGTGCAGAATGTTCAACAGCAAACCAGCAACGGTACATTTATCATATACGGTGGCAATAAGGGCATTCTACCCAGTGTAACCAGACACATTATTGTGTTACTGGTGAAATACAATTTAGATTTCCATAGCGTATTTCTTGTCGGAAGGATATCTTAAAGCACTTACAAAACAATAATATTAAAATATTACAAAATCCATGTTCCAGTCCTGTAAAAATATAGTTTGAACCTGCGTTTCACATCTTCCTTTTAAATAAGATGTTTTTAGAACCCTCATTTAATGCTGTTTTGGTAAAATATCTTTGATATGTGCTGAATTGTCAGTACATTAGAGCCAAAAGTGCAACATAACATTGCTAGTGCAGATCATTACCAATGTAAGTGAGACGACCTCCAAGGGAAAGCCTTGCATCGATTCTGCTTCAGGCAGGTATTTACGAATCTGGCCATTTGAATTGCTCTCCTATTGTTAGCAACTAGAAAGAGAGGAATGTCCCCAGCAGTTCTTGGCAATCTGAAAGATCTCACTTTCTGAGGCCACACGTACAGAGATCAGCTACACAAAGTTATGTGAGCAGCAAATGTAAATATGGTTATCCATTCACATCCCTGTAAATTGTTTTGGGCACTCCACCAACATGTTCAGTGTAACAAAGGATTAAATCAATTCCAGCCCTTGTAACATCATCATTGTTGAAAACTATGACAACATTATTCGATAATATGATATCCATTGTCAATAACCCAATGTCAGCATCAATTCACTATCCTATTATACAAGCTCCCAGCCAAAGGATTCCCTAAATGGATCGTGAACTGGTGAAATAGTGAGTGACTCAAACAGGGGCAGATACCCGACCCTTGCTCAAGCATGAAATAAAGTATGCTTGTCATCCATTTAGACTCCAGACAAATTAAGTCTGATTGTAAGAACAGGATCATACGTTTATATAGAAATTGTTCTGTGCAAGTGCAGCACTGTCTCATTGACGGTGCAGTTGACCCAGAGAGCTTTAATCAGACTAGTTGTCCCTTTCACATGGCAGAAGTTGGGAACTGATGATGCAAAGAATCATGGCCATAGATCTATGTCAAACAATTGAGTGCCAATTCTGGCTGCTAATACAATACAAAATTACATTTGTAAAGCGCCTTTCACATCAGGAGGACATCCCAAAAGGCTGAACAGTCAGGGATTAGGACCCGATTAATATAATAATTGCACTCTTGCAATACCTGGCTAACAGATGCTCCAAATCCATTGCGTACATGGGATTCCTCAAGTTAGCCAGTGCATGCCGAAATGCTGTTTGCTAATCTGAAATTATAAAGCGTGCAATTATGTTTCAATCATTTAATTATAATTATAATCATTTGATATTGCACCTTTCATGTTGGGAGGAAGTCTCAAAGCACAGCACAAGATTCATTGCATATATTTGTAAGTGAATGTGCCAGCCAATTTGGTAATGTGTCCACACAGCCATGTTGGTTAGGACACGGGGATTATGTATTTTAAGACGCACTATTCTTTAAAATATTCTAAGAATACAAAACTTCAAGATTTAATATATCTCCTTTGAATTCTTCCTTCCTCTGTCAGTTTTGGAAGAGGAATACAATGTTTTTGTTGGTTGGAAAGCAGCTTTAAAGTCTAATATTACAATAAAAATGTCCAAACTCTGAAGACAGGACTTTGAACTTGCAGTCTTGGCCCACACTCCAATGCAGTGCTGGAGTTGGGATACATGGTTAGAGCTGTCAGATGGGATGTTAAACCAAGATGCCGTCTAGCTGTTCAGGTTCAGATCTAATGGCACTGCTTGAAAAAAGAAGGGAGTTTCTTCTGCTGTCCTGGCCAACAGTCCCCCAAATAAAATTGCTCACTCACTTCATGGTTGTTTGTGGAACATTGCTATGCACAAAATGAATGCTACATTCATCTGGTCACTACATTTCACAGTAAAATCCTGTAAAGTGCTTTTAGACGTCATGACAACATGATATGGCACTATATTAAATGCAAAGATTATTATAACATCAGAAGCAGGAAGCTCACACAAGCACATGAGGGGTTACTCGTAGTAGTAATGTAAAATATTTAATTCATAGCCTGTTCTGAGGTTGCATAAGTACAATTAAATATCACATACAATATATTCAGCCAATAATCTCAAGATTTATCCACCCACTTTGCATTTTCTTTATTGTATTCAATTTATTATTGCTTGATCATTCTCTTAGGTCACTCTTGCCATATAAAATTCTAAGCCCTCTGCTATTATTCCTCTGTCAAAATAGTACTAGTAGTCTGCGATTAATCGCTCTTCAAATTTCTTTTCCTCCCTGTGGAGGAAGTGTATAGCTTTCACTTGACACCTTCTCCTGATCTGGGTTGGCTGAGTTTGCACATTTAGCAATGTGAGGAATTATGGTTATGAATCGGTGACCCAGAAATGTATTGTGCTGGCAAACCATTCAAATTTTACTCAATTGGGGCTATACTACAATAGAGAATAAGCAGAATTCCCACTCCATCCAGCCCAAAGTAATTATGAAGGGAAGAAATTCTAAGTGTTATTGCAGAGTTATTCTACTGATTGCATATCTACTTAGATTTTATTAAAGTTATTCTATTACACAGAGACTTAATGCTACTAGTGATAGTGAGTTATTGCTGTATTTCCACATATTAAAATCAATCCAGGGATCGCTAATATTATCAATAACATAAATAACAGTAAATAATGATTTTGTGCACCGAAAACTGTAGTCTTTACTGTATTATATGACTAAAGTACAGTGGCATCGTACAATATTTAAGAATTCCTTGCTCGTAATTATTATTCATCACATAATCACGTTGTTTCACTTACAGTAACATACATGACATTAATTCCAACTTTTAAAAAATTTGTTTAAAATTCCAAACTTATTGTGAATTGCAGCATTCAGCAGTGAATTTCTTCGAGGTCGAAGTATTCATTTACTTACCTGACAGGTCTCCTGCTTGTCATACTTTGCAAATTCATGTAGAATAATCATACAGGCTTCGTCTAACTGCAACAATAAAGGAGGTAATTGGAAAAATACTGTAAGTTAAAAGTAAGTTTTACTGTAAGTTCACCCTGCTTTTTCAAATCAATTATCTATTATACCTACATGAGATATTGGAAAAACAATTTGCAAAACAGTCTTTAGTTAGGTAAGAATACTTTGAACAAAAATGTACAACTCATGATGACCGATGGGTCAAATCCTTGTCATGTGACTGTGTAATGCAGTTTGGCATGAGCTGTTTGTCAAACTGTTTGTAAAGTGAAGTAATTACTGTTGGCACCAAGGTTGGATCGATGTCTCCCCAGATGACTGAGGAGCAATGGTAGCTTCCAATTAAAGGTGATATGAAGAGAGAGGAAAATAAAAAAATCTAAGGAATGAGAGAGAAAAATAAAGGAAGACACACTGAGCAGAATCAATGCATTAATGCAGTGATTATTTGTGGATTATTGCCAACATTTAAAGTCTGTTCAGCTCGTCCATTGACCACGTGTAACCCATTCTATCATTGATCCTAACCACTTCTTTGAACACTTTGTAAACTTTTTCCCTGGCCCCAAAAATATTCAAACAAAATTCTATTTACTGAATATCTAATTAAATACGCATGCATCTCCACATCTGCACTATTCAACTTTAGCTGTTTGATTTTGACAAATGACACTTACTTGGTTGTAACAGCACAGGAATAATCATGGTCTGCAGAGTATTTGATTATCTCTCTCCATAATTATCCCTCTAACATTCAATCCTGCTCCTAACTAGATATTTATCTAGCTCTTTTCTGAAGGAGTTAATTGACACAGCATTAACTACTTTGTTTGGGAGTCTGTTCCACATATGAGTTACTTTGTGGAACAAAAAACATCTCTTGATCCCTGGTATCACTTGAGTCTTGTTGAATTTGTATTCATGTCATTTAGTTTTATGTTCACAGTCAAATTAAATAGCGTGCTTACATTTGTATTATCCGTGCCTTTCACCATTTGAGAAAAACTAGATGATGTCTCCTCTCAATGTTCTTTTTGCTAATGAAAGCAAGTTCATAGAGAGTCTCTTCATAATTTGTGTTCATACAACTATGTTTGGTTGGCAGTGAATGAATGGAATTTTAGCAGCAATTTGTGAAACCTTTTTAATAACATTAAAAAAAAACAACTTTAGCATTTGTACCAAGGTACGCGTATGCAAAAATCAGGTATTTGTTTTTCCTCAACCCCAGTTTCCGACAATGTTGCAACTACAAAACACAGTCACTTCACTTTACTGTGTATCCTGTGAAAGGGCTATAGCAAATGTAAGGATTACTATGTAAAGAGAAACATTATTGAAGGTATAATCTTTGGGACTACTTAATTGCTAATAAAGCCATTGCCATCAGAATGGCCACAACAGGTACAACAAATTCTTTGGTGCTTTGAAAGTAAGTGGGGCTTACAAAAAATAGGTAAATGGGCTTCAGTTCCTTTTCATTGCTCAGGAGAATACATCCCAATTTCTCTGGTATTATTGAATATTTCCAAGTTGTTAGACATAGAATTTGCAGAAACATAACACAATAGTAAATAGCCCTTTTCTCATTGGAATTAAACCATTGGTTCATCTGGACTACCAATCTAACTTTCCAAAGGATTGCTTGGACAAATCTATCTCATCAGCTAATAAGCCTGAATACTCTCAAGTTCCTTTTTGAAATCATTTGTGCTTTTTAAGGTTTTTCACCTGAATACATTTGTGCTGAAGCAATTTCAGTTGAATTATATCAGCAAACCCCCCCAAAAAACAATAATAAATTGTTCATTTTCAATCCATGACTGTTTGTGGGACACTGCTGTGCGCAATTGGCTGCCGTGTTCGCCCACAAATATACAGTCAATTCACTTGACAGTATACTCTGTGAAGCGCTTTGGAAAGCTTTGGAAAAGCGCTACATCAAATGCAAGGATTATTATTATTATAATAGTACTATTAATAATAATCCTTGCATTTGATATAGCGCCTTATCACACCATTGAAGTGTGTCAAAGCACTTCAACGTATAGTGAATCAAAACTGATTGGGAACAAACACTAAAGTTTGGCCAAACATAGACCATGTGACCCATATAGTACGAGCAGAAATCAGTAAAACAATTCAATACGATACTTATCAATATCTCCGAAATGTGAGGGGTTGGCAGAATGTCATTTAGTTGTTTCTCTTTCTTGAAACTAGTTGAGGATTTATGCAAGAAAGCAATTTGCGCATAATTAACTGACCTTGAACAAGTCCACAAACACCCGAAAAAAATAAACATTTTCAAACAAATGTCTTGTCACATTCTCAACAGAGAATGTAATAGATCACTTTTACAGCTGCAAATAATTAGGTTACCGCTGAAAAAAGCTGATCTTTCAAGTGGACAAATCAGGTGCAATTCATCTATAACATGACACCTTGTTATAGAAGAGTATGTGCACTTGTAAAAGCTTACTGGTTGGATAATTAGGTGAAAAAATCTAGTTTTTAGAATGTTTTTATTCATAAAATAGTACGACATACCTGCTTTATGATTAACTTTTGCGTGAACAGGCACTTTATTCAGCAAGATTTGACAAACTCGTTACAGTCAGTGCAAGGAAAGTTCAAGGTTATTTTGTTGTATCCTATAATGGCCCCATAGATAAACTGAACCCATATAAAGGGAAATAAATCCATGCAGACCATTTGGGGTTGAGGATGATGATGATAAACTCTGAACTTATTTCATCATTTAAGAAAATCAGTGTTTTAACTTCTAGCTGTGACCCAGCGTCTGGTGCAAACTACTTTAAGGCAAGTCAGACGAAAACAATCTCCATGTACGACACAGAGTTTACACATATTAGAATTTATAGTTATAGCTCCATTTAGTACTTAATCATGCTAGCAGTTTCTGAAGGTTGAATTAGTTTATTTCCAATATAACATGATCAACTGCCATCCTAAAAATGCAAGTATATTACAATTCTTGTTCTGTCTTCCTGTATGGCCTAGTGCTTCACTTGGCAATGTGTAGTTTAATTCTGCATAGCTTTGCTGTGGTATTGTATTGTATTGAACAAGTACTTCCAAAGACTACTCTTGAGGATAATTCTATGTTGGTAGTAAATTCACTGGCCTGACACATACATGCGTTGTATTCTCCACCAGTTGGTAAATGTAAAAACAGCACTTGAGGTTTTTGCCTAAACTAATTTGTGTTGAATTAACTGATCTTGACCAAGTCCACAAATACTTACAAAATACCACAAATGTGGTTGCATTCAGTGCTTTGCTGTTAGATGGAGTGTAAAGCCCAATTTGTGAATTACTAAGGTACCTCTTAAGGTTGAAGGACAGTGCCCCTATCCCTGGAGCAAGTGATTTGCTATTGGGGGCTGCAATATAAAGTGTTTTTTGATAGAACTAAAAATGTTTTAGTTTCATCAACCTGCTCTGAAACAGAAAGGATGACTAATGCTATTTCACAAAATAACACTATTGATTGCAAATATTAAAGTTATGGACTTTACAAATAGCTTCCTGTTTAAACAATCATGGCAGCTATGGACTTCCAAACATGTGGGCTTTTAGAGAAAATATTACTTCAAATGTAATTAAAGCTAAATTTCCTATAATTTGTTAAAAATCATATATAGAAACAGAAGATTTATGCTGAGTATGGTAGATCAAAGAAAGTAGAGCGAGTTCTATAATTCATAAGTGTCCCAACTAAGTAACTAAGGAAAGGAGACTACAGATTGACGCATTAATTAGATTAATAAGGGAAGTATTCAGCAATTTGTCACCATTAATTTAGGGCATTGTCTGATTCATTCATTGGAAGAAAAAGTACAGAAAGGATTTATCTTTAGGCTTATAGTATCAAAAACTAAATATGTAATTGTAATAAGTTCTTGTCTGCTCTATTTCTCGGTAAAAAAGAAATAGATGTTGAAGCTTCTGTGATAGTGGAATGTTATACTGATGGAGCAATTTAATTTAGTGGATGCACTAGATTAATGGATGAAATCAGGTAGACAAAGCTCTGCTTGTTCCGTAATAATGCATAGAGCTTTGAAGCTGTGGCTGCTTAAATCCATTCAAAAAGCTAAGTATTCTTTCAACGCTATGTGCTATTTTTATCCATCACCAAATCAGTGATTTGTACAATGAAAATTACACGCATGAAAAAGGACCAGAGGAAGCAAAAGTGAATCGAGCAAGGTGGGTTTCGAAACTGACAATGATTTTCAATAAGAAAAAGCTTTAATGCACTGGAAAGCACTGCCTGAAAGGGTGGTGGAAGCAGATTCGATAATAGGTTTCTAAAGTGAATTGGATAAGTACGTGAAAAGGAAAAATTTGCAGGGCTACGGGGTAAGAGCGGGTGAGTGGGAACCAGTTGGTTAGCTTTTTCAAAGAGCCGCACAGGCACGATGGGCTGATTGGCCTCCTTCTTTGCTGTAAAATTCTATGATTCTAAGAAAAAGCTTTAAAGTTAAATAAAATTATTTCCATTTCCAAGCAAACCGTTGCCATGCCATTTCTTACAGAAACTCACTGAAAAGAGGTGTATTTTCCAACAAGAATAATAACTACACTATACTGTCCTAGTAAATGATAATATAATAATTCTTGCATTTGCCATAGTCGTGGATTGAGTGACCAAATTATTATTTTTTTTATTTTGGGGATTTATCACTTACCTTAACTTTAAATATCTTAATAACATCATCATCAAAATTAATAACACTATTTGATGTTTTTTGTTTACTTTTAGCTGCTTGCGTTCTTGTTAAATCTTCATTTACTCCTGAAAAACATTCAAAATAGCATTAACATTAAATTTCCCTCACTAATTGTAAAACGATGGGACAGGTATTTCATTGTGGGAGGGGCATAGCCGGGTCAGGTATTTTCTAGAGATAGTGATCTACAGAATTCACTGTAATCTATAGTGACTGTGCATTTTGTACAAGCAAATTGCATACAAAATCCACAGTCACTATAGATTGAAGTGAATGACCAGTTTTATTTGGGGATTGTTGGCCTGGACACCAAAACAACAACAATTTGCAGGTGAAATGCTACTCCCTTGTTTTTTCTGAATAGTGCCACATGAGCATTAATGTCCACCTCAACAGCTGGATTGGACTTTGGTTTAACATCTCATCCAAAGTACTGTATAATGACAATGTATAAGTACAATGAACTTACTTTTTTTTGTACATGATACTGCTGTTCATGTCATGATGTTAATGCCGATAATAAAACTACCACGTCTCGCCACTGAAAGTGCAATCACAAAATGGTGTTGGAAATTAAATTCCACAAACAGAAGTAATGGTGGTCTGTGATGAACAATGTGGTGAGAAATCGTTACTTTATTATGTTTCTCATCGACAGACAGGGCTGGTCTTAAAGCTCCAACATCCAGTTTATCCTTTCTGCATCCAGCTCTATTTGGTATGCAAAGTGCAGTAGTTCTCTTCAATTATATCCTGTACTCCAGACTGGCCCAGAGTTCTGCCCTTCCATCAACATCAATTACCAGTTATAACCCAAGGACCTTCAGGTAATTATAAGGAACATAAGGAAGTGTAAAATGAGAACAGGCCATTGAGTTCAGCAGATATTTCTCCAATACAGCATGCAAAATTTAAGGTATCCTGACTCTTCATACAACATTTAATCTCCTCGGAAAATCTCCTTACTATTCCTACATTGGAAATTTGACATTAAAGTTTACACCACAAAAGTTGATGAAATTACTGGCAGAGTCGAAAGTGTTAGCCAACAAACATTAATAAATATAATGTCAAGTTAGAGAATCTTGCCCTATTTATTACACTTTTGATTCACAGATTGTATCAAGTAAGAACATACAGTACCTGTTAAAGGATCATTAGGGCTGAGCATTGTTGTACAATGAACAGTTCCTTGGGAATTTATTCCCATTTGAGTTAAAAACTGCTGCGTTGGCACTTTCCATTTTCTCTCGGCATCTATTCTGCAAAAGAGTACACTATGATCAAAATCAGGAACAAATATGTTGGCTGTAACATTGCTTGATGGTAGAGATTGTCTTGAAAACATCACCCGTCTCCTTTCAAAGATATATATCTGGATAATGAGGCAGAATTTACAATATGATTTACATTTATACAGTGACTTTCATGTCAGAAGGATGTCTCAAAGCGCTTAGCCCTGCTGGGTGGACACCCGAGCTGGGGGTAGGAACTGAAGGGGATGAGGAGGAGAAAGATGATCGAAAGCACAGACAAACAGGTACATTCTTGGATGGGCTTGGAACGAGGGGAGTGAAGGACGAGTCGGAGATACTCTGGGATGAAGTTCCAGAGAGCGGGGCAGAATGGCTAAAGCCCACCTTCCGATGGTGGGGTGAACAGGACAGAGGACATGAAGCAAGCCGGTATTTGCTAAATTTATTCATAACATAGCAGTAACTATGAGTAAACTGTTGTAGTAGATGAATAAAATTGTCACTTTCTAAGACATCCAACACTTCATATATGCAACTGAAGCAAAACAAAATTCAAGAGTAAATTTGTGTGGGACAATATCATAATTCAAGGCAAGATATTTTGACAGATGACAGATTGTGTTATTTGAAAAGAGAAGATTTCTCCCAGGTGACTTGGCCAATCCCCAGACAAAATTGCTTATTTACTTCATAGCTGTTCATGGGATAATGCTGTGCATGAATCGGTTGCTGTGTTCACCTGAAAAATATACAATCACTCCACTTTACAGTGGATTCTGTGGATGCACTTTGAGGTGTTTTCACAATGTGATAAGGTGCCATATCAAAACCAATAATTATGATTAATAATATTAATAATAGTATTAATAATACTTACTGTCTAAATAAATTATACAACCTAGTGCAGTCATGTTCAATAATTGTACCCTCAGTGCAGTTTAGATTAAACAAGGTATTTGCAATTTAGTTGTGATTACTGCAGTTGATGAACTGTTACTAAAATACATAATTGCAACATAATGTATCGTTAAAAGCAGACAAGTTGCCAGATAATTGTCTCCAATTATTTTTGGCAGCTTATTGTAACATTTAGTTAATATCAAAGAAGATTATACAATATTTTGACATTTTATGACTGGTTCTGTTTTTTTAAATAAAATGTTTAAAATTGTAACATTGCATGTCAAATGTGAATATCAAACTCTGACTTTTGCAGTATCTCTTTAAACTCTACATTATTACTAGGATTGAGAATGCCAGCTGCGTTCTTCCATTCCCAAGTGGGCTGAGTTTTCAGTCTGCATTATTTTCAAAAATTGCAATTTGCAATGGTTGTGGTTTATTGTCTTTCTGAAAGATTTTCTGCCGTTTCTGAAGCCAGCTGCAGGCAGCAATTATAGCAATTACAGTTTCCAAAATATGCTAATCTAAGCTGCACCATTGGAGATGCTGAACAGCCCCCATAGGCGGAAAGGATAAAATGAAAGGATGGAGGACAATTTGCTTCAAGTCCCAATCGCCAGGTCAGGGGAACATATCACCTACACATCCTTTTGGATGGAGAATGATAAGTACAGTATATGGAGCAGAAGGCACTTGACACAGAATTCATGTTGGGTTCTTGCTCCTGATCCGTATCCAGTCATCCCATCCGGAAATTCTCTTGCAAGGTTATGTGTTTTTCATAACCTTAGGACAGATAGTGTTCAGAAAGCACAGTGTTCTTTATAAGCAATCTAAGCAATACATTCTTTGGGATAAAACATAACTCTGATATACACATTACACATTTTCAAGGTTTTGTATTTGTTAGCAAATCATACCAGCTAGCAAACGTACTCAGACACACATGGAATATAAAATATGTGCTTATGAACCAATATTTCTGAATAATACTGAAACTTTGGCAATCTCAAATGAACAGGCACATTGCCAATATTGCACATTGTCATTTCAATCCACAACTGTTTGTGGGACACTGCTGTGCGCAATTGGCTGCCGCATTTCACCCGCAAATATACAGTCAATTCACTTTACAGTCAATTCTGTGAAGCGCTTTGAGACGTCGAGAAGACGTGAAAAGCTCTATAACAAATGCAAGGATTATTATTATTATATAAAGATAACGTATGATTTGATGTCAGTTAATTATTTCTGTTAAAAGCACTACGTTTTCAAGGTTTTGTATTTGTTAGCAAATCATACCAGCTAGCAAATGCACTCAGACACACATGGGATATAAAATATGTGCTTATGAACCAATATTTCTGAATAATACTGGAACTTTGGCAATCTCAAATGAACAGGCACACTGCCAATGTTGCTATTAGCCTGGCTAATCATATCCTGTATGTTGAGAGAGCAAACAACCTCCTTTTAACAGTTTAAAAGAAACCAAAGCTGGATTAAGTGGTTGAGACTTGATGGTGGCCAGATATTCCATCAGCAGTAGTGGTGTGGAATACCCTCAGCCTGAGATGAAGACAAGTGAAAGCTTAATTCAGGAAGCCAAGTTTGTATTGCCAAATTAACAATGCTGTATTGCCCAGTGCCAAAAGAATTTGCAAAGTTTTATTTGCCGTATACTTTGTAGCTGGAGTTCTGCAACTCAATGGTTAGGAGCATCACCTCTCAAGCGGAGAGGACCAGGGACTGCAAAAAGATGTAGAAGAAACGGGATTGATTTGCAGCAGATCCAATGCAATGCTGGGGGTGTGGGGTTTGCATTATCTGAGGTGCCATCCTTCAGATGAGTGTTTCACGAGGACCTGTTTACCTGTCAGGTAGGTATGTGCTGAGTATGAGCTCAAACTGATACTAAATCGGTGGTTATTTTTGTCCAAAATGTGTGCAAATGGCTATGAATAGCAGCACAAACTTTGCTTTTTACACACCTTTAACAGCAACAAATTACATTTGTATAGCATCTTTCATTTTTGGGAGGACGTTCCCCAATACAAATAGGAAAATGTGTCAACACATCCCTCCATGTTATATGAGATGATGAGGCAAATGATGGCAATGATTTGCTACACTGCACTGTACTTGGGAGCAACATTCTGTTACATTAAATATTTTTTTAGTACTGTTAAAACACAATGAACACTGTGCAGTCATAGTCTTAATGCTATTTATCAACATCCAAACCTTTCCAGATAGAACATAAGCTGCAAATGAAAAATAAGTGTGTGTGATCCACTCTGAGTATAACAGATCAATAATTTAGGTGAATTAGTGTTCAAAAGCAGGATAAAGCAGAAGGAAGCCCTGAGATTCGGTTGTTGAAAATGTGTTAACCTTCCTTGGCAAATAAGTCCAGAGGGACAGGAGAAGGCTCAGGGAAGACTGGCTTTTCATAAACGTAGATATTGTACTGGCTTACTTAACATCACTTCCTGTGTGCCTACATAATATGTGCAAGAAGCATCACTGATATCACTTCCTTCGCAAATGACATCAGGAGCACACCCTGTGCGCATGTAGGAAGTGACATAAGTGTTGCTTCCGACCCACAGCACAGGAAGTCAACGAGTCAGTATTCTATGCCACGGCGTGTTGCTTCTGGTATAGGGTGGGTCACATTATACAAGCTTCTAAGTAGCCTTGTGTGAAACCGCAGGTTGTACTGATGGGGACATATCCTGTGTATTTACTTGTTCACGGAATATTTTACAGTATGACGGGAAACCTTTACCTAACAACTGGGGTGATAGAATTAGAGTTGCAGTACATCGATTAGTCTGCACAGTAAATGACTCCTTCAGTGTATCCCTTTTAACCCCAAAACATTTCCTCACCTCACCCAGAGGTTGTTGAAATCGTTTTTGTTCATTATAATACCCATGCTCTCGAGAGCTTCTTTCAGTTGCTTTGCTGTAATAGCTCCGCCAACTTCCAGACACGATGGTGGGAAATGTGCTTGCATTGCAAATCCCCTGAAAAAACAACACAAAGGGAGAGCAGTGAGTCAGACACAGATCGCTTGGCCAGTAATTTGTAACTTTGTAAGGTTATATTCCCCAGAGTACACGAATAGCCTTTTCAAGTCATTTGTTAAATTCCTTAGAGGAACTTCAAGGTGGAAGAAATCAAATATTTGTAATAAAAGTCCTGATCGTGGAAATGACTTGAATACCAGTGCCTGTAATGCTGTTAGATTGATTGTCTACAGCAAAAGCAGGTTTGAGATGCACCAAAAAACAATCTCCAATTTAAGGAATTCATTATTTATATAAATTTATGTAGACTGTTAAAGCACAGAAATGGCTATTCCAGTACAGCACTTAATAAGAGCTCCGAGACGCCGTCTGGCGTGAAGGGTGCTACATAAATGGAAGTTGTTGTTGGCGGAGTGCTGACTTGTTGGATGTGCCATCTCCGGGATGAGATATTATATCTGCTTGTTCTGTTACAGATATCTGCAACTGCAATATGTTGCAAAGTGATGAAGGGAACATCTCCGTAGATAGCAGGTAAAAATATTCTTGGGGGGGAGGACTGAGTAAAATTGAGTTAAAATGTTGGTCTCCTTTCAGACAGGTGAGCCGTTGGCTTGACTGACAGGTCAAGCCAACGGCTCACTTGTCTTAAAGGGGCCAATCAGAGTTGGTGACGACCTGATGAGCAGCCCACCAGACTGGAAATAGGGAAAGGGAGCAAGAGGGTCCTGTGAGTGCCTTGGGTTGTGGGTTTCTCGGAGGACTGGCTATTGTCCTCCTCATGGCTCAGAGCTTTCCTCTCCCAGCTTCCATTAAAGAAGGTAGATAGATTTGGGGTGTGGGTGGGAGCTCCCTCTATCCACCTGTCATGTGGTGTCCCCAGATAAAATTGGTCATTCACTTCAAGGCTGTTTGTGGAAGATTGCTGTGTGTAAATTGATTGCCAGCTACCTGCAAAGTAAATTCTTTACAGAAAAGAACAGTTTTCCTTAAATGTTTGGTCTAAGCGATGAGCATCATGAGGCAAATGAGACTGCTTGCAAGGAAATCTCCTGTTGGTCTATTACATTTCCAAATCATTTGAGAATTCAAATAACATTTCAGCTGCAAGCTGACCTACCTTTCATGCATTTTCTGTTTAAGTAAAGTAAAATCATTTTTGATGCTTTCTTCAAGCTTGCCTGATGATTTCTGTTGCAGAAAACTAGTCTTGGAATTCTGTAGCATAGTGTCATTATCTTGCAATTGCTTCAGAGTTGTCAGTATCATCCATTTATTTTTCATTACCTATGGGACAAAAGAACAATGCAAATTTTTAATCATAGATACTTTAATTGTAAAAACATACTGAAGCAAATACTCCCTGCTGAGGTTAACTTCCTTTAATACTGCTCTCCCATTCAGCTTAGGTATCGGGACATTCTGAACCTGTGGACTCTCACCTTTCAATGTGCTTATGTGCCTACACTTTCTGTTTGTCCCACTCCTCATCTGAAACGTTGCTGAATGTTAATAGACCCCCTACCCTGTTGCTAATCCTTTGCTTGACTTGTCAAGGTTTGTGCCTGTTAGCGACAGCTCTTATCTATAGGTGATTTGTATCCAGGCTCTTTAAGCGATTGTGAATTGCAAATTAACCTACTCCAATTGGAGCCATCATTGCAGTAAATTTCCCCTTTCATGCTGTTAGGAATGATGGAGAATCACTTCCAGTTTCCAATTCTGCGAGCAGATTAATTGGATTTATGCTGTCCCTATGAATCAAATAGTTTTAAATAGTTTCCCCCATTTTGAGCAGCTGAGTGAGTCCAGCTCTACGGTTTGATGAAATTTGATTGGCGATGCATGCAGACAATTTCAACCTCCAAACCTTTTAAAAATGAATCTTGAGCCGGATTTTTCAAGATAGGAACCGCAATTTTTTAGTCTAAATGTGTAACATATGTGGGGCTAGGAATGGAAGACAAACAGATGGGGAGCATGGTTTTAAATTGTTCTGTGTTGTTTGCATTGATACACAGCAGTGCAAATTGCTCTTTTCAATGTAGTTTCACCAATTGCCAAAAATGACCTTGCAATCGTTTACCGCAGACTTGATTTGTACAGAATTTCAGCATCAATTCAAAGCCATTTTGTATTGAATGAATGCTCAAAGGATAGTGTAAATGGAACATTAGTGAACTTAATTGATGTATTCACAGTAAGTTCCAAACTTGTGTCCAATATAAAAAGAAGCTTCTTCTTCATCATAAGTGATTCAATGCACGACTGTATCCCAAGTATTTTTAAACTATCAGGTAGAACAACGCTTTCAGATGCACTGAGACAAAAGAACAAGAGGATAGATTTCGGAACCCAAAGGACAATTTCAAGCCATATACCAGGAAGTATGTCTTTACCCAGAGGGTAATTAACAATTGGACCAGGTAACCAGGAAGGGTGGTTGAAGCCAAGGCACTGGGATCATTAAAAGACAGCTTTGAGATGTCAAATGCACGGATTGTTATTATTATTAAAACTGTGATGGAAAGACAGTAAGGTGAGTGTTCTCGAAGATGTGATCAAATATTCTGAAGGGCCTTCTTTATTCAAATCTCTCTTGCAAAATAAAACTAAGACACAGGAAATGCTCCCCTCCCCCAATCAATCTCAGTGCAGTAATTTCTTCTTCTAAATAATCGAGGTACTGCTTCTTAATACTAGAGTTCACAGTGAGTTCCACAGTGATTTCCAATCTCCTAACACCTTATTTCCTTTACATGTGCTTTTCTTACCTTAGTTTCCTGGAAACAGCCAACAAAGTCAACAAAGGAAATGCGTGATAGTCCAACAATTCCTAAACTATGAACAAATATAGGAAACAAATGCAGTCTAATTATCAAGAACATTTCATTCATTCTCATGACTGTTTGAAACTTGGTCCAATAGCTGTGTTAAATCTGTGAAAAATCTTTTCAAAATGCTGAAAATGCATTGCTGAAGGATCTTCAGAAAGGATGATGCTATAACACCCTTTACAGCAAAGCTGGTTAAATAATTTCTCAAATGTTACATTATATCTAGAAGTTTATGTTTAATTCCAAACAGTAAGAATGGGCATATATAATCTTTTACAGAACAGCCCTAAATACTTAACTGTACAAATCTCATGATCCAATTTAAAACAAAATCCGTTGCTGTGTTTACACCAGCTAAAGATTATGGATTCAAAAATTTGTTGCTCTTCTAGCTAATGCCCTTAGGAAGTCATTGTGAATGTACAATTAAACTGGTGACATGACCTCTCTCCCTTTCCAGTTAAGGAGCCGTTTATGCTAAAATCATGGTGTTTATCATTTGCCACCTAATATTAACAATGGTTCCCTTTTAAGACATCCAAACCACGTGAATAAAACATTTTAACCCAATGTAAAATTCATGAAGGCAGCCCAAGATGGAGCATAAACATCACCTTTGAAATAAATATTTGATATTGCCTTGGCAGCTCTCTTTCATCTAGTCTGTTATATGCAGGTCATTGGAGATGTTATAAGACTTTATAAGGCATGTTTAATCTTCAAAACAAAAATGGCAAATCTTCCATGTCTCCATGTTAGGGCAGAGAAGCTTGTGCCCTGAGAGCTGACCAAATTCCTTAATGTTTCATTAAATACTGATGCATAAAGTGATGGGGCGAGCTGTGTACAGTGTTGTCACTCTGGTGTATATGTTGTGTTCCCTCCTTGCCGCCTGTAATCCAGGGATGTCAGGATTCGGTTGAATTCATACCACCAGGGTTTTTATGGTAAGGGGATGGGGTACCTCAGCCTGATCTCTCATTGAGCGTCCTCCCTCCCTATAAGTGAGTTTGTTTTTTGCTGACAAAAGAATTTGCATCCATTCACATGGCACAGCCTTCAATACATCAAGCTTGTGTCAATACACCAACACACCCAATCTAAGGTGAGCTCAAGGGAGAAGCCTAAATGTATAAGTTGAATCTTTGAAAATGCATTTTTCCAAGTGTAGGCACAGACATACCAGCAAATTCAAAGAACGGTACCTCTCTCCTCAAGCAACCGAATCGTACAAACATTTTACAAAATATGTCTCATCATGTAAAGGGTTGAAAAATAATTTTAAAAAAATTGATAATAAAAAATGCAAATTTCTATCAGGGTGAGGGGAGGGAAGGGAGGGAGAGAGGAGGGGGAAATGGTCAGGGTGAGGGGAGGGAAGGGAGGGAGCGAGGAGGAGGAAGAGAGTCGAGAGGGGAGCTGAAGGCACGGTCAAAGAGAAAGGTTTTGAGACCGGCCTTGAAGGAGGAAAGGGAGGAAGCAAGGCGAAGGCACTGGGGGATGGAGTTCCAGAGCCTCGGGGCTGAGAGGCTGAAGGCCCGACCACCGATAGTAGGGCGGTTGGGGCGGGGGACGTGGAGCAGACCGGAGCCAGAGGAACGGAGGGTACGGGCAGGTAGGTAGGGGGATAGTAGGTTGGAGAGGTAGGAGGGAGCAAGGCCGTGAATGGCCTTGTAGGTGAGGATGAGGATCTTGAAATCAATCCTCTGGGGGATGGGGAGCCAGTGGAGGCGAGCGAGGGTGGGAGTGATGTGGTCCCGAAGCCTGGTGCGGGACAGTACACGAGCTGCAGAGTTCTGAATGACCTGCAGCTTGTGGAGGGAGGGCCGGGAAGGCCGGCGAGGAGAGAGTTCCCATAGTCCAGCCTTGAGGTGACAAAGGCGTGAACCAGGGTTTCAGCAGCGTGAGGGGTGAGGTAGTGCCGTAATCTGGCGATATTCCGGAGGTGATGGAAGGCGGTGCCAGTTGTGGTGCGGATGTGAGGGAGAAAGGACAGCTCAGGGTCGAACAAAACGCCGAGGTTCCTGACTGGCTTTGAGAGGTGGAGAGTGCAGCCTTGGATGCTGATGGTGTCAGCGCCTGAGGTGCGGAGGCGCTGACGTGAGCCAATCAGGAGGGCCTCGGTTTTTCGCACGTTGAGCTGAAGAAAGTTGTCTCTCGTCCAGGACTCGATGTCGGACAGGCAGGCTGTCAGGACATCGGTGGTCGTGGAGTTGAGAGTAGAGGAGGAAAGGTAGAGTTGGGTGTCATCCGCATACATGTGGAAGTTAACCCCATGTTTGCGGATGATGTCACCGAGGGGGAGCATATAGAGGGTGAAGAGGAGGGGACCGAGGACAGAGCCCTGAGGGACACCACATGAGACAGTACGGGGGGTGGAGGAGAAGCCATTCGTTGAGACGAAGTGAAGACGGTGGGAAAGGTAAGAGCTAAACCATTCAAGGACAGTGCCTTGAAGGTTGAGGTGGGAGGACAAGCGGTGGAGTAGGATAGCGTGGTCGACCGTATCGAATGCTGCCGATAGGTCGAGGAGGACGAGGAGACAGAGGGAGCCCTGGTCACAGATAGTCAGGATATCATTGGTGACCTTGACCAGGGCAGTTTCTGTGCTATGAGCAGCACGGAAACCTGACTGAAGGGGTTCAAAAAGAGAATGGGTGGAGAGGAAAGAGCGCAGTTGGGAGGCGACAACTCTTTCCAAGACCTTGGAGAGAAAGGGGAGGTTGGAGATGGGCCGGTAGCTTGATAGCTGCGACGCATCAAGGGAGGGTTTTTTCAGGGTGGGCGTGATGATGGCAGTTTTTAATGGAATGGGGACAGAGCCAGAGGAGAGGGACAGGTTTATGATGTCAGTGATGTGTGGGGCAAGAAAATGGAGCTGGGAGATAAGGAGTGGAGTGGGGATGGGGTCAAGGGAGCAGGTGGTTGGTTTTAGGGATAGGAGACACTTTTATTGTAAAACACACTTTTATTGTAGTAACCTTTCAAATGTTGTGAAATCTAGATACTACATTGTGTGATTTGGTACACTTTATTGATAAATTCAAAAACAATGCGAAATGCTAAAACTAACATTAAGGCTTTTAGTGAAGCATGTAAAAGTTTAATGGTAACTTTACTTCCTGTAATGGACGTTGTTTCTGAGCGTGGCTGTATCTGGCAAGGTCTCCTCCAAATCTTTCTATGTAGCGTATTCTATCCACACGAATATTCTGATCTTTCAGCCGTAGAGAGAATCTGGCTACTTCTTCCTTCAGTTCACATGTGCTAGGTCTATATTGAAAAATGTTTCATATTAATACCATTAACATATAAGCATTATACATTAGATACTGTTATACATTAGCCACCTACAACAACAACAACAAATTACATTTGTATAATGCCTTTCATATCGGAAGCACGTCCCAAGAGGCTGGACAATCTGTGTATCGGAGCCGAGCTGGGGGTCAGGATGGGGGAGGGTGGAGGGCGGGAGGGGGAAGGAAGGTGATCGAAGGCACGGTCGAAGAGGAAGGTCTTGAGATGGGTCTTGAAGGAGGTAAAAGAGGGGAGCGAGGCGGAAGGACTGCGGGACGGAGTTCCAGAGAGCGGGGGCAGAGAGGCTGAAGGTCCACCCGCCAATTGTGGGGCGGGTGAGGCGGGGGACTTGAAGCAGGTCAGAACCCGCTGAGCGAAGGGAGCAGGCAGGTTGGTAGGGGATTAGCTGTTCGCAGAGTTAGGGGGAGCGAGGCCATGAAGGATCTTGAACTGTATCCTCTGTGTGATGGGAAGCAGTGGAGTCGGGTGAGGATGGAGGGGTGTGATAGGGTCACAATCACCGAGATCATAATCAAGAGTTAATTATCCAGATGAAAGGCCTGATGTTCAAAAAAGACTACACAGTACAGCGTTAACTTTAAATAATAATATTAATAACACTTACAACTGATGTGGAAATTGAATGTGAAACTACTAGTCGCTGAAAATATGGAAGTCTTGTAGAATTAGTATCAAGGATGGAAATCCTTGAGAAGCTTTTACGACTGCTCCCAGATTGGTGGAAGCCGATTCGATAACAGCTTTTAAGCGAGAAGTAGATAATTATTTGGGGAGGACAAGTTTGCAGGGCTATGAGGAGAGAGTGGGGGAGTGGGATTGATTTGGAAGCTCTTTTCAAAGAGCTGGCACAGGCACGATGGGTTGAATGGCCTCCTTCTGTGCTGGATAATTCTATGATTCTATGATGATGAAGTCACAGATTAAGATGTTCTTCATCCACAAGAATGTGCAGCAGCCAAAGCCAAACAGAGCCAAACATATCCCGACTCCAGACCAGACTGCAGGCACCTCTTTCAAAAGTAGGCAGAGGGAGCAGATGTCAAATCAAGGAGGTGAGGAGATTGCAATTGTGCACCTTAACATGAGAAGTCATCCCATCATATGAAACATCCCACAGAGTTGTTGAGCTCACCTATCTTGGAAGAGAAGAAGGAATTTGGGGTAGTCAACCAAATTGTTTTCCAGGTAGCCAGCTTTGTTCACAATGGTGTCAAGTTGATCCTTCGTCAGTTGAATTTGGAAAACCTTTTCAAGGATTTCCTTAAATTCGTGGTAACTGACAGTCTCATGGTCAGAAATGTCAGCTTTTCTACAAGTAAAGGGTGAATCGATTATTCCTTTACAAACATTCCTAAAATAAACTGGAAATGTAAGATTCATTAAATTCCCAATAGTTAACAAGCCCACACTTCAGAAAATCAGGTTTTCTGCCAGGAGCAGAGAAATAGCTACAGGAACAAATCGTGAACCTGCTACCAATGTTGAAAAAGCATTTGGAAAATAATACTTTTGTTTTAGAAGGTACAACGTTACTGTGCTACAAATATCTCAATGTGCCTTGAAAATGATTTACAATACACATAAAAATACTGATTTACTTGTTCCATGGATAGCAACAAAATATGATTCCTATTTTGCATGGTTGGCAAAAACCTAATCATTTAACACGCATAATAGTGCAGATATGTAAGATTAGATTACTCAGTACTATTAGCTCTCCACTGTACAATTGCCATTACCATTTCAAAAAATAACACTTAAGTCCTGTTGGCCCTTGTTCACTATAGATCGGGCTGATGCAATCAGTCAATACTTTCTATTTGATTAAATATATCAGTTCTTACTATATTTTGGGAGAAAATGACTACAGGTATTAAGAACACAAGCTTCTATCAATGGTTTATGGCATAATTAACCATTTTAAATAAGTAGAAACGGTAAAGGTTGTGTTACAATAAGAATCTCGTATGTTTAAACTTGTGAGCTCGTGTGTACAATCTTGTTGAATCCAAAACGTCTTGATTTATCAAACATGCATTTAGTTTTCATTCATTTCAGATCTTATCACAGACTATCTATTTGTATAATTTTATGTTGGATTAATTTAAAGGAGCCTCATCATCTTTCACCGTTATGTATTCATACCAGATTAACTGACATTTGACATTCACTTTGAATGTAAGACAGATATTTAAACACATTCACAGAACATACTGGAAATGTACAGACACAAGTCAAAGAAAACAATAGGTAAAAACGTTGGAGAGAGTAGTCTGTATTTAAACTATTGTGGAGTTTTTTTTGACCCTTCATATATTTCCAGGGCTGGGCAAAAACTGTGGCATTGGTTCATCCAACGCATAACGATGGATATTTGCATGACTTCAAGGGCCATCCTGACCTTCTAGAATTCTACTCAATACTTTCATCTTCCTGACGGGGTGATCCTTTTCTGGTGAGTCATATGGATCTATGAATGTCTGTGTGTGTGTGTGGGGGGGGGAGGGGGTGTGCGGAGATTAATACCCTGCTTTAGCGCCCACCATTTCTAGATAAGGGCTCGTTGCTTGGGTCTTCGCCGAAGAGTTTTCCTCGGGAATCCAAAAGTGATCATGACAATAATTTTGCTTCTGTAAGGTATTTCGGTAGTTTTAGTAATACCAGTAAATGAAGTTGCTGATGCAAAAATTGTCAGCACACTGGTGCAAATCATAATCTACATGAGGGACATGTTGACGTCCATTTGGACCTACAGAGAAGATTTTGATTTAAGAACAAAGCGTCTTAGTGAAAGTGCTACCTTAATTACCAATATACCATTTCAGGATTATCAAGGATTACATGCCTCATCCAGGGGTAAATCCTCAGTGCTGTCTATCATTTGTTGAATATTAAAATAGTAAGATTGTTTTCTCATCACTGAGTGGTATATTGATTACATTTTGTAGGATTACATTTCAGGAAAAAATACAATGACATAGTAAAGGTGTCGATTCTCTGTGAAAGTCATAGATACAATTCTTCAATATTAATTAAAAATATGCTAAAATAATTTAACTTTCCCTAGCTTTTCATCACACCATTGCACATTATTAGAATAACATGAAACTTTTTGCAAATAATGAAGTTTAACATCAGTAGAAAACAGAATTTCAATGACAGTGTGTTGAAAGAGGTACAGTTCCATTTCTAAGGTCTTGGTGGAAACATGAAGCATTGTCCCAAAGGAAATCACACCCGGGATTATCAAGGTATGGTAAAGCTGTTTTAACGCAATGCTTGGATTAAATCCCAACCAACGGGTTGTGTTGGCCAGTCAGTGCTTTCGCATTTACTGCACTGGTGTATAGCTGTTGGCTGGCTTCAATGATAAGGCTTTACTGACACTTCAAAACGCTGATCAACATGAGGGAAGCCAACTTAGCTGACGACTGAGTAATATGTGTGAGGAAGCTCTTACCTCCCATATGGCCAGCAGAGAAAAAAATAGCTCCACAACACAGTAACAAAACCAACTTATTTTGCCTTTGCAGTAAAAGCTGTTTAAGGAAGTCTTGCAGGATATGAAAACAGATGTAAAGAGCGAGCAATCAATTTTGAAGATACTTGGAACAAGTTTTTTAATTCTCTAAAATACCTTTGTAAACATAAAAAGAGCTACCTGAATGCTGTCAACAGTTGAAGGAAAAGCCTGTGACACTGTTTTAACAAGCAAACCTCAGCTTCAGAAGCCGTCAGACCATCTTTATAGACTCGGGGATTTTCACCATCAGCATAAAGCCTGGAAAAGATGAGGGAAACGGGAAACCTGTCAGCAAACTTTCACCTATCACCAATGATTGCGTCTGTCTTGTCTATGTGTCTATCTATCTGTCTGTAATGCTGTAAAACCTTCATTAAACTTTAAAGCGCTGTAAACCTTACAAAGGGAACATTTTAGAAGTTGCCCAGAAGTAGGTAAATCTATATTATCGATTTTCTCCATTTCACTTTTGATTTCTCCTGCAAATATTTAGTACTTGATAGTGTTGAGTGTTAATGTAAGATTACACACATATTTTGATACTATTGCCATTTTGTTGTTGGAAATGTATTGCAGGTGACACCACACCATTACAATATATTAGACATAGACAAAACCTAATGTGGGAAAGGAGCTGGAGCCAAGCTTCCACCTAAACATGAGAGTCTGTAGTGTTCAAAGTACTCGTCCCACTAAAAAATCATCTGCATAAGATTCTGTAGCCTACTTGTACTAACAAATCCTTGCTTTGTTCCAAGCACTTTCGCTTTGGGTTCCAGGCTGCTTAGTATTTGTGCTATGGGGAGAATTCCTGGGCATCCTAGAGTAGCTTTATTATAGATTAATGTAGTTGTATGTGTGTCTGGACATGTATGACAGATGATCAGGAACTGCCTGATTTGAAAGCACAGACATGAGGAGTGTGTAACAATATTAAACACATGATGTAGTTTCCTGGTATCATGTAAGCTCAGATCACCTCTCCAGCTGGATCATTGAATCCTCTGGGAAGCATCTGTCTGTTCTCTATAACATACACATACATCATTGGAGCAGCTTAACAGCTGGGGAGGAGATGGCCCCATGAACGCACCAAAAGCAAGGATTCCTTGCTACAGATGGAATACATTAAATAGGAATATTTTATTTTTCAGTGGGAAAGTTTGAACAGAACATGTTCTCCTTTGACTTTCCTTCTTTTTAACAACTGACAGAGTTCATACACACACACACACACATCACTGAACCACCTCACCATGTTTCCACCATTTCTGGCATTATTAGAAGGCTGTCTACTGTTTGGAAAAAGGTATTTGCAATGCCCTTACCATATATATTTTGTTTGCAGAAATTACCTGTGATTTAGTTTTGGAAGCATCTTGTTGAATAGACTTAGATTTGATCTGCTTTGCAGTTTTTCCACAAATTTTAAGTAGTCCACAAGCCCATCTCTCCTTTTCAAATTAAACCTAAGTAAAAGATTAAAAAGCAATGAATTATGCAAAGTGACTTCCACTTTATTTGTTCTAATTTTTTATAGTATATTTTAGGAGTTTAAAATGCTGCTATTTTATTTTTATTTGAGCATTTAATTTACTGCTGTAACATTTTAAAAAGTAACATTTTCTTGCCAAGAAATACACTATTACATACATTGTCAACGCTTCCAATTTTTTTCTTCAATTTATTATGGACTATAAACTACACCAAAGTCAGATTTTCACATTGTAAAAATATTATGAATCATGAATAAAATAAATAAGAGGCAGTAGGTCCCACTTTCAGAACTTGTTAAGAGATTTGGAATATCATTCCTGCAGGTTTTAAGTCAAAAGCTACAGAGCGCTGTGTTCCGTGTTGGAGTTGTGTTCCGTCATATATCCATGATAATATTTATGTTCTTGTGATTCTTTGCATGTAAAATTTCTAATTTGAATCAGAGATTAGACCCGAAACCTGCATTATAACAAGGTTTCCTTGCATCTATTGGTATGTGGAGAATAACTCCTACATCACTAGGACTTAAACTTAAGTTCTGCTGCATCACGTAATAAAAAAATAAAATAATCCTTGCACTTGATGTATCATCTTTCAAGTCAAGGGGACTTCTCAAAATGCTTCACGGGATTTACTGTACAGTGTATTGACTGCACTTTGTAGGCAAATGTGAAACAAACATTTCTCTCACTAACAAAGAATATAAAGTGAAGTCTTGGTACATTCCTGTTAGGGCAAGGACAGCTAAAAAAATCAATCTCATCATTTCCTCATGTCAGCCAATTGTTATGTAGCAGCAAAGTATTTATTGGTTTTAAAGGGTGATTTAACCCAGACTATTCGCTGCTGGGATGTTGCTGATGCCCTTTGTATAAGCAGGGAAGAAAAGTGCTTGGTAAAGGAAGAGCTCAGAGATCGCACAGCAAGCAAAACGGCTAACAACAGGGAAAGAATAAAGATCAAAGGCCACAACGCTTCTCTCACTATTCCTCCTAAATAATCTTCCTACCTATAATCATCCTGTGGCAGCATCCCAGAGGATTTGCTCTCTGTAACCAATTTATGCTGCACTGTATGTGATTCTATCTATTATACAAGACACAATAGAAATCTGCATTTAAAAAAAAGTGTAATGCCTTTACACATTCCTATTTGTGGGTATTAAAATTCCTATTCTTGGATATTCAATAACTATTACCATTGCAAGATGCTCCCCGCCAGTGCAGTTTCAGTTCATCCAAGTCTGTTAATGATGGCTGTTGACCTTCTGCTACAAAGTGCCTTGGGACTTCCCCACAACGTGAATAAATGTAATTTTGTATTATATTGTAAAGTGCAATTTATCATTGCTACCAACAGTCCAGTCTCCACCATTTGGGATCCATAGAAAAAGCCCATATGCATTTTGGTTTTAAGGAATAAAATGTGTTTGGTTTAAACAAACTTTGTTAAGGAATCTTATATTAGATTCAGGAGTGCAGGAATGCCAGGAGAAGCACACATTATCTGTTGATGGGATCTACTTATATTGACCCGTTTATACAGCTTGACATTGCTATACAATTTGAGGCCAGAGGAGTATCAGCCCTGATGACTACAACTGAGATCGGTTGGAAATGAACACACTCTGGAGTTCTCAAACCCCCTGGCTCTTGCCAACTGACATCTAATACTTTCCGGAATTAGGTAAGCAGGATGCATCCCTCCTGGGAGAGAGTGCGCATTCGATTCCAACAATCTTTCTCTGGGATTTGCATATGTAGGTGAGATACGTGGAAATCTCAACTTGGTTTGGATACTCTTAAGCATGGTGATGGGTCTTTGCATGTGTCAAGACACCCGGCTGACAAAAACAGGAATGTAATTTAAGTAAATTAGAATTTAAATCTTACCGTTCATTGTGGAGATGGCTAGAGTAAAGTACCAGTGGTTTACTGCAGAGTACTGCATGTTTAATATTAGACCGTATGTTATGCGAGGTTGCAGATTTTTGAGGTAATATCGGACCACTTAGATAACGTGGAATAGACTTTCAAATCATGCTGAGGAATTTAAATTGTACAAATACAACTTGACAGCTTGTGTATCAAAATGGTATAACTCATCAATCACAATATGGCCGAACTCCTTGTTCATTTCTTCTGAGAAGCTGTGTTTGCAAAATATGCTTTTTTGTGCAAGTTTGAACATTAATAAATTAGTGCAGCTGGGATGTGTGAAACAAACTCCCCAGGTGCAGAATGTTCAACAGCAAACCAGCAACGGTACATTTATCATATACGGTGGCAATAAGGGCATTCTACCCAGTGTAACCAGACACATTATTGTGTTACTGGTGAAATACAATTTAGATTTCCATAGCGTATTTCTTGTCGGAAGGATATCTTAAAGCACTTACAAAACAATAATATTAAAATATTACAAAATCCATGTTCCAGTCCTGTAAAAATATAGTTTGAACCTGCGTTTCACATCTTCCTTTTAAATAAGATGTTTTTAGAACCCTCATTTAATGCTGTTTTGGTAAAATATCTTTGATATGTGCTGAATTGTCAGTACATTAGAGCCAAAAGTGCAACATAACATTGCTAGTGCAGATCATTACCAATGTAAGTGAGACGACCTCCAAGGGAAAGCCTTGCATCGATTCTGCTTCAGGCAGGTATTTACGAATCTGGCCATTTGAATTGCTCTCCTATTGTTAGCAACTAGAAAGAGAGGAATGTCCCCAGCAGTTCTTGGCAATCTGAAAGATCTCACTTTCTGAGGCCACACGTACAGAGATCAGCTACACAAAGTTATGTGAGCAGCAAATGTAAATATGGTTATCCATTCACATCCCTGTAAATTGTTTTGGGCACTCCACCAACATGTTCAGTGTAACAAAGGATTAAATCAATTCCAGCCCTTGTAACATCATCATTGTTGAAAACTATGACAACATTATTCGATAATATGATATCCATTGTCAATAACCCAATGTCAGCATCAATTCACTATCCTATTATACAAGCTCCCAGCCAAAGGATTCCCTAAATGGATCGTGAACTGGTGAAATAGTGAGTGACTCAAACAGGGGCAGATACCCGACCCTTGCTCAAGCATGAAATAAAGTATGCTTGTCATCCATTTAGACTCCAGACAAATTAAGTCTGATTGTAAGAACAGGATCATACGTTTATATAGAAATTGTTCTGTGCAAGTGCAGCACTGTCTCATTGACGGTGCAGTTGACCCAGAGAGCTTTAATCAGACTAGTTGTCCCTTTCACATGGCAGAAGTTGGGAACTGATGATGCAAAGAATCATGGCCATAGATCTATGTCAAACAATTGAGTGCCAATTCTGGCTGCTAATACAATACAAAATTACATTTGTAAAGCGCCTTTCACATCAGGAGGACATCCCAAAACGCTGAACAGTCAGGGATTAGGACCCGATTAATATAATAATTGCACTCTTGCAATACCTGGCTAACAGATGCTCCAAATCCATTGCGTACATGGGATTCCTCAAGTTAGCCAGTGCATGCCGAAATGCTGTCTTGCTAATCTGAAATTATAAAGCGTGCAATTATGTTTCAATCATTTAATTATAATTATAATCATTTGATATTGCACCTTTCATGTTGGGAGGAAGTCTCAAAGCACAGCACAAGATTCATTGCATATATTTGTAAGTGAATGTGCCAGCCAATTTGGTAATGTGTCCACACAGCCATGTTGGTTAGGACACGGGATTATGTATTTTAAGACGCACTATTCTTTAAAATATTCTAAGAATACAAAACTTCAAGATTTAATATATCTCCTTTGAATTCTTCCTTCCTCTGTCAGTTTTGGAAGAGGAATACAATGTTTTTGTTGGTTGGAAAGCAGCTTTAAAGTCTAATATTACAATAAAAATGTCCAAACTCTGAAGACAGGACTTTGAACTTGCAGTCTTGGCCCACACTCCAATGCAGTGCTGGAGTTGTGATACATGGTTAGAGCTGTCAGATGGGATGTTAAACCAAGATGCCGTCTAGCTGTTCAGGTGGATGTTAAAGATCTAATGGCACTGCTTGAAAAAAGAAGGGAGTTTCTTCTGCTGTCCTGGCCAACAGTCCCCCAAATAAAATTGCTCACTCACTTCATGGCTGTTTGTGGAACATTGCTATGCACAAAATGAATGCTACATTCATCTGGTCACTACATTTCACAGTAAAATCCTGTAAAGTGCTTTTAGACGTCATGACAACATGATATGGCACTATATTAAATGCAAAGATTATTATAACATCAGAAGCAGGAAGCTCACACAAGCACATGAGGGGTTACTCGTAGTAGTAATGCAAAATATTTAATTCATAGCCTGTTCTGAGGTTGCATAAGTACAATTAAATATCACATACAATATATTCAGCCAATAATCTCAAGATTTATCCACCCACTTTGCATTTTCTTTATTGTATTCAATTTATTATTGCTTGATCATTCTCTTAGGTCACTCTTGCCATATAAAATTCTAAGCCCTCTGCTATTATTCCTCTGTCAAAATAGTACTAGTAGTCTGCGATTAATCGCTCTTCAAATTTCTTTTCCTCCCTGTGGAGGAAGTGTATAGCTTTCACTTGACACCTTCTCCTGATCTGGGTTGGCTGAGTTTGCACATTTAGCAATGTGAGGAATTATGGTTATGAATCGGTGACCCAGAAATGTATTGTGCTGGCAAACCATTCAAATTTTACTCAATTGGGGCTATACTACAATAGAGAATAAGCAGAATTCCCACTCCATCCAGCCCAAAGTAATTATGAAGGGAAGAAATTCTAAGTGTTATTGCAGAGTTATTCTACTGATTGCATATCTACTTAGATTTTATTAAAGTTATTCTATTACACAGAGACTTAATGCTACTAGTGATAGTGAGTTATTGCTGTATTTCCACATATTAAAATCAATCCAGGGATCGCTAATATTATCAATAACATAAATAACAGTAAATAATGATTTTGTGCACCGAAAACTGTAGTCTTTACTGTATTATATGACTAAAGTACAGTGGCATCGTACAATATTTAAGAATTCCTTGCTCGTAATTATTATTCATCACATAATCACGTTGTTTCACTTACAGTAACATACATGACATTAATTCCAACTTTTAAAAAATTTGTTTAAAATTCCAAACTTATTGTGAATTGCAGCATTCAGCAGTGAATTTCTTCGAGGTCGAAGTATTCATTTACTTACCTGACAGGTCTCCTGCTTGTCATACTTTGCAAATTCATGTAGAATAATCATACAGGCTTCGTCTAACTGCAACAATAAAGGAGGTAATTGGAAAAATACTGTAAGTTAAAAGTAAGTTTTACTGTAAGTTCACCCTGCTTTTTCAAATCAATTATCTATTATACCTACATGAGATATTGGAAAAACAATTTGCAAAACAGTCTTTAGTTAGGTAAGAATACTTTGAACAAAAATGTACAACTCATGATGACCGATGGGTCAAATCCTTGTCATGTGACTGTGTAATGCAGTTTGGCATGAGCTGTTTGTCAAACTGTTTGTAAAGTGAAGTAATTACTGTTGGCACCAAGGTTGGATCGATGTCTCCCCAGATGACTGAGGATCAATGGTAGCTTCCAATTAAAGGTGATATGAAGAGAGAGGAAAATAAAAAAATCTAAGGAATGAGAGAGAAAAATAAAGGAAGACACACTGAGCAGAATCAATGCATTAATGCAGTGATTATTTGTGGATTATTGCCAACATTTAAAGTCTGTTCAGCTCGTCCATTGACCACGTGTAACCCATTCTATCATTGATCCTAACCACTTCTTTGAACACTTTGTAAACTTTTTCCCTGGCCCCAAAAATATTCAAACAAAATTCTATTTACTGAATATCTAATTAAATACGCATGCATCTCCACATCTGCACTATTCAACTTTAGCTGTTTGATTTTGACAAATGACACTTACTTGGTTGTAACAGCACAGGAATAATCATGGTCTGCAGAGTATTTGATTATCTCTCTCCATAATTATCCCTCTAACATTCAATCCTGCTCCTAACTAGATATTTATCTAGCTCTTTTCTGAAGGAGTTAATTGACACAGCATTAACTACTTTGTTTGGGAGTCTGTTCCACATATGAGTTACTTTGTGGAACAAAAAACATCTCTTGATCCCTGGTATCACTTGAGTCTTGTTGAATTTGTATTCATGTCATTTAGTTTTATGTTCACAGTCAAATTAAATAGCGTGCTTACATTTGTATTATCCGTGCCTTTCACCATTTGAGAAAAACTAGATGATGTCTCCTCTCAATGTTCTTTTTGCTAATGAAAGCAAGTTCATAGAGAGTCTCTTCATAATTTGTGTTCATACAACTATGTTTGGTTGGCAGTGAATGAATGGAATTTTAGCAGCAATTTGTGAAACCTTTTTAATAACATTAAAAAAAAACAACTTTAGCATTTGTACCAAGGTACGCGTATGCAAAAATCAGGTATTTGTTTTTCCTCAACCCCAGTTTCCGACAATGTTGCAACTACAAAACACAGTCACTTCACTTTACTGTGTATCCTGTGAAAGGCGCTATAGCAAATGTAAGGATTACTATGTAAAGAGAAACATTATTGAAGGTATAATCTTTGGGACTACTTAATTGCTAATAAAGCCATTGCCATCAGAATGGCCACAACAGGTACAACAAATTCTTTGGTGCTTTGAAAGTAAGTGGGGCTTACAAAAAATAGGTAAATGGGCTTCAGTTCCTTTTCATTGCTCAGGAGAATACATCCCAATTTCTCTGGTATTATTGAATATTTCCAAGTTGTTGGACACAGAATTTGCAGAAACATAACACAATAGTAAATAGCCCTTTTCTCATTGGAATTAAACCATTGGTTCATCTAGACTACCAATCTAACTTTCCAAAGGATTGCTTGGACAAATCTATCTCATCAGCTAATAAGCCTGAATACTCTCAAGTTCCTTTTTGAAATCATTTGTGCTTTTTAAGGTTTTTCACCTGAATACATTTGTGCTGAAGCAATTTCAGTTGAATTATATCAGCAAACTCCCCCCAAAAAACAATAATAAATTGGTCATTTTCAATCCATGACTGTTTGTGGGACATTGCTGTGTGCAATTGGCTGCCGTGTTCGCCCACGAATATACAGTCAATTCACTTTACAGTATATTCTGTGAAGCGCTTTGGGACGTCTCGAAGACGTGAAAAGCGCTACATCAAATGCAAGGATTATTATTATTATTATAATAGTACTATTAATAATAATCCTTGCATTTGATATAGCGCCTTATCACACCATTGAAGTGTGTCAAAGCACTTCAACGTATAGTGAATCAAAACTGATTGGGAACAAACACTAAAGTTTGGCCAAACATAGACCATGTGACCCATATAGTACGAGCAGAAATCAGTAAAACAATTCAATACGATACTTATCAATATCTCCGAAATGTGAGGGGTTGGCAGAATGTCATTTAGTTGTTTCTCTTTCTTGAAACTAGTTGAGGATTTATGCAAGAAAGCAATTTGCGCATAATTAACTGACCTTGAACAAGTCCACAAACACCCGAAAAAAATAAACATTTTCAAACAAATGTCTTGTCACATTCTCAACAGAGAATGTAATAGATCACTTTTACAGCTGCAAATAATTAGGTTACCGCTGAAAAAAGCTGATCTTTCAAGTGGACAAATCAGGTGCAATTCATCTATAACATGACACCTTGTTATAGAAGAGTATGTGCACTTGTAAAAGCTTACTGGTTGGATAATTAGGTGAAAAAATCTAGTTTTTAGAATGTTTTTATTCATAAAATAGTACGACATACCTGCTTTATGATTAACTTTTGCGTGAACAGGCACTTTATTCAGCAAGATTTGACAAACTCGTTACAGTCAGTGCAAGGAAAGTTCAAGGTTATTTTGTTGTATCCTATAATGGCCCCATAGATAAACTGAACCCATATAAAGGGAAATAAATCCATGCAGACCATTTGGGGTTGAGGATGATGATGATAAACTCTGAACTTATTTCATCATTTAAGAAAATCAGTGTTTTAACTTCTAGCTGTGACCCAGCGTCTGGTGCAAACTACTTTAAGGCAAGTCAGACGAAAACAATCTCCATGTACGACACAGAGTTTACACATATTAGAATTTATAGTTATAGCTCCATTTAGTACTTCATCATGCTAGCAGTTTCTGAAGGTTGAATTAGTTTATTTCCAATATAACATGATCAACTGCCATCCTAAAAATGCAAGTATATTACAATTCTTGTTCTGTCTTCCTGTATGGCCTAGTGCTTCACTTGGCAATGTGTAGTTTAATTCTGCATAGCTTTGCTGTGGTATTGTATTGTATTGAACAAGTACTTCCAAAGACTACTCTTGAGGATAATTCTATGTTGGTAGTAAATTCACTGGCCTGACACATACATGCGTTGTATTCTCCACCAGTTGGTAAATGTAAAAACAGCACTTGAGGTTTTTGCCTAAACTAATTTGTGTTGAATTAACTGATCTTGACCAAGTCCACAAATACTTACAAAATACCACAAATGTGGTTGCATTCAGTGCTTTGCTGTTAGATGGAGTGTAAAGCCCAATTTGTGAATTACTAAGGTACCTCTTAAGGTTGAAGGACAGTGCCCCTATCCCTGGAGCAAGTGATTTGCTATTGGGGGCTGCAATATAAAGTGTTTTTTGATAGAACTAAAAATGTTTTAGTTTCATCAACCTGCTCTGAAACAGAAAGGATGACTAATGCTATTTCACAAAATAACACTATTGATTGCAAATATTAAAGTTATGGACTTTACAAATAGCTTCCTGTTTAAACAATCATGGCAGCTATGGACTTCCAAACATGTGGGCTTTTAGAGAAAATATTACTTCAAATGTAATTAAAGCTAAATTTCCTATAATTTGTTAAAAATCATATATAGAAACAGAAGATTTATGCTGAGTATGGTAGATCAAAGAAAGTAGAGCGAGTTCTATAATTCATAAGTGTCCCAACTAAGTAACTAAGGAAAGGAGACTACAGATTGACGCATTAATTAGATTAATAAGGGAAGTATTCAGCAATTTGTCACCATTAATTTAGGGCATTGTCTGATTCATTCATTGGAAGAAAAAGTACAGAAAGGATTTATCTTTAGGCTTATAGTATCAAAAACTAAATATGTAATTGTAATAAGTTCTTGTCTGCTCTATTTCTCGGTAAAAAAGAAATAGATGTTGAAGCTTCTGTGATAGTGGAATGTTATACTGATGGAGCAATTTAATTTAGTGGATGCACTAGATTAATGGATGAAATCAGGTAGACAAAGCTCTGCTTGTTCCGTAATAATGCATAGAGCTTTGAAGCTGTGGCTGCTTAAATCCATTCAAAAAGCTAAGTATTCTTTCAACGCTATGTGCTATTTTTATCCATCACCAAATCAGTGATTTGTACAATGAAAATTACACGCATGAAAAAGGACCAGAGGAAGCAAAAGTGAATCAAGAGCAAGGTGGGTTTCGAAACTGACAATGATTTTCGATAAGAAAAAGCGTTAATGCACTGGAAAGCACTGCCTGAAAGGGTGGTGGAAGCAGATTCGATAATAGGTTTCTAAAGTGAATTGGATAGGTACGTGAAAAGGAAAAATTTGCAGGGCTACGGGGTAAGAGCGGGTGAGTGGGACCAGTTGGTTAGCTTTTTCAAAGAGCCGCACAGGCACGATGGGCTGATTGGCCTCCTTCTTTGCTGTAAAATTCTATGATTCTAAGAAAAAGCTTTAAAGTTAAATAAAATTATTTCCATTTCCAAGCAAACCGTTGCCATGCCATTTCTTACAGAAACTCACTGAAAAGGAGGTGTATTTTCCAACAAGAATAATAACTACACTATACTGTCCTAGTAAATGATAATATAATAATTCTTGCATTTGCCATAGTCGTGGATTGAGTGACCAAATTATTATTTTTTTTATTTTGGGGATTTATCACTTACCTTAACTTTAAATATCTTAATAACATCATCATCAAAATTAATAACACTATTTGATGTTTTTTGTTTACTTTTAGCTGCTTGCGTTCTTGTTAAATCTTCATTTACTCCTGAAAAACATTCAAAATAGCATTAACATTAAATTTCCCTCACTAATTGTAAAACGATGGGACAGGTATTTCATTGTGGGAGGGGCATAGCCGGGTCAGGTATTTTCTAGAGATAGTGATCTACAGAATTCACTGTAATCTATAGTGACTGTGCATTTTGTACAAGCAAATTGCATACAAAATCCACAGTCACTATAGATTGAAGTGAATGACCAGTTTTATTTGGGGGATTGTTGGCCTGGACACCAAAACAACAACAATTTGCAGGTGAAATGCTACTCCCTTGTTTTTTCTGAATAGTGCCACATGAGCATTAATGTCCACCTCAACAGCTGGATTGGACTTTGGTTTAACATCTCATCCAAAGTACTGTATAATGACAATGTATAAGTACAATGAACTTACTTTTTTTTGTACATGATACTGCTGTTCATGTCATGATGTTAATGCCGATAATAAAACTACCACGTCTCGCCACTGAAAGTGCAATCACAAAATGGTGTTGGAAATTAAATTCCACAAACAGAAGTAATGGTGGTCTGTGATGAACAATGTGGTGAGAAATCGTTACTTTATTATGTTTCTCATCGACAGACAGGGCTGGTCTTAAAGCTCCAACATCCAGTTTATCCTTTCTGCATCCAGCTCTATTTGGTATGCAAAGTGCAGTAGTTCTCTTCAATTATATCCTGTACTCCAGACTGGCCCAGAGTTCTGCCCTTCCATCAACATCAATTACCAGTTATAACCCAAGGACCTTCAGGTAATTATAAGGAACATAAGGAAGTGTAAAATGAGAACAGGCCATTGAGTTCAGCAGATATTTCTCCAATACAGCATGCAAAATTTAAGGTATCCTGACTCTTCATACAACATTTAATCTCCTCGGAAAATCTCCTTACTATTCCTACATTGGAAATTTGACATTAAAGTTTACACCACAAAAGTTGATGAAATTACTGGCAGAGTCGAAAGTGTTAGCCAACAAACATTAATAAATATAATGTCAAGTTAGAGAATCTTGCCCTATTTATTACACTTTTGATTCACAGATTGTATCAAGTAAGAACATACAGTACCTGTTAAAGGATCATTAGGGCTGAGCATTGTTGTACAATGAACAGTTCCTTGGGAATTTATTCCCATTTGAGTTAAAAACTGCTGCGTTGGCACTTTCCATTTTCTCTCGGCATCTATTCTGCAAAAGAGTACACTATGATCAAAATCAGGAACAAATATGTTGGCTGTAACATTGCTTGATGGTAGAGATTGTCTTGAAAACATCACCCGTCTCCTTTCAAAGATATATATCTGGATAATGAGGCAGAATTTACAATATGATTTACATTTATACAGTGACTTTCATGTCAGAAGGATGTCTCAAAGCGCTTAGCCCTGCTGGGTGGACACCCGAGCTGGGGGTAGGAACTGAAGGGGATGAGGAGGAGAAAGATGATCGAAAGCACAGACAAACAGGTACATTCTTGGGATGGGCTTGGAACGAGGGGAGTGAAGGACGAGTCGGAGATACTCTGGGATGAAGTTCCAGAGAGCGGGGGCAGAATGGCTAAAGCCCACCTTCCGATGGTGGGGTGAACAGGACAGAGGACATGAAGCAAGCCGGTATTTGCTAAATTTATTCATAACATAGCAGTAACTATGAGTAAACTGTTGTAGTAGATGAATAAAATTGTCACTTTCTAAGACATCCAACACTTCATATATGCAACTGAAGCAAAACAAAATTCAAGAGTAAATTTGTGTGGGACAATATCATAATTCAAGGCAAGATATTTTGACAGATGACAGATTGTGTTATTTGAAAAGAGAAGATTTCTCCCAGGTGACTTGGCCAATCCCCAGACAAAATTGCTTATTTACTTCATAGCTGTTCATGGGATAATGCTGTGCATGAATCGGTTGCTGTGTTCACCTGAAAAATATACAATCACTCCACTTTACAGTGGATTCTGTGGATGCACTTTGAGGTGTTTTCACAATGTGATAAGGTGCCATATCAAAACCAATAATTATGATTAATAATATTAATAATAGTATTAATAATACTTACTGTCTAAATAAATTATACAACCTAGTGCAGTCATGTTCAATAATTGTACCCTCAGTGCAGTTTAGATTAAACAAGGTATTTGCAATTTAGTTGTGATTACTGCAGTTGATGAACTGTTACTAAAATACATAATTGCAACATAATGTATCGTTAAAAGCAGACAAGTTGCCAGATAATTGTCTCCAATTATTTTTGGCAGCTTATTGTAACATTTAGTTAATATCAAAGAAGATTATACAATATTTTGACATTTTATGACTGGTTCTGTTTTTTTAAATAAAATGTTTAAAATTGTAACATTGCATGTCAAATGTGAATATCAAACTCTGACTTTTGCAGTATCTCTTTAAACTCTACATTATTACTAGGATTGAGAATGCCAGCTGCGTTCTTCCATTCCCAAGTGGGCTGAGTTTTCAGTCTGCATTATTTTCAAAAATTGCAATTTGCAATGGTTGTGGTTTATTGTCTTTCTGAAAGATTTTCTGCCGTTTCTGAAGCCAGCTGCAGGCAGCAATTATAGCAATTACAGTTTCCAAAATATGCTAATCTAAGCTGCACCATTGGAGATGCTGAACAGCCCCCATAGGCGGAAAGGATAAAATGAAAGGATGGAGGACAATTTGCTTCAAGTCCCAATCGCCAGGTCAGGGGAACATATCACCTACACATCCTTTTGGATGGAGAATGATAAGTACAGTATATGGAGCAGAAGGCACTTGACACAGAATTCATGTTGGGTTCTTGCTCCTGATCCGTATCCAGTCATCCCATCCGGAAATTCTCTTGCAAGGTTATGTGTTTTTCATAACCTTAGGACAGATAGTGTTCAGAAAGCACAGTGTTCTTTATAAGCAATCTAAGCAATACATTCTTTGGGATAAAACATAACTCTGATATACACATTACACATTTTCAAGGTTTTGTATTTGTTAGCAAATCATACCAGCTAGCAAACGTACTCAGACACACATGGAATATAAAATATGTGCTTATGAACCAATATTTCTGAATAATACTGAAACTTTGGCAATCTCAAATGAACAGGCACATTGCCAATATTGCACATTGTCATTTCAATCCACAACTGTTTGTGGGACACTGCTGTGCGCAATTGGCTGCCGCATTTCACCCGCAAATATACAGTCAATTCACTTTACAGTCAATTCTGTGAAGCGCTTTGAGACGTCGAGAAGACGTGAAAAGCTCTATAACAAATGCAAGGATTATTATTATTATATAAAGATAACGTATGATTTGATGTCAGTTAATTATTTCTGTTAAAAGCACTACGTTTTCAAGGTTTTGTATTTGTTAGCAAATCATACCAGCTAGCAAATGCACTCAGACACACATGGGATATAAAATATGTGCTTATGAACCAATATTTCTGAATAATACTGGAACTTTGGCAATCTCAAATGAACAGGCACACTGCCAATGTTGCTATTAGCCTGGCTAATCATATCCTGTATGTTGAGAGAGCAAACAACCTCCTTTTAACAGTTTAAAAGAAACCAAAGCTGGATTAAGTGGTTGAGACTTGATGGTGGCCAGATATTCCATCAGCAGTAGTGGTGTGGAATACCCTCAGCCTGAGATGAAGACAAGTGAAAGCTTAATTCAGGAAGCAAGTTTGTATTGCCAAATTAACAATGCTGTATTGCCCAGTGCCAAAAGAATTTGCAAAGTTTTATTTGCCGTATACTTTGTAGCTGGAGTTCTGCAACTCAATGGTTAGAGCACTCACCTCTCAAGCGAGAGGACCCAGGCACTGCAAAAGAGATGTAGAAGAAGCGGGATTGATTTGCAGCAGATCCAATGCAATGCTGGGGGGTGTGGGGTTTGCATTATCTGAGGTGCCATCCTTCAGATGAGGTGTTTCACCGAGGACCTGTTTACCTGTTCAGGTAGGTATGTGCTGAGGTATGAGCTCAAACTGATACTAAATCCGGTGGTTATTTTTGGTCCAAAATGTGTGCAAATGGCTATGAATAGCAGCACAAACTTTGCTCTTTTACACAACCTTTAACAGCAACAAATTACATTTGTATAGCATCTTTCATTTTGGGAGGACGTTCCCCAATACAAATAGGAAAATGTGTCAACACATCCCTCCATGTTATATGAAGATGATGAGGCAAATGATGGCAATGATTTGCTACACTGGCACTGTACTTGGAGCAACATTCTGTTACATTAAATATTTTTTAGTACTGTAAAACACAATGAACACTGTGCAGTCATAGTCCTTAATGCTATGTTATCAGACATCCAAACGCCTTTCCAGAATAGAAAGCATAAGCTGCAAATGAAAAATAAGTGTGTGTGATCCACTCATGAGTATAACAGATCAATAATTTAGGGTGAATTAGTGTTCAAAAGCAGGATAAAGCAGAAGGAAGCCCCTGAGATTCGGTTGTTTGAAAATGTGTTAACCTTCCTTGGCAAATAAAGTCCAGAGGGACAGGAGAAGGCTCAAGGGAAGACTGGCTTTTCATAAACGTAGATATTGTACTGGCTTACTTAACATCACTTCCTGTGTGCCCTACATAATATGTGCAAGAAGCATCACTGATATCACTTCCTTCGCAAAATGACATCAGGAGCACACCCTGTGCGCATGTAGGAAGTGACATAAGTGTTGCTTCCGACCCACAGCACAGGAAGTCAACGAGTCAGTATTCTATGCCACGCGTGTTGCTTCTGGTATAGGGTGGGGTCACATTATACCAGCTTCTAAGTAGCCTTGTGTGAAACCGCAGGTTGTACTGATGGGGGACATATCCTGTGTATTTACTTGTTCACGGAATATTTTACAGTATGACGGAAACCTTTTACCTAACAACTGGGGTGATAGAATTAGAGTTGCAGTACATCGATTAGTCTGCACAGTAAATGACTCCTTCAGTGTATCCCTTTTAACCCCAAAACATTTCCTCACCTCACCCAGAGGTTGTTGAAATCGTTTTTGTTCATTATAATACCCATGCTCTCGAGAGCTTCTTTCAGTTGCTTTGCTGTAATAGCTCCGCCAACTTCCAGACACGATGGTGGGAAATGTGCTTGCATTGCAAATCCCCTGAAAAAACAACACAAAGGGAGAGCAGTGAGTCAGACACAGATCGCTTGGCCAGTAATTTGTAACTTTGTAAGGTTATATTCCCCAGAGTACACGAATAGCCTTTTCAAGTCATTTGTTAAATTCCTTAGAGGAACTTCAAGGTGGAAGAAATCAAATATTTGTAATAAAAGTCCTGATCGTGGAAATGACTTGAATACCAGTGCCTGTAATGCTGTTAGATTGATTGTCTACAGCAAAAGCAGGTTTGAGATGCACCAAAAAACAATCTCCAATTTAAGGAATTCATTATTTATATAAATTTATGTAGACTGTTAAAGCACAGAAATGGCTATTCCAGTACAGCACTTAATAAGAGCTCCGAGACGCCGTCTGGCGTGAAGGGTGCTACATAAATGGAAGTTGTTGTTGGCGGAGTGCTGACTTGTTGGATGTGCCATCTCCGGGATGAGATATTATATCTGCTTGTTCTGTTACAGATATCTGCAACTGCAATATGTTGCAAAGTGATGAAGGGAACATCTCCGTAGATAGCAGGTAAAAATATTCTTGGGGGGGAGGACTGAGTAAAATTGAGTTAAAATGTTGGTCTCCTTTCAGACAGGTGAGCCGTTGGCTTGACTGACAGGTCAAGCCAACGGCTCACTTGTCTTAAAGGGGCCAATCAGAGTTGGTGACGACCTGATGAGCAGCCCACCAGACTGGAAATAGGGAAAGGGAGCAAGAGGGTCCTGTGAGTGCCTTGGGTTGTGGGTTTCTCGGAGGACTGGCTATTGTCCTCCTCATGGCTCAGAGCTTTCCTCTCCCAGCTTCCATTAAAGAAGGTAGATAGATTTGGGGTGTGGGTGGGAGCTCCCTCTATCCACCTGTCATGTGGTGTCCCCAGATAAAATTGGTCATTCACTTCAAGGCTGTTTGTGGAAGATTGCTGTGTGTAAATTGATTGCCAGCTACCTGCAAAGTAAATTCTTTACAGAAAAGAACAGTTTTCCTTAAATGTTTGGTCTAAGCGATGAGCATCATGAGGCAAATGAGACTGCTTGCAAGGAAATCTCCTGTTGGTCTATTACATTTCCAAATCATTTGAGAATTCAAATAACATTTCAGCTGCAAGCTGACCTACCTTTCATGCATTTTCTGTTTAAGTAAAGTAAAATCATTTTTGATGCTTTCTTCAAGCTTGCCTGATGATTTCTGTTGCAGAAAACTAGTCTTGGAATTCTGTAGCATAGTGTCATTATCTTGCAATTGCTTCAGAGTTGTCAGTATCATCCATTTATTTTTCATTACCTATGGGACAAAAGAACAATGCAAATTTTTAATCATAGATACTTTAATTGTAAAAACATACTGAAGCAAATACTCCCTGCTGAGGTTAACTTCCTTTAATACTGCTCTCCCATTCAGCTTAGGTATCGGGACATTCTGAACCTGTGGACTCTCACCTTTCAATGTGCTTATGTGCCTACACTTTCTGTTTGTCCCACTCCTCATCTGAAACGTTGCTGAATGTTAATAGACCCCCTACCCTGTTGCTAATCCTTTGCTTGACTTGTCAAGGTTTGTGCCTGTTAGCGACAGCTCTTATCTATAGGTGATTTGTATCCAGGCTCTTTAAGCGATTGTGAATTGCAAATTAACCTACTCCAATTGGAGCCATCATTGCAGTAAATTTCCCCTTTCATGCTGTTAGGAATGATGGAGAATCACTTCCAGTTTCCAATTCTGCGAGCAGATTAATTGGATTTATGCTGTCCCTATGAATCAAATAGTTTTAAATAGTTTCCCCCATTTTGAGCAGCTGAGTGAGTCCAGCTCTACGGTTTGATGAAATTTGATTGGCGATGCATGCAGACAATTTCAACCTCCAAACCTTTTAAAAATGAATCTTGAGCCGGATTTTTCAAGATAGGAACCGCAATTTTTTAGTCTAAATGTGTAACATATGTGGGGCTAGGAATGGAAGACAAACAGATGGGGGAGCATGGTTTTAAATTGTTCTGTGTTGTTTGCATTGATACACAGCAGTGCAAATTGCTCTTTTCAATGTAGTTTCACCAATTGCCAAAAATGACCTTGCAATCGTTTACCGCAGACTTGATTTGTACAGAATTTCAGCATCAATTCAAAGCCATTTTGTATTGAATGAATGCTCAAAGGATAGTGTAAATGGAACATTAGTGAACTTAATTGATGTATTCACAGTAAGTTCCAAACTTGTGTCCAATATAAAAAGAAGCTTCTTCTTCATCATAAGTGATTCAATGCACGACTGTATCCCAAGTATTTTTAAACTATCAGGTAGAACAACGCTTTCAGATGCACTGAGACAAAAGAACAAGAGGATAGATTTCGGAACCCAAAGGACAATTTCAAGCCATATACCAGGAAGTATGTCTTTACCCAGAGGGTAATTACCAATTGGACCAGGTAACCAGGAAGGGTGGTTGAAGCCAAGGCACTGGGATCATTAAAAGACAGCTTTGAGATGTCAAATGCACGGATTGTTATTATTATTATTAAAACTGTGATGGAAAGACAGTAAGGTGAGTGTTCTCGAAGATGTGATCAAATATTCTGAAGGGCCTTCTTTATTCAAATCTCTCTTGCAAAATAAAACTAAGACACAGGAAATGCTCCCCTCCCCCAATCAATCTCAGTGCAGTAATTTCTTCTTCTAAATAATCGAGGTACTGCTTCTTAATACTAGAGTTCACAGTGAGTTCCACAGTGATTTCCAATCTCCTAACACCTTATTTCCTTTACATGTGCTTTTCTTACCTTAGTTTCCTGGAAACAGCCAACAAAGTCAACAAAGGAAATGCGTGATAGTCCAACAATTCCTAAACTATGAACAAATATAGGAAACAAATGCAGTCTAATTATCAAGAACATTTCATTCATTCTCATGACTGTTTGAAACTTGGTCCAATAGCTGTGTTAAATCTGTGAAAAATCTTTTCAAAATGCTGAAAATGCATTGCTGAAGGATCTTCAGAAAGGATGATGCTATAACACCCTTTACAGCAAAGCTGGTTAAATAATTTCTCAAATGTTACATTATATCTAGAAGTTTATGTTTAATTCCAAACAGTAAGAATGGGCATATATAATCTTTTACAGAACAGCCCTAAATACTTAACTGTACAAATCTCATGATCCAATTTAAAACAAAATCCGTTGCTGTGTTTACACCAGCTAAAGATTATGGATTCAAAAATTTGTTGCTCTTCTAGCTAATGCCCTTAGGAAGTCATTGTGAATGTACAATTAAACTGGTGACATGACCTCTCTCCCTTTCCAGTTAAGGAGCCGTTTATGCTAAAATCATGGTGTTTATCATTTGCCACCTAATATTAACAATGGTTCCCTTTTTAAGACATCCAAACCACGTGAATAAAACATTTTAACCCAATGTAAAATTCATGAAGGCAGCCCAAGATGGAGCATAAACATCACCTTTGAAATAAATATTTGATATTGCCTTGGCAGCTCTCTTTCATCTAGTCTGTTATATGCAGGTCATTGGAGATGTTATAAGACTTTATAAGGCATGTTTAATCTTCAAAACAAAAATGGCAAATCTTCCATGTCTCCATGTTAGGGCAGAGAAGCTTGTGCCCTGAGAGCTGACCAAATTCCTTAATGTTTCATTAAATACTGATGCATAAAGTGATGGGGCGAGCTGTGTACAGTGTTGTCACTCTGGTGTATATGTTGTGTTCCCTCCTTGCCGCCTGTAATCCAGGGATGTCAGGATTCGGTTGAATTCATACCACCAGGGTTTTTATGGTAAGGGGATGGGGTACCTCAGCCTGATCTCTCATTGAGCGTCCTCCCTCCCTATAAGTGAGTTTGTTTTTTGCTGACAAAAGAATTTGCATCCATTCACATGGCACAGCCTTCAATACATCAAGCTTGTGTCAATACACCAACACACCCAATCTAAGGTGAGCTCAAGGGAGAAGCCTAAATGTATAAGTTGAATCTTTGAAAATGCATTTTTCCAAGTGTAGGCACAGACATACCAGCAAATTCAAAGAACGGTACCTCTCTCCTCAAGCAACCGAATCGTACAAACATTTTACAAAATATGTCTCATCATGTAAAGGGTTGAAAAATAATTTTAAAAAAATTGATAATAAAAAATGCAAATTTCTAGAATGTTTTGGTGGAACCTGATTATCCACAATCCAACTATCCGCATGTGCATTTATCCACGTTGGAATCTGTTGAAGTATAGGGTGCTCCAAGATACGGGAGAAATATCCAATTGTGCAAATGCACGTGAGGTTACTAGAGACAAGATTTAGCTGGTCTACGAGACTATTGGCAAGGCTACACAACCTCACACGTGCACACATTTGGATTTATTTTGTAAGGGTCAGAGATAGATATGGAAATAAAGTCAGAGAGAGAGAGAGAGACGACAGATACAGACAGGTAGAAATTGAGAGAATTGTAGAGAAAGAGAGAAAAATTCAGAGACTCAGAAAGAATGTTAGAGAGTCAGCGAGAGAACTGACACAATGTGATACCGTAATCATAACATAACTCCCAATGAAACAACGTTTTAGTTAGCACTGTAGCCAATTTGTATTTTGAGTGACGTTCAATTATTCATCCAGGTTGTTATAGTTATGCAATATATATATTGTTCAACACAGTCATTTAGTAGAAAGAGATACTGTAATTGCATCCCTGATCATAAGTGCAGTGACCCAAGTCATCAAAAAATAAATGATTTTCCCAATTAATCATAAAAAGATGTGCAGTGGATTTAAAGATCCCGAGTACCTGCTAAGAAGACTGTTGACTTGCTGAGGCCTTAAGTATCCACATAAATTCCACAGAATTCTTGTAAGTGCTTCTCTATGAAATAGAATTAGTTAATAGTTTCTGCTATTTTACGGGCGGGTGAGGGGAACAAGCCTGGACACATCACATTTATAAAATTCAGAGTATTGTAGTTATTTCAACTGTAAATAATAAGGTACCTCAGGTTTTTTTCGATTACTTAAGTAAAAATATCTGTAGGATTAAATCATAGAAATCACAGAAAATTAGAATACTTTTATAAAGTATCACCAGCCATTATGCAATGCTTAATCTGGAATCTAAGTGGTCTCTTTATAGAAGGCTGTTGTGTAAGCAGTGAATTACAATGACAAAAAGTACAGGTAACTGGAAAAAACAGCACAGTCCTGCCTTCAGAAGCAATCTAAATGCTGTAACTGTTCAGCCAAACAAAGGAGTTTGAATAATTGCTGCAATGCGATACTCTAACCCCTTATTTTATGTTGATTCTGCACTAGAACTCCAGTGGAGTGGTTACATTAATGCAAGATTCACTATTTTTTTTACTGAAATCCCGCTAGCTGTTACCAGTATTTATTAGAAATAATTAGTAGTTGTATCTTTCTATTCTTATTTATGTATCAGTTATAAATAAACTTATTATTTAACACAACCAGTAACATAAGAAAATCAGTTTGAAAAAAACAATTATGTTCTACTGAAGCTCATCCCTCCAATGCATTAATTCTCATTTTATGGGATTGAATTTTATTAAGTGTAAATTACTAATAATAAATAAATAATCCTTGCATTTGGTAATAGCCTTTCGTTCTGGGAGGTCATTAGCCTTTCATGTTGGAAGATCATTTCAGAGACTTCACGGGATTTAGTGTAAAGTGAAGTGACTGAATGTATTGCCTGTTTTTCATTCATCTCAACACTAGCAATGCTGGCAAGGTGAGCATTTATTGCCCATCTCCGGTTGCCCTGAGAAGTTGGCGGTGGAGTCTTCTGTTTAGACCACTGCAGTCCCTGTGACGATGATGTTTTCACAATGTTATTGGGTGGGAAGTTCCAGGACATGGATTAGCTAAAGGGGGTGGGGTGAAGGGCATTGCCCTGAAGAACTCCTGCAGCAACATCCTGAGGCTATATTGATTGATTTTTTCCCCCTTATTGATATCAGTTTTGCTAGGACTCCATGGTGCCGTGATAAATTGAACTCCTTCCCACAGTCCCTTTGCCTTGCTCCCTCGCTTGCCTCTGTTTCAAGATCTTCCTCTTCGACTGTGACTTCGGTCACCCTTACCCTCCCTGGCTTCTACTCCTCCTGATCCCAACCCCCAGCTCAGGTCCAAACCCCTGACTGTCCAACACCTTGGGATGTCCTCCTGACGTGAAATGCGCTATACAAATGTCATTTGTTGTTGTTCTCATACTTGCTTGAATGCTGCCTTGATATCCAGGACAGTTACTCTCCTCTGGTGTTCAGCTCCTGAGTCCATTTTCAGATCAGGGCTGTGACAAGGTCTATTAGTGTACTTAGTAGATTATTTCCAACACTCACTGTTCTTTGAGTTCAGAGGGTTTTCCCCAAGTGTCTGTTCTAAATAAACTTTTCACTGATTGTCAGATGCAATGCTTGCTGTCATTTAGGAGATACTACAGCTCTAGGCAGGAGGGAGGAATATTTTTTCCCCATCCAAATGAGCTACACAGAAGGAAAAAGGAATACCTGCAATTAATCAGGATAAAAAACCACATTGTGGCTCTTTACACCCCAAACAAAGTCCAGAATTATATAACTTACTTGGAAACTGTGCCTTCTCCCTTAGGATCACTGGCCTGAAACATCTTCCGAACACCATGGAAACTGGAGTTTATTTTTTCCTTGATCATCGTGATGGCCTAGTGTTGAAATGCCACAATGTTACGTTGTGAACTTGTAAATTGTTTAGGGAATTTGCAGAGTAAAATAAATAATCTGTGACCTAATTAAAATTTAAAAAAAATTAAGACACATCATCAGATTTTCAAAAGCTAATGAACTTTCTTTCATTTCTCATGTTTCCTCTCTCCTAATTTCTCCACAAATGGCATCCCTTAATCGTTTCCATTTAATCCTTCAACCCTCCTGACACCTCCGCTCCCTTCATTCAGTGAATACTGGCCTGCTTCATGTCTCCTGCCCTATCCTCCTAACCATTGTTGGGTAAACTTTCCCCAATTCTGACCCTGCTCTCTGGAACTATATCGCAGATTGCGTCAGATTCGATCCTTCCTCAACTGAATGACATGTTCTAATCCTATGAAAATGGAGGTCAAATTGGGGATAGGGCTATAGTTGAGATGATAAAGGAGTCAAGCGTCAACACTCAATACGCTTATCAACTTGAGCAGTAATAACTGGTGAAAACCAAATCAGTCTTAACAAGTGATTGAAGAACATCAATTTTTAACGTAGGTTAAAAAAAAGTGCTAAGTAAACCTTGTCTGTAGTACAGATCTGTTTCGGTAAACACTCCACGGAAAATCGGCCCATGGCAGTCTGTGCTCGATTTGCAGCAACATTGCTTGGTAGGTAACCTAAAGAAAAACACAGGTGTTTCACAGTCATGATGAATGTTTACATATTAGATTATCTGGTGGGCATAGTCGATCAGATTGACATTGTGCTGGACTTCTTTCTCTTTGGTTACGCCTGGTTGCTTTCCAAATTGATCTACACTTTGATTTAGTGGCACGTACACTGGCACTCTTAGGGACCCCACAACAGAATAAGCATCTTGAAGTTTTGGACACTTCTGAGCAAAGCATCACAGCAATTTGCTGTGAACATGCTGTATAAATACATGAGCTAAAGTTCGGAACATAAGGCTGAGGCTGGTTTGGGTTTGCTGAATTTTCTCCTGAATCTATTGGATTTTGCCATGTGTTTTTTCCTTACAGTATATCCAACGGCAAACATTTAGATCGTGGCATTTAGAATTTTTCTCCACTGCAGGTAATTCTCTGGGACCCTATCCTGCGAGAGGGACACTATATAAATGCAACTTGTTGCTGCTGTCGTTCTCTCTCCAAGAATTGTTGTGTCAATTGCATGTGCACTAAAATGTAATAAATAAACTGTAATCTCATTTTGATTGAAAAGTGCGTAATCCTGAAACTTCATTTAAAACATTGCAAGCATTGTTTAGACCAATGTTGGCCATGTTAATAAAGTGCAAACATCTATGAATAGGATTTAAAGCAATATTATTCTATGTTAAAAAGGTTAGTTTTGACCATTAGAGTCCCCATTAATGATCAAACCACAACAAATAATGATAATTAATGTGAACACCTATTTGATATTTTTACTTTTTTATTCCATCAGACGTGGTACTGACTCAACATTTACAGCGCCCTAACTAGGTTCAAGAAAATAATTAGCATGATTAACCTAGGCTGCGTCCTTTGTGTGTGTGCTCATTCAACCCTCTCACGTCACACAGTTTAGTAATTCCTCTAAAACCTCCACTCTTGATGTTATCAGCAATCACACTGTCAACATTTTTTTTAAAACAACAACAGAAATGAATTAAATATATGTTAAAGGTCATCCTAATTTTAAAGTTGTTTTTTTTAAAAAAGAAGGGATTCCGATGGTGGTTCTCACTAGCAAAGTGCTCCTTGAATTAATGTGTCTTGAGTGAAAGTACCTCTCCATCATTGATTAAATCTGAAGTGGTGTACTTCTCCCTACTGTCACAGAATCATTCATACTTCACTTGTACAGGACCCCAGGGTCAAGTCGTGTGACATTTCACAGTCAATTGAACTTGTATGTAAAGTAATCAAGTTTTGTACTGTCTCCTTTAAGTCTGATCAACAGCTAACAAAATATAGTCAATTCACTTTACAGTATATTCTGTGAAGCGCTTTGAGACGTCTTGAAAATGTGATAAGGTGCAATATCAAAATGCAAGGATTCTTATTATTTCCTACCTTGCACAAAAATATGAAATTCAATCTCATACATTTATTCTTTTTCAGGTTATTATTCTGGGGCTCACTAGCTCCTCAAATCTCACATAAACGCTCCTCTTTCCTCTATTATCAAATAATTTTTCAAGAAATTCAGTTTCCTCTTTTGTGTCAAGACTTAATTTTTCCATCAACAATTCTTAACTCTACAAAGCCCAAATTCAAGACTTGAATACAGTTTCTGTAACTGTTAAAACATCTTTCACACTCCTAGAAACTCCCTCAGAAGAAAAATGCTATATTGCCCTCTGATAGAAGATCTGTTATCTCCATTCTTTAACCTCTTTCTTTCCATTGCAATTGAGTGTCAGACAGGTTTACTCCCTTCCCCTCCCTCACACAATAATACTTGATGAAACAATTCCATAGTATTAACAGTAAATAGTGCATCTACTATTTACATCATAAAACAACAAAGATAATTCAAAACAATACAAAAATGTCCTTTTTTTATTTCACCACCCATATAAGAAAACACATTTATTGTGAAGAGACACATAGTTGGTCGGAACCTTTATAGGTTACCTTTTACAGGAAAGCACACTTTAGGGAAGAATAGAATTTGCGCAAATGTTGATTATTGAGTTATTTGTCAAATGTTTGAGATTTTGTTTGATTTTATTCAGGTCCAGAGGTGATGGTTTAAAATCAGAACCACTGCTATTTCCATGAAGTTTAAACACTTCTCTTTATTGACTATAGTTCATTCTCCCAAGCTTGGGTTCTGCTTGCAAGTTTGCGTGTCTCAAAGCTTAATTGAAGCAGTGAAAAGGAGCCTAACAAGATAAACTCCTTTTTCAAAATATAAATCTCACCTAACAAAATAACCTTTGCATATGGTTAATCAAACCCACAAAGATGGGACTACAAATTATATTCCATTGAATACAATTTACATCCCAACATATCAGGATGTGTGCATATATTAAATATATTAATTAATTAAACAACGTCTGAATCATACAAATTGTTCATTATTCATTAGGCAAAGGACAAATATAGAGATAATCTTTGGTAGTTAGGACCACTGCTGAAAATTGAATTGCTCAGGTTTGATGGCACCTGCTTGTTCAACACAGATGGTGGATGTGGAGTGTATTTTTGGCACAGCTATTCTACAACTCTTGTGTTTCAAAAATGCTGAGACCAACTTTTCCAAGTAGTCTTGCAACTGACATGTGAGTTCAGCTTTTACACTTGTATTATGCAGATCGTAGAACTGTCGGTGGTGCTCTGGGTTTCATATCAAGTTCATTAAATACATTGTAAAATAAAGAAAGAAGTTAAATAGATACGCAACTTAAGTTGGACAACATTTTGGTGCCCCAATTACAGAAACAGCTACAGAGCCATAGAAAAGAAACAGTGTGGATTCACACAGATGTGTAGGCTGATGGGGGTTATAGCTATGCAGATATGATCGAAAAATTGGAACTGTTTTCATTGGAACAAGAAGGTTAAGATGGAATCTAATCGAAATCTTCAACATCCTGAGAGCAGAAACGGTGATTAGATTTTTCACACTGATTTGTAAATCGGGAATGAGGGAGTATATGTGCGTGATTGCCACTGGTCAATTAATACAAATTAGAATACAAATTACATAGTATAGTGCCTTTCAGTTAGCAGAAACCTTTCCATACAGAGGCTTATAACCTAAATTGCTTTAGAGGAAGAGACCATAATATTTTGAAAGAATTTGGCTAAGCCAGTGAAAATGAGTATATCAATATGAGAGGAAGGAGGGAATGCAGCAGGGCATAAAGTTATGACTGTGTAAGCATCAACTCAATTAGCTCCTTCCATGCAGTAGTTTCTATGATTCTGTGAAAGTGGAATGTTAAAATGTACTTTGCACAGTACGTTTGGTACAAGATTCTGGAAAAAGATTAAATAATTAGAAATACATTAGACTTAGAGGGAGGTATATTATACGACCTGATAGTTTTGCTTTAGAAAAAAACGCCTTTTAAATCTGCAAACACTGTAAGTTAGTTGTGTAACATAATGCTTGCGACGGATTCAGTAGCTGCTATCCTGTTGTCATTTCAATCTGCGTTCTGTAATTCATTAATACTCAGGCCTGTTGAAACTTGTCTCTTCAGTTAACACTTCTAAATGCCTAATCTGATCTGGTAATTTCAAACCACTAATCTCTTTGGTAAATACAAACCTGGCACTGACTGTTCCAAGGCTATATATTTTCAGATATGACTGGTGTTACTAAGCAGCAAATTGCAGGATTGGGAAGCCAAGCTCACAGGGCTGAGGGGGGAGAACGGGGGAGTGGGATTGATTTGAATAGCTCTTTTCAAAGAGCCAGCACAGACACGATGGGCCTCCATCAGAATGGCCTCCTTCTGTGCTGTATAATTCTATGATTCTATGATTTGTGGAAAGGCCGAACACACTTAGGAGAAGAGGGCATCTAAAATGATCGGCTAACCTATCAATCAGCATTAATCCTATGTCAGGATTTGTGTACACATGCCTGTAGTTAAATTTTTAATCACTGATATTTACACTTAAACTGTGAATGAGTTTGGTTTAATTCACAAGAGTCTGTCATTGTACTCACCATGCTGATGTCATTATTGTAGAATACCGACTACTCTCCTCCCTTCACAACACAACCTTTTTTTTAAAATGAGTCCAGTGTCCTGGTCTTAACTACTCTTCCTGATAGTCTGTTCCAGTCGCTAATTACCCTCTGGGTAAAGAAAAACTTCCTGTTGTCTGTACTGAAATTGCAACTCAAAACATATGTCCTCTTGTTCTACTAACTTGGTGAATCCTAAAGTCCACAACAAATCAAATCTTTTAGCAAATTAAAATATCAAAAAACACTGTAAATTCAGAGTTGGTTTACAATATGACTTAGGTGTGAGACTGCCTTGACATCCAGTGCAAATCATTTTGAAATAAACCTGCAGTTATCAGGAATATAATAGCCTACTGGGAGCTGCACTTGGCGCTGTACTGAAATTCTGGAAGGATTCCAAATGTACAAAGAAATACGGGAACACTTAAGGAAAAAAAAGCTTGACATTCATTGCACAATATGTGTGTGTGTATACATAGCCACTATATATAGAGAAATCCCACTGTAAGACAGAAATCTGAGTCCATTATCTCAGGCTCTGGGTTATAACACAGCACGGAAAACTGGCGACTTCCATGTCATCAAGTTGCCAATGTTGTCACTTCCTGCATGTTGTAGATGACAGTACAAAATGGCCGGTTACCTTTGACGTCACTTCCTATGTACTGCTATGTGCGGAAAGTGCTGCAAACGCATGCACAGCAGGCAGTAAGTGATGGGAGTGTAGTTTACTGCACATAACTCACATGGACAGAGTGCTGGTAGTCATGTTGGTAGCACCTTGCGTGGGAGCCAACCAGTCCAAGCAGAAGTTAATGCAAGATACGCAACTTATGAGGTGTATGTTATAACAGGGCTGCCTTGCGTGAAACTCAGGTACCAGCCTGTAGGAGTTACGGGTTTAAACTGAGTCCAGTGTTAGACAAATGAGCCACGAGTAAAGAATAGACAAGCTAGTGTTCTTCAGTCTTGAAAGGAGAAACGTCAGAGGAAATCTCATAAGACTTTGAACGGGAATGAAGATAGACCCAGAACAATACTTGAGGTTGGCCCAAGACAGTAGAACAAGAGAACATAGGTTTAGGGATACAATTTTGGGACAATCATCAGTAAGTATTTAGTTTCATAGATGATTAGAACAGGTTGCCAGGAAGAATGGATTAGGCCAGGACACTGAACTCATTTTTTAAAAAAATGCTTGATGCTGTGATGGGAAGACTGTAGAATGGGTATTGTGGAACGATGAGATCCAAACCAATTTTGTGATCGCAGTAACAGCAACCACCAACATGATCATATTAGCTGCAATTCTAAAATGTTTGACCTTACACTGGAATATTGTGGCATCATGGAAAAAGGAGAGGCAAAATACAAGAGAACACTGTAATTCAATAACCCATTATAAAGTTAGGATAGATTTCTATATCTATCACTACTGTAATTGGAACAGATAACTTTTAAGTCCCTTGAAACATTCCTTGTTTCTTTTTTGTGAGTTCATAAGCAATCAAATCGCATGTAAGTGCATTGTGGCATTCATTGCTTGTGTGTGATGATTACATGATGAAAATAACATACAACTCTGCTCCCTCTCCTTCCAAACAAAAATTACAAACATTTGCCATAAAGAGGTTGTGATTGCAACTTTTTATCACGTTCAATTATTGATTTCCCCCACGACCAATTCAATAACATGTACTGTAAAATGAATTGACTGTATATTTTGTGGGCTAAATACAGCAGCCAATTGCGCACAGCAGCGTCCCACAAACAGTCGTGGATTGAGTGACCAAATTATTATCTTTCACGCACAGGAGAAGCCAAATTTCTCCACAACCCCCTACAGCTCAGATGGGAGAACAGAAGCCTTGCTCGGAAAGAACAAAGGGAGCAATATTAGAAATAAAACATAGAGAGGCGTAGCATCAATTATTTACTGATTTCCTTTCAGAGTCAGTGACAGACAAATTCATCTGAGTTACAAAAGGACCTTCATAAATGTTAAATGAAGAATCTTAAGCGAAGGGCACTGACTCTCGGGCTGTCTTGTAATACAGTATTAATGTGTTCTATCTGCAAATATTGCTGTTTGTTACTACAGTACAGCAGTCAGTACGCGATAGCTCTATGTGTACCTGGTGGCCAGGAACCCCTGTAGTTGAGCTGTGGTGCTGCAGTCTCAGCTCTTGCACCTCTCCAGGTGGCTGTGATCAGAGGGGCAGACACTGAACTGGTACCTTCTGCTCTCAAGCTCAGCGGCTCTGTTGCCAGCCTCAGGGCCGGGAGAGAGATGTGGGGCAGCCTTAAGGCAGGGTCCATCGTAAAGCTCCTTTAGCTTCCGAAGCCAGAAGTTACTAATACATTTGCTAATCTAGTCTCTAATACAGTATAATGTCGTGAGACTGGAACTTAAGCAGTGTCCAGTTACCAGCGCATGAGAAGCAAGGAGTAGGAGGAGAGAGGGTTGTATACAGTATTAAGTTTCTATAGTAACCTGGCATTACAGCTAGTTCTATCAATAAGCAACTTTCTAAGGAAGTTGCAGGAATTGTGACTGTTCTGACCACAGTCAGACCACCCTGGTGGTTGCCTTTCAAATGCATTACACAAGACCGCTTTGCTGCTTTGTTGTATATCTATTCTTATACAGTATTTGTCCAGCTTCTCAATTACCTATTTAAAATGAACATAACACTGAATTTGTGTGCCTAGGAAAAGGAGAGAGAAGTCAGTCAGGAGTGTTTTTTTATGGGAGGATCCACATTGAGAAGCTATGCTTACTGACAAATAATCACCAAATAGCAATTACCCAGCAAAGTTGCTGCCAAGCACCGATACATTATTTGGCAATAGTTTTATTTTCTCTGCATCGTACGTTCTGATATGTGTTTCATTTATATATTAGGTGGGAACTTTTTGCTTAAATTAGTGCTTAACTCATTTAACCTTTACCTTATACAGGTAGTTGGCCAGATTTATCGGGGTAAACTGCAAAGTGACACATATAGAGATATCATGGGAAGTCACTCTTAATCTGTAAAATTAGCAAAGCAATCTTTTAAGCCTCTTATTTTTGAATAAATACATTAAAATAGCCTAGTCGTAAGTCATGCAAGAACATGAAATAATATGGGGTATTTGATGGTTACATTTCAGAAGCATTCATATTTACGGATTACATTTAATTATATTGGCTCATCTGCTCATTGCATAAGAATTATATTTTAGTCACTAAGAATAGGAGGCTATATACAGTGTGTCAGATGTGAAACATGTTTATCTGTGTCTATTATAATAATAATATTATAATAATAATAATTAATAATCCTTGCATTTGATATAGCACCTTATCACATCATTTAGACGTCTCAAAGTGTTTCACAGAATATACTGAATTGACTGCGTATTTTGTGGGTCAATTGCACACAGTGGTGTCTCACAAACAGTCGTGGATTGAGTGACCAATCCCAATTTTGTTTCTTTTTAAAAGGGATTATTACCCCCGGAATGTGATCCACCAATCGATTAACAACCAGGTTCCCGTTTACTACTAGATAAACAGAGGCGTGTGGAGTATTGGACCTCGTCTAAGGTTTCGTCCCACCCAGGAATTGAAGCTGGGTCCTTTCACTTATAAGGAGAGCCAGCTAACCACTACGCTACAGGACTATAGGAGGTAAATTAGGTGTTTAGCAAGATAAGGATTTTGATTTCTTTTAGTTGGTGTATTTTCATGACAAAATCAATAATAAGTTGCTGTGACAATTGCGTCGGGGTCTAATAAGCAGGGAAATGGAAAACAGTTTGAAACCAAGTGGGGACTCCTTCCAGTAACTGGAAGCACATGTACATTACGCCCACTCGTGCTAACTCTTCTATGAAGATACATCATATCAGAGCGGACATCCCAGGAGCCTGACTGACCTACTTCGTGTTTTGTTATAATGAAGTCCTGCTGACCCCCACCCACCTCCCCACCCCACCCCCAACGCTTCTCATTTTTTTGGTTATTGATAATGAAATCATGGTATGAATGATATTCTAAATCTATCATATTCTTTGAGAATACATTTTGAAATGATTCAAGTGAGGTTTTAATGAGACTTTCAAGACGAATTAAAGCTGGAAAAATACGTGGCAGATGCCAAAATACGAATAATAGGCATTTGCCACTATTGCTGTCGCAGGTACTAGATACTGTGCATATCTTAATGAGCATATCATTAACATATGCACAGCTTTTACATCTTTAGAGATTCTGATAAAAATACAAAAAAGTTGTTTGAGTGTTCGACTCCCAATGGTTGATAGACATTATAGTGAATTATTTGCTGCAATTTAGGCGTGACACAGAATTGTAATATAATAATAATATAATAATCCTTGCATTTGAAATAGCGCATTATTAAGTCATTGAGACATCTCAAAGTGCTTCACAGAATATACTGTACAGTGAATTGACTGTACATTTTGCGGGCAAAACATGGCAGCCAATTGCACACAGCAATGTCTCAAAACAATCGTGGATTTATAAAATGTTGAAGCACAGAAACAGGTCATTTAACTGAATAATTCTGCACTGGTAATTTTCTCCACCTGAGCCAGTCAAATCTAATCCTACTCTATGGGTTGCACTCTATTTATTTTAATATTTATCTTTTTCCAGCATCTATCTAAAATGCCCTGTTTTGAAGAGGGATATAATATATGCCACCTTCCACCTCTAATATAATCTTCCTTTCCAGCGAATTTTTGAAAATTATTTGCAGCCACTTTATCTTTTCCCAAGCTAAGCTTGGGATCCTTGCCTGTAAACCATTATTTGCTCACCTTATATTTGAATAACCTATTTCTCTTTTTAAACAATAAAGTGGAGTCCTGTAGCTCAGTGGTTAGAGCACTCGCTTTGCAAGTGAGAGACCTGAGTTCAATTCCAGGCAGGACGAAACCTTGGGCAAGTTTCCTTACTCCACACAGAGCCTAATAATAATCCCTCCAAAACCAAAAAACAATAATAAATTGGTCATTTTCAATCTACGACTGTTTGTGGGACACTGCTGTGTGCAATTGGCTGCCGCGTTCGCCCACAAATATACAGTCAATTCACTTTACAGTATATTCTGTGAAGCGCTTTGAGACGTCTAGAAGACGTAAAAAGCGCTATATCAAATGCAAGGATTATTATTATTATTATTAATAGTTACTGATTAGTTTATGTCCACCTCTACCCTCTGAATATGCACCTTATTTGTGAAACACTTGGCAAAGTATGTGTCAGTCAAGCTCAGTTGGTAGCACTCTTGACTTTGAGTCAGAAGATTGTGTGCTCATTTGGCTTCTACTGTGCCTGAAAGATAATAATTTGGTCACTCAATCCATGATTGTTTGCAGGACACAAAATATACAGTCAATTCACTTTACAGTATATTGTGTGAAGCGCTTTGGGACATCTCAATGATGTGATAAGGCACAGTATCAAATGCAAGGATTATTATAGGAACATAGGAATTAGGAGTAGGAGTAGGCCATTATATTATATTAATATATTATAATATATTATTCAGAATTTTGATCTCACAGTCTAGGCTGACACTCCAGCGCCTTGGGACGTCCTCCTGATGTGAAAGGCGCAATACAAATGTAATTTTATATTGTATTTTGTATTGCTGGGGAGTGCTGCTTTGCAGGAGTTGTCACCTTTCACGTTATTGTTAAAGTGAGGTCCCTCTTCAGATGGGCGTTAAGGATGTGGTTGGACAACTTAAAAGGAGAAGGGAGTTTCTCCTGGTGTCCTAGCCAACAATCCCCCAAATAAAACTGATCATCGGTTTCATGGCTGGCAGTGGAACATTGCTGTGTGCACATCGGCTGCTGCCTATAAAATACATAGTCCCTACACTTCACAATAAATCCTGTAAATGCTTTGAGACATCCTCCCCTTGTGAAAGGGTCAGTTATAACAAATCCAAGGATTATTACCATTTACTGTGTCTATCAATCCCTCACTCTCTCCTACAAACTTATCTTTTTCACCAGTCTAAGTCGTTACCTCCACTAACCTCTTTCAATAGTACTACCATGACTCAAGAAAACCTCACCCAATGCCTTTTTAAGCTGGAACAGCACAATTCTATGTATGTATGGTAAACATTTGCCACGCTTCTTTAGACAATTACTGGCTAGAAAGCTTAGTACAGTAGAAGGGAGCAAATACCTTGTTACCATGTTTGGAAGTTTGAAGCTTGCCAGCCGAACTGCGAATGGTTTCTCCCGGATCCTCCACATCCCCCAATGCAACACTCATCAGAGCTAATGCTATCTATAGGTCCATTTGAGATCCTAAGCCCAGGATTGCCCACTTTCCACAGTTCAGAGCTGATGGGATGTGCAACCTGTTCTTTACCACGTGGATAGACAACACAACACGCCTGAACGCAGCAGCTCCATTGAAAGAATAAGCAAGTGGCACAGGCAGTTCAGGCAGTCGGATGATGCTCAGATAAGCTCTGCCACACCAGTCAGTGCAGCACGCTGCCTGCACCTGCATTGCTAAGCTGTTACATGGATGGGATTCAAGCTGGATTCCTCTGCACACAACGATTCAATGGTTAATGTTTAGCTAGAATGTGGCATTCGTACAGTCCCAGAGCAGATGGAAACGTGACTCCCACACTCAGCCCAGCCATGAAGATTAAACCCATCTTTTCTACTGGCACTGTGGAGCTGAGAGGCTACAAGGCTAGAGATCTGGAGGTGGCCGGCAGAAATGATGCACATCTGCAGCCAGTGGGGGAATGCTTGGCTCTGCCAGAAAGTCCACCTGAAGTTAGGTCTCGGGGCTCTTCTGTAGCTGGACAAGGTAAGGCACTTTACCACAGGATTTACATTGTGTTAGTGATTTAACCTTAGGCTAGTGTCTGTGTCAATTAATAATAATAATCCTTGCATTTGATATAGCGCCTTATCATTTCTTCGAGACGTCTCAAAGCGCTTCGCAGAATATACTGTAATGTGAATTGATATACACATTATATTGATATACACATCCCTCCTATTAAATGCAAGGATTATTATTATTTTATGGGCACAATTACTATGGAATTATACATAACCTTGTCCATGTATTAGTACAGTAGTGTATGTTGATTTTTTAAATTCAGGTTTGCAGTGTATGTACAGCAACTAAATAAATGCAACATGCAGTATTTATAAGGTTTGAATAATGCAATATTTGTGAAAGAGTTCTACTTGAAGTCCACCCACACAGGAGTGCCTTTGTAGACAGCTACATCTGGGATGTAAAAGTTAACTGTCTGATA